ACAAATAGAACAGGTCCTTATACGCAACTTTAATGGCGTATCTCTCGCGATACGCATCTCGTGTAGTAAAAAATCATCAGCAATACCTTCAAGTGTTTGTCCCTCCACACACAGTTCTGAATGGTGCATCTCAGAGTCACTGCGTAATCGTATAAATCATGGCTGGCTCCTGAATCCCTATCAGGATCCCATCGATTCTATCTCTCAATGGCTTTTGCCAGGTGACATACCAACAACCTACGACTCAGCAGTTCCTAAAAGTACAGATTTTTGTATTAGTTTTATCTGCGTCTTGACTCCAATTTCCTTGATGTAGTTGCTCAAATTTCGTGTGACTGTTCCAAGGGCTCCCAAGACAATAGGAATAACTTTTGCTTTCACTTTCCATAATCTTTCCACTTCTCTCTTTAATTCGTCATACTTTTCGATTTTCTCTATCTCTTTTTCAGCTATTCTCACATCTCCCGGGACTGCAACATCAATGATGTAACACTTCCTTTCTTTCTTATTGACAACCACTATGTCAGGTCTCTTTGCCTGGATTTCATTGTCTGTTTGAATATTGACATCCCAGAGAATCTTTACATTTGTTGTTTCTACCACTCCATCTGGTTGATGTTCGTACCATTTATTTCCACAATCTATGTCATACAGGCGACAGACATCCCAATGGAGGGCTTTCGCTACACAGTCATGTCTACGTTTATACTCTCTCTGTGCCAGTTTTGGGCATTCACTGACAATGTGGCTTATTGTTTCCTCTTTCTGATTACACATTCTACATTTCGAGTTCCTCTGCGTCTTATCGATGTTTGCTTTAATTGCATTTGTTCGCAATGACTGGGTCTGCGCCGCCATTATCAGTCCTTCAGTCTCCTTTTTCAATTCCCCGTCCCGGAGCCATCCCCATGACTCTGGGTCATTTATTTCTTTTGTCTGCCTGAAAAACTGTCCATGTAACGCCTTTTCTTCTAGCTCTGATCGCCTCTCTTCTCTTCTTCGCTTCTTGAAATCTTTCTCTGACACTCTTTCTCCTGCCTCGCATCTCACTGATGACAATATCCCCTCTTTGCTATCCTGAACATAGTTTTCAAGCCCCAAAATTGCGAGCTGAACACAATCCTCAATTTCTACAAGTCCTCGTCCTCCTTCTTTACGGGGTAGGTAGAGTCTTGCTACACTATCTCTTGGATGCAGTGATCTGTACATATTCATCATTTTACGAGTACCCCGATCTATTTCTTTCAGCTCATCCTTTCTCCAGTCAACGAAAGGTGCCGTGTATCTCATCATTGAAACAGCCCAAGTGTTTATGGCAGTTATCATATTGCCTCCATTAAGCTTAGATTTCAGTATCTTTTTCACTCTTCTCTTATATTCTTTCTTTAGACTTTCTTTCATCTTTTCACCTAATACTTGATCAGCTTCCATAACTCCAAGGTATTTATAACCATTTTCCTCGTGTATAGACCTAATGGTTTCCTTATTTGGTAAGTCAATGCCATTAGACTCGACTACTTTCCCTCGCTTCATAACCAACACTGCACATTTTTCTACTCCAAATTCCATACCTATATCATTACTAACAACTCTGACAGACTGTATCAATGCATCTAGTCCACTTTCATTCTTCGCATAAAGTTTGATGTCATCCATGAACATTAAATGATTTATCTGCTCTCCATTTGAACTGAACTTATAGGACGCTTTCATTTTACGCAGTACTAACGTTAGTGGTATCATAGCAATCACAAACATTAATGGTGATAAACTGTCTCCTTGGAAAATTCCTCTGGCAAATTTTACCTCACCAATCGCTTCCCCACAAGATGTCAACATGGTGCTCCATTCCTTCATACTGTTGGTCAGCAAATTTTTTACATTTTCTGCAGCTCCAAACATGTTCAAACATTCCTTCAACCATGAATGTGGGATTAGATCATAAGCTTTTCTATAATCCAGCCAGCCCATTGCAATATTCTTCTTTCTTTGCTTCACTTCCTTCATGATTTTCTTGTCAATATACAATTGGTCTAAGCACCCCCTACATCCTTTCCTCGAACCCTTTTGTTCTTCTGGTAATACATTCTTAGCCTCCATAAAAGAATAAATCTCACCTGCCAATATTCCTGTCAACAATTTCCAGCACATAGCGAGACACGTTATTGGACGATAATTACTAGGCACCCTTCCTTTTTGTGGATCTTTGACTATCAAAACTGTTCTTCCTTTAGTCATCCATTTTGGTACATTTCCTTTCCTCAAGCACTCGTTGAGCTGCAATGTAATTCTCCCATGCAGATTAGTAAATCTTTTCAACCAGAAGCCCTGAACTAAGTCAGGTCCTGGTGATTTCCAATTTGGCATTTTATTAACAACCTTTTCTACCTTTTCCCTGGTAATCACAACATCATTTTGCCTGTCAATTTTAATTTCCTCCTTCAAGTCCTGCAGCCATCCTGCGTTTTCATTGTGCCGTGTTGGTTTGCTCCATATATCCTTCCAAAATTCCATAGTTTCTTCCTTTTCAGGTCGTACTTCATTTCTCTCTCCGCCATTCAATTCATCATAGAACCGACTTTGGTTTTCCCGAAACAGTCGATTCTGTCTAAATTGATCTATTCTAGCTTGATATCTTGTAATTTTTCCTGATTTAGCTGTAATCCTTTGTTTTAGTTCTTCACTTACTGTTATGAGACCCTTTTCTTTTAACCAATACTTTCTCTGTAACTGTTCCTGAAATCTTGTCTTAATTGTCTTCCCTTTTCTTAACTCTTCAACTCGGCTTAAATCTTTCCTCAAGTATTTTACTTGCTTCTGCAACCTTCTTTTCCACATAGGTTCTCCTTGCCTCTTCTTTCTAGTGATCTTTACACCTAATCTCTCAGTTGTAACAACTGATGCTGCATATAACAAATCATTGGTCGCGGTGATATTTTCGCTTCTTATTTTACCCAGCAAGCTATTCATCTTTTCAACTTCTATTTTGACAGAACTTTTATTTAGACCTCTCAGAGCAGGTAGCTTTGTCCTTTCAGGTTGGTGTAGTACTTCAAAAAGCCTCTCAGCGATCGCTATTTCCTCGTCTGAAAATTCCTCATCGTCAAAATTTCTAGCACCATTTTCAGCTGCTCCTGTCTCATTATTCTGCTGTACATTATCATCATATTCTATTTGTATTTCTTCGCGTCTGTTGTTAGCATCGCTTTCCACACTTTCACCCTGGCTTTCATCGTCACCTCTGTTGCCTTCAATTGTTTTCTGTCTCTTGATCTCCTCCATCTCTAACTCTGTTATCCAACCCTTCAGTCTTATTTGCCTAACTTGGTCTAGCAGTCTTTGCTCTGATACCTGAGCAAGATTTCTACTTCTCCAGATATTTACCATACGTTTCCGGTAACCCCTCTTATTTGGCTCGCTCGCGACATAGCACTCCATCACTGTTCTGTTATCTTCTCTTGTCCACTGATTTCTAGTTCTTCTCCCCACAGTTGATTCCGCAGTAGCATGATATCGACCGAGGCTGGCCTGCGTAGCACCACCACCCCTGCCGGACGCGACAGCTTCACCTGTGGATCCACTCCCGTTGACGTCGTTCTCTATGTTATTTTCAGAATTAATCATCATTTTCTTTTGAAGATGAGGTTGTGGTTTTGCATCACCAACAAAGCAGTATTTTTATCGTGACACCATCACTAGGTGGGTCGCCGACCAGGGCTGAAGAGTCCCCCCTACCCATGAGACAGACTAGCCCCCGCCGGACGCCAACCCGGTATTTCACGGCCTCGGGGAGAGCTAACAGGTAGTATACCTTGCTCAAGGGTGACCTGGAGGTAGTAGTGGCAAAGGGTAACCTCATTCTCCCACGTCAAAACTCCACTACCGGATGTAGTTTTTTGTCATACCCAGGACAAATTATTATTATTATTATTATAATTATAATTATTATTATAATTATTATTATTATTATTATTATTCTTTTTATTATTATTATTCTTTTTATTGTCTCTTCCTCACGCCCTTTTGATGTTAGGCGGCTTTTTCTGACAGCGGATTGAATCCCTCAATCTTAGGTGTCCAGCGTCCTTCTTATTACTTTTGCTGTCCTAAGTATGCAAGTCTTCTGTTATAAAGACTTAAACTTTCTCAACTAAAGTCCCTCATCAAATTTCTTCAAATTTTTGCTTAGTGTACCAAGAGCTCCGATGTCATTATTATTATTAATATTATTTTTATTATTATTATTATTACTATTATAATTATCATCATTATTTTTATTACTACTTTTATTATTATTATTATAGAACATTACTGTTTATTGTGTTTCTAGGCTGACAGTGTTGTTTTACTTGCCATTACTTGCACAGTCGACGATACTCCGTCTCCCTTGTCAAACCTTTGCCGAATTCACAGTGTTCCACATGGACAAAGCTCTTAAAGGCCACGTAATCAAAACGGAACGCGATGTGGACGACATTGGATGCACGAGGAAGTGCGTGGAGCACCACAAATGTCGATCATACAACTTAAACGTGCAGACCAAAGAGTGCCAGCTCAACGAAAGGCGACATGGAGAAAACGGTACGCAGTTGGTCGATGCTCCTGGTTGGTTGTACAAATCGACTGATTACAGCAAAAAGTTGGTGAGCTCACTGTCTGTTGCTATCTCTATGAATTTATGTTTGATGAAAACAGTCTCTTGGCGTCTAGCTAACCCTTTCCTTTTAAAAAGAATTTCTTGATTCTATTAAGAGACCACTCGAATTTCCTTAACGGTGGCTTTTCATTAAACAGAATTCGTCGATAATAGATACTTGAGATAAGTATTTGTTGATAAAGAACCTGAAAAGGGATGAAATCAAGCGCCATCTTTTATATTTCGTCCAGTGCCACAGCTGCCATTGATGTTTTCGCACTTCTCAAATCTTTTGTTTGTGTGGTAATTATTGTCAAATAATCTTTCTTTCCTTCATCAAATTTGTTCAAAGAGGCATATAAGCGTGCAACCTGTAATACGGAGAAAAGAAGAAAAATTGTCTTTGCTTTAACTCGTATCAATCAGAGGAAAAAATTATCCTAAAGTTAGTTCTCAAGAAAAATTTTATTGAGCTGTTTGGTAACCTGATATACTGTTTGTTTTGAATAGATTGGTGCGACATGCCGAGCTCTTAACCCATGTCCTTCTCACATCCTATGCAGAGATAAATGCACAAGCCCGTTTTATGAATGCGTTTATTGCGATGCGAATCACCGTGGGCTACACTGTGACATTCCACTTGGTATGTTTCTTATGATTTGAGCAATCTCTCTTACAAATTTCTATTATTGCTGTTTCCTTTGCTTTGTATGAAAAAAATCATACTTAGTTTAAGAGCATTTTTATCATTCATATTTTTCAATGACATAATTGCAATGTAACCTTCTTTTGAAGATAAAAACGACTGCGAGAAGAACCCTTGTCAGAATGGCAAGTGTGTGGATGAACATGCCAGTTATTTTTGCATTTGTGATCCAGGGTTTACGGGAAGGAATTGTGAATCAGGTATGCTTTTGGTCGAGAATCTGACTTTGACTTCATTTTACATTAATAATTGAATAAGTTGAAGATTAATTAGCGGACATGTGACATTTATTTCATGGCGGCTATACGGCTCTATTTATTATTTCACGATGTCTCTAAAGCAATTTCTATCTACGATATTCACAGACATAAATGAGTGTGAGAGCCTTCCTTGTTTTAATGGAGGAACATGCAGAAACGACGTGAACAGATTTCAGTGTAACTGTCTTGCTGGATATTCAGGAATTCATTGCGAAGAAGGTAAGCAAACGAATAATTCGTAGCTTTTCCCTTGCTTCAGAGTCAGGCACGACGTGTTTGTCGTCAGTGATAATGTTTTGAAAGTTGATGTTAACTTTGGAATATGATGTAAACGCAACGAAAGACATAGCAGTCTTTAAATTTAGGTTGTTATTTAGCTACATATTTTTGCTATTCATTTTTGTAAAATCACCTTGCTAATGATGGAGTGAAGCAGAGTTTAAAACAGATCTGAGTATTAAATTAAGTTGCTACTTTTAGTTTTATTTTACTCTTGTCTACGTTTACTTACTATGATAAATTTAAGAGAAATGATTTTTCTCTTTTAAGAAGTGCTGTACAATTTTTAAGAAATGCAAAATTGTATTTGGCATACAGCGAGTTCGCATTTGCTTCACAAATATCTTCACTCAACTTTAATTTCTTCATTTCATGTGTTGCTAGTAAACATGCTTCTATCTTTAGATATCAACGAATGTGCTAGTACTCCCTGCCAAAATGGAGCCACTTGCATTGATAGAGTCAACGAATATACCTGCAACTGTTTATCAGGCTACACAGGAAAAAGGTGCCAAACTGGTAACGGTTCTTTTGTAAAGTTATTACTTTGTCTGTAGACGAAATAATTCATTATCAGCTCAATTGCAAGGACCTTGAAAGCCTTCATGTCAATTTACACAAATGGAACCATTTTTGTGACAACAGCTTTCATTTGAAATGTTCAAAGTTTGGTGGGTTCCAGTTAAAATGATGTATATGCTATTATGATGTATAATTGTTCTTTGAAAGCATATCAAGAAATTCTTAACATCTTTTGCCAAAAGCTGTCATTTTGGCCTAAATTCAAAAATAAATTTGACATTTTCCATTCCTTGAACTTTGAAGCGGAAGTGGTGCCCTCTCTAAAGCATAATTGCAATATTATATTGGAAACAGCCTGCCTATTAAAAATCTATCATATCCTTGCAGAGATCTTTGAAGTTTATTATTTCTGGCATAAACCGCGTCGATATATCTAAATTTTAGATGTTAATGAATGTGCCAGCAGCCCATGCCGAAATGGAGCCACTTGTATTGATGAAGTCAACAGATACTCTTGTAACTGTGTACCAGGCTACACAGGACAACAATGCCAGACTGGTAAGATAACATACGTTCTTTTTTGCAGAATATGTTACTTTGAAAATTATGGATGTTCCATTCTTAAAGCTCTGTTTTTTTAGCAGTAGTTAAACCACACAATTCACACCATTAACGTATAAGCTGCTACTATTAATGACACATCATATTTAGGGTCTCGGTTGCAATTGGGGAAGGCAGCAAATCCCTCTACTAAAAGAGTTTATTTCCTTTTAAATTATCTATCACACATAGTTTTTTGCATTTGAAAATCTATCGTGTTTCAATGGAAACTGTCTCATTTGTTTTGCTAAATGTATACACAGGCACAGTATTATGCAACGCCGGGTTGTGGTCCTGTAACCTTTGCGATGTTTAATGGTACCGATGGAGCAATCTAGATATGAAAAAAAATTTTAAATATACCCCTTAAAAATAAATTGACAATCCATTTGATATTATTTAGAAAGCAAGTTACAGCATAACAAAACAAACATTTTATTTTGAAGCAGGTTGTGGTGCATTTTTTAAATTAGAATGGTTCTTTTATTGCGAACAGCAAATAACACGGAGCATGCTATTTCCGTGTCTGCAAGTTAATTTTTGCACTCTAAATAAAACCAACAAACTTTGTTTCTAACATTGCATACATAAGCCCTTTAAGTATCAGCCTTGCTGTAATTATTTTACTGACACACTGCTGGAAAACCGCTTTTTTTCTAGAAATAAAAAAATTGTCGAAAAAAATTAGCGATAAATTTTCTTTATGGTTTCTGCTTGTAGCTAACATTGCAAGAAAATTATCAGCTTAAACAGAAAAATGCAATAAAGCAAGTTGTTTTTTTTTGCCTAGTTATAATCTTGTCCCTATGTATCACCGCAAATTTAACAGTTAAGAGTTTCTGTTTATAGCAAGAACAAATGAAAAATTTCACAACAGAAAGCTCAGTTTCACTTCACAAACATTTCCACTCAACTTCAATTTTTTCAATTCATGTATTGCTAGTAAACATGCTTTGATATTTAGATATAAACGAATGTGCCAGTACTTCCTGCCAAAATGGAGCCACGTGCATTGATGGAGTCAACATATATTCTTGTTACTGTGTACCAGGATACACAGGATTACAATAGTTCTTTTCTGCAAAATATTTTACTTTGAAGATTACGAATGTTTCAATCTAAAAGACATTTTATTGCAAAAAACAGGTTACTCCTTTTTGTGTAAGTTTAATATCTGATTACCAGATTTCTGTAGATTATTTGAATAATCCTTTGATTTATTCAGAAATTGACTGAGTTGAAATGTTATGCTTTTAGAAATCAACGAATGTGCCAGTACCCCATGTCAAAATGGAGCCACGTGTGTCGATAGAATCAACAAATATTCTTGCAGCTGTTTACCAGGCTACATGGGACAAGAATGCCAGACTGGTAAAATGTCTCTTCGCATGCGCTCGCAATTTCCACTATGTCTCTCTTCCCAAAATTGGATTTTTTCCGTTTTGCACAAAATAGACTTGCACCCTGCCCAACTGCAAAGTATTGCACTTTGAATATCTGGAACTTTCCGGTTTTTTAGTCTTTTGTCTGTTTGAATAATTATCAACCTACACAAAACGTATCACGATCGCGAGAACCGCCTTCATTGAATTTAATCATTTTTTCAGGATGTAGTTGACAAAAGCAGCCCACATTATTCAAAATAAAATCAGTTGATTTCGTGTTTGATCTTCAACTGAAACGTTTTTTGTTGTTGGTACTTTTGCAGCACATTGGAACGAATGTTAACAGTTCAGTCATTAACTTCAATGAAATCTTATTTACAACAGACATTTATGAATGTGCCAGCAGTCCGTGCCAAAATGGAGGGACTTGCGTTGATAGAATCAACGGATATACATGCACCTGTGTCGCAGGCTACTCCGGACAACATTGTCAGACTGGTAAAGTGTCTCTTCTACAAATAGTCCTTTTCCCTTATATTTCGACCGATTTTACTGGTCGTATATTTAAAAAACATTCTACTTTGAACATCAAGGTTTCAGACTTGAAGCCCTTTATCTGCTTAACAGAAGTCGAATCTCACAAGTTGCAAAGTAATATTTAGAACAGCTTTTATTTGTTAATATTAATCCCAAATTATAATATTGATGTGGTTGATATTAGCAGGTAATGGTAACACAATCGTTATGTTTGAAAGTCTATCTCAGAAAGCGAGTCTTACAGTGGTTTTCTAGATCTGATGATAAAATTGATAAAAGTGACTTTTGGTAATATTTACAGGAGAGTTCTAGCATCTATTGTCAAAGTGATCCATTTTGTGCAGAGCTACAGTTGACTATATTATATTTTTAGATATTAATGAATGTGCAAGCAACCCATGTCATGTTGGATCCACTTGCATTAATGGTGTCAACAGGTTTACTTGCAGATGTGATAATGGCAAAATAGGTCTACTCTGTGACACTGGTAAGATTGCATTTTTCTTTGCCGTATATTCTTTTAGTTCTGTTTGATAAAAATGAGGACTGCAAGTATGTTATGCAACTTAATGATAACTGACGAATAGATATAAAGGCATAAATCAATCCATTTATCATTACAAACAATCATTCAATCACATAAATCAGTCATTTAATCATCCCAAATCAATTAATCGATCGTTGAACCAGTCTTTTAATCGATCGGCGAAACAGTCAATCACTCAAGACATTCTCAATTGACAATCTTCTTTTCTTACAAGCTTATTGGCAAAAATCGGAAAAAAACGATAATTGGAAACTGAAAGAAAAAAGAATTCACAGATATTAAAGCGATTCAAAATTCATATCATTCCCGTTTGAGGTTTATTCTATTCTTTTTCTTGACCTCAGCTCTAGATTACGTCGGCTGCTACAAAGATAGTGGAACGAGGGCACTCCCGCATGTGAGAGGGCTAGAAGTTTCCGCAGGGCATCTTACAGCTAACTGCATAAGGGCTTGTTTCGCATCTAATCAACCATATGCTGGGTTGCAGTACCATAGCCAATGTTTTTGTGGATCATCATATAATATCTACAGGAAAGATGACGAAAGCACTTGCTCGACAAAATGCCGAGATAGCACTGGAATGTATTGTGGTGGAAGCTGGAGAAACTCTGTTTACAGAACAGGTATGATCATAATACATACAAAAGCTTACTACTTGTAAAATATATTTTTTACAAAATATTTCGTAGTAATCACCAAAAGAACTTAATAGACCATTTTAAAGCTATACAGGTATGACTGAACCAAAGGGCATATAGTCAAAACTCAGATTTTAGAAGAAATCTCAAAAAAGTAAGTACAAGGAAATTGATCAAAATTATTTAACAGATTGTTCAACTGGCTTTTTCTCTCATACAGGCTACATTTCACGTAAAAGACGATGAATTTGGGCTTAAAAGATGCAAAGATTCTGAAGAAAAGGTTGAAAAGTACGGAACATTGTCAAGTTGGGTGGTTTGAAAACATTGTCATGACCACTGACCATTAAAACTCTTGGTCAGAGTTGTATTTAAGTTTAGCTTAATTTTGCTTACTTCAAAGTTTAGCATTGTAAATTAAAAATTAGCGCGAAAAAAAAATCTGAAAATTTATTGTCAGTTATATTATTGATTAAAAGTTTTCGTTTGGGAAATGTCATTTGCTAATTTTTTGGCTTCCCTGGAGGTGAATATTCCCAAAGAATTTACGCAATATTAATCTTGCCTTAAATAAGTTTATTGAAAAATTAAGAACAGCCAACCTGCACCTTCATTTTCTGGTTCTTTGAAACTAACAGAATGTACCCAGGAAGCTTTATATGGGATGTATTTATTGATTGATGGATTAATTGATTGTAGTGCAGTGATTGAAGTGATTGTAGTGACTGATTGGCTGATGGATCGTTGAAAGGTTACTGTTACATCAAAGAGTATGTTGGTGCTTGGCCATAAAAAGCACAGAAAAGCGGAAACATGGAATGCTAAATTACTCTTTCTCTGTCAGCGCTTAAGGCTAGAAAAATCCAGGTTTGCTACTGAAACAGATTGTATTCTAGTTTGAATCATATTTGCGATTGAACTGAGATTTCAGAAAAAATCTCAGAAAAAACTGAACGAAAGAAATTATGAGATATTATTTTCAAGTTCATTTAACGAGCCTTTACTCTCGTGCAGGCTACAGTTTACGCACACGGCGAGAAATCTGGAGTTTAATGATACATACACTCTGTGGCAAAATGTCGAAAAGTGAAGAACGTAGTAAAGTTTTGATTCTGGAATGGCTCGCAGAGTGGAACAAACCGGCTACAGAAAAATCAACGCTGAAATGAGCCGGAGTTCTAGCATTTTTTTGCTTCATGTATTTCAATTTACCCTAATTCCATAATCTCTGACATAAATATTGCTCTGTAAAAATGTGAAAAATTGGAATGCCATTAAACTGTTAATGATTTCGTTTAGGAAGACCATTCGCTGAACCTCTTACGGCAACAATTTTCAGCTACAGATAAAAGGACCTGTTAAGCAAATTTAGATAAAATCTTGAAATAACTTGAAATAAAATTTTGTAACTTTAATTGCCTAATCGAGCCATGAATCCTTGTGCAAGTGATTTCTTAGGCCAGAATTCTATAGACAAAATATTTACGATGCTTTAGCGAAAAGCTGTTGGTGCTTTTATTAGTGAAACATTCAAAACAACTCTGAGATACATTCATGCACGCAACGTTTTCGGTCAGTCGCTACTACCCATCCTTCTCGCAGACTCATGTTTTTTAGTTTCTGTTCTTTTTGAGCCGTGTACCTGGTTCTCTGTAAACTTATTATCAAAGCCTGTTTGGAAAATGTAGCTGGGTGAGAGTGTGCATAAACGACCAAGCTCTCCTGGTTGTCTCACCTGGAAGTTCTGATTACCCTCCTCCCTGGGTGTCTCACCTAGCATCTCTAGCGACTTTGAAACAATTGGTGCAAAACAATTGTGAATAGCAACAAGGTTGTTATGAGTTTTTCACATCCCCCGTGGTAACGCTATTGTACTGTAATTTTGTAGCAGTGTATTGTTATTCTTTATGAGCATAGAAGAAAACTGTGTCAAAGGGACTCTTCGAAACGCAAAAAATGTCATTCTAAGGTTCGTTTTTAAATGTTTGGCGGTACAGAATCTGAAAATGGCTTTGAAAAAAGCAAACATTCTATAACATAACTGCTATTTCCTCCGACACTCCTCAGGACAGAAAACGTCAGAATAAGATACCCAGTTGTGGGTATAAACCCAGTAATCTAAAGAAAAGAATTTGTAAAGCCTCCTCGAATAAGCTGCCATCCTGGTAGTAAAAATTCCCCCACCATCGACTTAGTCGTTGCTTTTGGCTTTGCAAAGAGACCACCGACGACAATGGACATATCAATATTTTGGTTTAAGATATCTTTTTGCGCTTGGATTTATAACTTTATCAAGGTAAAGAATTATCAAGTGAACTTGCAAATAAACTGCCTTGAAGATTTTGAAAAAAACAACAAAACAAACTATCTACATGGCAGCTTGGAAATTATTATTATAAGCACCTCTCTTTGCATAAGCCGCCCTTGCATAAGTTCCCACCTAAAACTTCCTTAATTGATTAGCTTCCGGTCGCCAATTGTGTATTTGCGGTAAGTGCAGTCTGCGTTCCCGTAAACGTCTAAGACATTAAACACGCACCATTTCTTCATACTTTCGGTGTGGTCAATGGAAAGACGATGATGCTATACTGTGTAGGCAAAAATGGTTTACCAAATGTCTACGGCTGGTATAATATGTGGATCTGTCTCCATGCAAAAGTCTATCCAAAATCCTATGCTGAATGCTACACCCGGTTAAAGATAATTCAAGAGCCTGTGGTTGCAAGAGCTTTATCAGACCTCTATCAGAACTGCATCTTTGTATCATGAGTATTGCATCAAAGGTCTTCAACAAGATTACCCTAAGCACCTAAAGCAAACATCTTTACTCCCTTTAACCATTGCCATTGTGATTTTCTCATCTAACTTTAAGTCCGTCCTTCATTTGTCCTCCAGAAATCGAAACTTTTGTGAGCAACGACCCAATCCCCTTTCTTAAATACATTTTAAATCTGCTGCTGCTCAAACTGTGCATTCTCACCAGAAGCAAATTCATGAAAATGCAGCAGGTACAAGAAGAGCGTTTTGGAATAAAACACCATTGAATCGTGTGGCGCAATGGTTTGGATTTTAATGTCCCGCTTGCTTTTCTAAACTACATTGTGCTTGCTATATCGATCGAAAATTCATCTGTTAATCAGCATTCTAAGACTGGTGTTTGTGCTAAATTGAATATTTTAGCTTCTATTTAACTAATGAAGAATTGATAACGAACTACCTCGAAGTCTTGATTGGCGACGGAAGGGCGTCTTTTCTTGCTCTGATCAATGAATCTCAAAAGACGAATATCATCTTTTCGTGATTTAACCAAGACGTAAACATGACAAAAATTACGTAAGTATCTTATGTTATTGGAAGTTAGTTAATAAATTACATTATCCTGCAACTTCTTCGACACGTCTTGAACCCTTAGCCTGAAATCTTGTTCGGTGCGTCTAGAGCCCTAGTACAGTATACCGTTTTCCGTCCATACCGTGGTGTGGAAGTCCACCTTAGCTTTGTTGAATATAATTCTGTCTAGAAATACTTTATTTGTCTACTCTAAAACGAACGAAGTTGGTTATATTTAAAAAAAGCCAGATATATAGATAAGAGGGTTTACAGATGTCGTCCAGATGCAAGTTTCTTTTCTTTTTGAATATACAAATGCAAAAGTTAATGAAGAGTTCCCTTGCCTCTAGACGAGAAAAAATTTACCAGAGAGCTTCGATCAAACAAAGCCAAAACACTAATGTACCAAAAGAAACAACCGTAACCTTCCAGGATAATGCAGCAAGACTCTTTGCCAGAAAACATAAGGAACTGTAGTGTATGTAGTAAATTTGTATCATCATCGAAAAACTATTTAAGAATAAAATTGCAGCGTTTTCAATAAATTGAATAAACCGTTTTTAATTGTACGATGCATTAAGATAGTTCAGGAAAATGTTTTTCCTTTTATTTTAACGTATTTAATAGACACTTTTGTAACATCTTTTCAGGACAATATTTCTTAAACTAAGGACAATATTTTACTTATTGTTTAACAAAGAATAGCCATGTTATGTGGATCTGTCAACATCCGTTATTAAAACTGTTATTATTATTATTATTATTATTATTATTATTATTATTATTATTATTATTATTCTTTTTATTGTCTCTTCCTCACGCCCTTTTGATGTTAGGCGGCTTTTTCTGACAGCGGATTGAATCCCTCAATCTTAGGTGTCCAGCGTCCTTCTTATTACTTTTGCTGTCCTAAGTATGCAAGTCCTCTGTTATAAAGACTTAAACTTTCTCAACTAAGGTCCCTCATCAAATTTCTTCAAATTTTTGCTTAGTGTACCAAGAGCTCCGATGTCATTATTATTATTAATATTATTTTTATTATTATTATGGGTGACAGAGAATCTAGACAATGTTGTTTCAAGCTTTGTTAGACAATGGCTCGAGCTGCCAATAAGTGCTTCACTAAGTAGCCTCGTCATTCCAAAATCGAAGTTTGGCATCAATCTCATTCTTCCATCTACCAAGTTCTTACAATGCCAAACAGTTATCCGCAACTCTTTAAGACTGTCCCCAAACCAAGAGATTCGCTCTTTATGGAAAGACTCTAGCACTGGTACAAACATCCAATATGACGTTTATCGCAACACCAAACAAGTTCTCAAATCCATCCAAAGTGAACACGAAAACCGCATTGAAAACGTTCTTACATCTCAAGGATTTATTATCTCGTGCATCTTAAAATTTGCTTCTAAGGGAACTAATCAACTTTGGTCTAGTGTCCAGCAAAAGTTACCAAAAAACATTTACAACTTTACCATCAAATACCTAAACAACACTCTTGCCACTAGGAAAAACCTCTGCAAATGGTCAATTACTCAGTCATCTGCCTGCTCTTTCTGTCTCCAATCAGAATCATTACAGCACATAGTCTCTAGCTGCAAGAATTATCTTGAACATGGTAGGTATACCTGGAGACATGATTCTGTACTTCTATATTTGGCTAAAATCCTTTCAACACCTAGAAACAGCTCACTTTACGCCGACCTGCTTTCATTTCTATCACCTTCTTTAATCACAGGCGACTCCTATCGACCAGATCTTGTCTTCGTAACTGAAGATCGAATCCTTTACATGCTAGAGCTTACTGTTGGGTTCGAAAGCAACATCGACGAAAACAGTACTCGAAAAGCTAGGAAATATAGCGATCCTATCAAGGAACTGAGCCCTGCCTATAAACGTGTTACCTTTGTTAACCTTTCTATGAGTGCCCTTGGCATTCTTGGAAGCTCATCTACCTCTCTCTCTGACATGCTACACCAACTGAATTTTGACTCAAATCAAACTAAATCCATCTTGATGAAACTCATGAACATTTCTATCCGCTGCACCTACTATATCTTCTGTCGTCGAAACAAACCATGGCTAAGCCCCGAACTAATTGACTTTTAAATATTGTAATGCAGATAAGCCAATTATATGATGCCTGTAAAAGCGAGTCGTATAATTGTAAATTTAAAATGTATTCAATGAAAATGAGATGTTTAAAAATTATTACTATTATAATTATCATCATTATTTTTATTACTACTTTTATTATTATTATTATAGAACATTACTGTTTATTGTGTTTCTAGGCTGACAGTGTTGTTTTACTTGCCATTACTTGCACAGTCGACGATACTCCGTCTCCCTTGTCAAACCTTTGCCGAATTCACAGTGTTCCACATGGGCAAAGCTCTTAAAGGCCACGTAATCAAAACGGAACGCGATGTGGACGACATTGGATGCACGAGGAAGTGCGTGGAGCACCACAAATGTCGATCATACAACTTAAACGTGCAGACCAAAGAGTGCCAGCTCAACGAAAGGAGACATGGAGAAAACGGTACGCAGTTGGTCGATGCTCCTGGTTGGTTGTACAAATCGACTGATTACAGCAAAAAGTTGGTGAGCTCACTGTCTGTTGCTATCTCTATGAATTTATGTTTGATGAAAACAGTCTCTTGGCGTCTAGCTAACCCTTTCCTTTTAAAAAGAATTTCTTGATTCTATTAAGAGACCACTCGAATTTCCTTAACGGTGGCTTTTCATTAAACAGAATTCGTCGATAATAGATACTTGAGATAAGTATTTGTTGATAAAGAACCTGAAAAGGGATGAAATCAAGCGCCATCTTTTATATTTCGTCCAGTGCCACAGCTGCCATTGATGTTTTCGCACTTCTCAAATCTTTTGTTTGTGTGGTAATTATTGTCAAATAATCTTTCTTTCCTTCATCAAATTTGTTCAAAGAGGCATATAAGCGTGCAACCTGTAATACGGAGAAAAGAAGAAAAATTGTCTTTGCTTTAACTCGTATCAATCAGAGGAAAAAATTATCCTAAAGTTAGTTCTCAAGAAAAATTTTATTGAGCTGTTTGGTAACCTGATATACTGTTTGTTTTGAATAGATTGGTGCGACATGCCGAGCTCTTAACCCATGTCCTTCTCACATCCTATGCAGAGATAAATGCACAAGCCCGTTTTATGAATGCGTTTATTGCGATGCGAATCACCGTGGGCTACACTGTGACATTTCACTTGGTATGTTTCTTATGATTTGAGCAATCTCTCTTACAAATTTCTATTATTGCTGTTTCCTTTGCTTTGTATGAAAGAAATCATACTTAGTTTAAGAGCATTTTTATCATTCATATTTTTCAATGACATAATTGCAATGTAACCTTCTTTTGAAGATAAAAACGACTGCGAGAAGAACCCTTGTCAGAATGGCAAGTGTGTGGATGAACATGCCAGTTATTTTTGCATTTGTGATCCAGGGTTTACGGGAAGGAATTGTGAATCAGGTATGCTTTTGGTCGAGAATCTGACTTTGACTTCATTTTACATTAATAATTGAATAAGTTGAGGATTAATTAGCGGACATGTGACATTTATTTCATGGCGGCTCTACGGCTCTATTTATTATTTCACGATGTCTCTAAAGCAATTTCTATCTACGATATTCACAGACATAAATGAGTGTGAGAGCCTTCCTTGTTTTAATGGAGGAACATGCAGAAACGACGTGAACAGATTTCAGTGTAACTGTCTTGCTGGATATTCAGGAACTCATTGCGAAGAAGGTAAGCAAACGAATAATTTAAAGCTTTTCCCTTGCTTCAGAGTCAGGCACGATTTATAATGTTTTGAAAGTTGATGTTAACTTTGGAATATGATGTAAACGCAACGAAAGACATTGCAGTCTTTAAATTTAGGTTGTTAGTTAGCTAAATATTTTTGCTATTCATTTTTGTAAAATCACCTTGCTAATGATGGAGTGAAGCAGAGTTTAAAACAGATCTGAGTATTAAATTAAGTTGCTACTTTTAGTTTTATTTTACTCTTGTCTACGTTTACTTACTATGATAAATTTAAGAGAAATGATTTTTCTCTTTTAAGAAGTGCTGTACAATTTTTAAGAAATGCGAAATTGTATTTGGCATACAGCGAGTTCGCATTTGCTTCACAAATATCTTCACTCAACTTTAATTTCTTCATTTCATGTGTTGCTAGTAAACATGCTTATATATTTAGATATCAACGAATGTGCTAGTACTCCCTGCCAAAATGGAGCCACTTGCATTGATAGAGTCAACGAATATACCTGCAACTGTTTACCAGGCTACACAGGAAAAGAATGCCAAACTGGTAAAGGTTCTTTTGTAAAGTTATTGCTTTGTCTGTAGTCGAAATAATTCATTATCAGCTCAATTGCAAGGACCTTGAAAGCCTTCATGTCAATTTACACAAATGGAACCATTTTTGTGACAACAGCTTTTATTTGAAATGTTCAAAGTTTGGTGGGTTCCATTCCAGTTAAAATGATTTATATCTTATTATGATGTATAATTGATATAGATGTTCTTTGAAAGCATATCAAGAAATTCTTAACATCTTTTGCCAAAAGCTGTCATTTTGGCCTAAATTCAAAAATAAATTTGACATTTTCCATTCCTTGAACTTTAAAGCGGAAGTGGTGCCCTCTCTAAAGCATAATTGCAATATTATATTGGAAACAGCCTGCCTATTAAAAATCTATCATATCCTTGCGGAGATCTTTGAAGTTTATTATTTCTGGCATAAACCGCGTCGATATATCTAAATTTTAGATGTTAATGAATGTGCCAGCAGCCCGTGCCGAAATGGAGCCACTTGCATTGATGAAGTCAACAGATACTCTTGTAACTGTTTACCAGGCAACACAGGACAACAATGCCAGACTGGTAAGATAACAAACGTTCTTTTTTGCAGAATATTTTACTTTGAAAATTATGGATGTTCCATTCTTAAAGCTCTGTTAAACCACACATTTCATACCATTAACGAACGTATAAGCTGCTACTATTAATGACACATCATATTTAGGGTCTCGGTTGCAATTGGGGAAAGCAGCAAATCCCTCTACTAAAAGAGTTTATTTCCTTTAAAATTATCTATCACACATAGTTTTTTGCATTTGAAAATCTATCGTGTTTCAATGGAAACTGTCTCATTTGTTTTGCTAAATGTATACACAGGCACAGTATTATGCAACGCCGGGTTGTGGTCCTGTAACCTTTGCGATGTTTAATGGTACCGATGGAGCAATCTAGATATGAAAAACATTTTAATTATATCCCTTAAAAATAAATTGACAATCCATTTGATATTATTTAGAAAGCAAGTTACAGCAAAACAAAACAAACATTTGATTTTGAAGCAGGTTGTGGTGCATTTTCTAAATTAGAATGGTTCTTTTATTGCGAACAGCAAATCAAACGGAGCATGCTATTTCCGTGTCTGCAAGTTAATTTTTGCACTCTAAATAAAACTAACAAACTTTGTTTCTAACATTGCATACATAAGCCCTTTAAATATCAGCCTTACTGTAATTATTTTACTGACACACTGCTGGAAAACCGCTTTTTTTCTAGAAATAAAAAAATTGTCGAAAGAAATTAGCAATAAATTTTCTTTATGGTTTCTGCTTGTAGCTAACATTGCAATGCAATGCAATGAGCAATGCAAAATTGTATTTGGCATACAGCGAGTTCGCATTTGCTTCACAAATATCTTCACTCAACTTTAATTTCTTCATTTCATGTGTTGCTAGTAAACATGCTTATATCTTTAGATATCAACGAATGTGCCAGTACTCCCTGCCAAAATGGAGCCACTTGCATTGATAGAGTCAACGAATATACCTGCAACTGTTTACCAGGCTACACAGGAAAAAGATGCCAAACTGGTAAAGGTTCTTTTGTAAAGTAATTGCTTTGTCTGTAGACGAAATAATTCATTATCAGCTCAATTACAAGGTCCTTGAAAGCCTTCATGTCAATTTACAGAAATGGAACCATTTTTGTGACAACAGCTTTTATTTGAAATGTTCAAAGTTTGGTGGGTTCCAGTTAAAATGATGTATATGTTATTATGATGTATAATTGATATAGATGTTCTTTGAAAGCATATCAAGAAATTCTTAACATCTTTTGCCAAAAGCTGTCATTTTGGCCTAAATTCAAAAATAAATTTGACATTTTCCATTCCTTGAACTTTGAAGCGGAAGTGGTGCCCTCTCTAAAGCATAATTGCAATATTATATTGGAAACAGCCTGCCTATTAAAAATCCAACATATCCTTGCGGAGATCTTTGAAGTTTATTATTTCTGGCATAAACCGCGTCGATATATCTAAATTTTAGATGTTAATGAATGTGCCAGCAGCCCGTGCCGAAATGGAGCCACTTGCATTGATGAAGTCAACAGATACTCTTGTAACTGTTTACCAGGCTACACAGGACAACAATGCCAGACTGGTAAGATAACAAACGTTCTTTTTTGCAGAATATTTTACTTTGAAAATTATGGATGTTCCATTCTTAAAGCTCTGTTTTTTAGCAGTAGTTAAACCACACAATTCACACCATTAACGTATAAGCTGCTACTATTAATGACACATCATATTTAGGGTCTCGGTTGCAATTGGGGAAAGCAGCAAATCCCTCTACTAAAAGAGTTTATTTCCTTTAAAATTATCTATCACACATAGTTTTTTGCATTTGAAAATCTATCGTGTTTCAATGGAAACTGTCTCATTTGTTTTGCTAAATGTATACACAGGCACAGTATTATGCAACGCCGGGTTGTGGTCCTGTAACCTTTGCGATGTTTAATGGTACCGATGGAGCAATCTAGATATGAAAAACATTTTAATTATATCCCTTAAAAATAAATTGAGAATCTATTTGATATTATTTAGAAAGCAAGTTACAGCATAAAAAAAGAAACATTTGATTTTGAAGCAGGTTGTGGTGCATTTTTTAAATTAGAATGGTTCTTTTATTGCGAACAGCAAATAAAACGGAGCATGCTATTTCCGTGTCTGCAAGTTAATTTTTGCACTCTAAATAAAACTAACAAACTTTGTTTCTAACATTGCATACATAAGCCCTTTAAGTATCAGCCTTGCTGTAATTGTTTTACTGACACACTGCTGGAAAACCGCTTTTTTTCTAGAAATAAAAAAATTGTCGAAAAAAATTAGCGATAAATTTTCTTTATGGTTTCTGCTTGTAGCTAACATTGCAAGAAAATTATCAGCTTAAACAGAAAAATGCAATAAAGCAAGTTGCTATTTTTGCCTAGTTATAATCTTGTCCCTATGCATCACCGCAAATTTAACAGTTAAGAGTTTCTGTTTATAGCAAGAACAAATGAAAAAGTTCACAACAGAAAGCTCAGTTTCACTTCACAAACATTTCCACTCAACTTCAATTTTTTCAATTCATGTATTGCTAGTAAACATGCTTATATATTTAGATATAAACGAATGTGCCAGTACTCCCTGCCAAAATGGAGCCACGTGCATTGATGGAGTCAACATATATTCTTGTTACTGTGTACCAGGATACACAGGATTACAATAGTTCTTTTCTGCAAAATATTTTACTTTGAAGATTACGAATGTTTCAATCTAAAAGACATTTTATTGCAAAAAACAGGTTACTCCTTTTTGTGTAAGTTTAATATCTGATTACCAGATTTCTGTAGATTATTTGAATAATCCTTTGATTTATTCAGAAATTGACTGAGTTGAAATGTTATGCTTTTAGAAATCAACGAATGTGCCAGTACCCCATGTCAAAATGGAGCCACGTGTGTCGATAGAATCAACAAATATTCTTGCAGCTGTTTACCAGGCTACATGGGACAAGAATGCCAGACTGGTAAAATGTCTCTTCCTGACATAGTGGAAATCGCGAGTGCATGCGCACAACTTTGGACAGTCCATAATGGCGCCACCACTGTTAGGGTGCGACCAATAGAAAAACACGTTCCTGTCTTTATATGTATTTTGCTCATCGAAATTTTGTCTTTCAAAGTCTCCATTTTGAATTTTTTTTTTAGGCTCAGAATCACAGCCGTAAAGACTCCATCCTAGTGCGCATGCGCTCGCAATTTCCACTATGTCTCTCTTCCCAAAATTGGACTTTTTCCGTTTTGCACAAAATAGACTTGCACCCTGCCCAACTGCAAAGTATTGCACTTTGAATATCTGGAACTTTCCGGTTTTTAAGTCTCTTGTCTGTTTGAATAATTATCAACCTACACAAAACGTATCACGATCGCGAGAACCGCCTTCATTGAATTTAATCATTTTTTCAGGATGTAGTTGACAAAAGCAGCCCACATTATTCAAAATAAAATCAGTTGATTTCGTGTTTGATATTCAATTGAATGTTTTTTGTTGTCGGTACTTTTGCAGCACATTGCAACGAATGTTATCAGTTCAGTCATTAATTAACTTCAATGAAATCTTATTTACAACAGACATTTATGAATGTGCCAGCAGTCCGTGCCAAAATGGAGGGACTTGCGTTGATAGAATCAACGGATATACATGCACCTGTGTCGCAGGCTACTCCGGACAACATTGTCAGACTGGTAAAGTGTCTCTTCTACAAATAGTCCTTTTCCCTTATATTTCGACCGATTTTACTGGTCGTATATTTAAAAAACATTCTACTTTGAACATCAAGGTTTCAGACTTGAAGCCCTTTATCTGCTTAACAGAAGTCGAATCTCACAAGTTGCAAAGTAATATTTAGAACAGCTTTTATTTGTTAATATTAATCCCAATTTATAATATTGATGTGGTTGATATTAGCAGGTAATGATAACACAATCGTTATGTTTGAAAGTCTATCTCAGAAAGCGAGTCTTACAGTGGTTTTCTAGATCTGATGATAAAATTGATAAAAATGACTTTTGGTAATATTTACAGGAGAGTTCTAGCATCTATTGTCAAAGTGATCCATTTTGTGCAGAGCTACAGTTGACTATATTATATTTTTAGATATTAATGAATGTGCAAGCAACCCATGTCATGTTGGATCCACTTGCATTAATGGTGTCAACAGGTTTACTTGCAGATGTGATAATGGCAAAATAGGTCTACTCTGTGACACTGGTAAGATTGCATTTTTTTTGCCGTATATTCTTTTATTTCTCTTTGAGGTTTCTCTGTCTGTGCCCATTCCCGTTTGAGATTTATTCCATCTTCTTTTGTTGTCTTCAGTTCTAGATTACGTCGGCTGCTACATAGATTCTCAAACCAGGGCACTCCCGCTTGCAAAAAGGCTAGACATTTCAGCAGGACACCTTACAGCCAACTGCATAAAGGCTTGTTTCGCATCTAATCAACCATATGCAGGGTTGCAGTACTTTTACCATTGCTTTTGTGGACCATCATATGACATCCACGGGAAAGGAGATGAAAGCACTTGCTCGACAAAATGCCAAGATAGCACTGGAATGTATTGTGGTGGAAGCTGGAGAAATTCTGTTTACAGAACAGGTGAGAGCACTTCTCAGACTTCAGATTTTAGAAGAAATCTCAAAAGAGTATCTCCGATGGAACTTATAAACAATTTGAAGTATTATTTCAGATCTTTCAACTGGTTTTTTCTCTCATGCAGGCTACAATTCACGTAAAAGATACATACATACATACATACATACATACATACATTTTTTATTTTTTAAAGCAGGTTAGAAAGTCTGGCAACTCAAAAGAGCTGATGTGGACCTGCTATAAATTAAAGGCTAAAGGAAATAATTATTACATCATGTAAAAGATCAAAAAATTCAAAAAATTATTTACTAGCAGTCTAGTAATATTTAAAATCATTCTCTTTGTTTAAAGTGAAGTTATTTATTGCCTGACGCACCTTTTTTAGTCTTTTTTTGAAAGTTTGTACACTTTCTGCGTCCTTAATTTGGTCTGGGATAGAATTCCAGATCATTGTTGCCTTGTATGTGAAACTGTTTCTCCCAGTGTTTGTATTATATCTTTTCACTTCGAACTGGAGTTTATTTTTTGTTCTTTGTTTTTCCGGGTCTTTCTTCTGAAACATCTGTGCAATTGATTGTTCAGCTGATCCAAAGTATATCTGGTGCATTAATGTGAGCAGCCTCCGTTTATACAAAAATGAGATTGGCTGCCAATTTGCTCTTGCAAGGCTCTCTTCATTACTTAAGTTTCGAGGTAGATTGTGTATTAGCCTCGCTGCCCTAGCATGGTTAACCTCAAGCATATTAAATGTAGCTTCAGAACAGTTCCTCCACACTGAAATGCAGTACGTTGTCCTAGCAATGATTGTTGTGCAATATATTTCTTCTAAGACTTTTGATGGTAGGCGTCTCATTCTTTTCAATGCACCCAGTTTCTTGGAAAAACTTTTGCATACATTTTGTACTTGAGGCTTCCAATCTAGCCTGTTGTCTAATCGCAATCCAAGACAAGTTGATTCTTGAACAATCTTTATGTGGTCATCTCCATACAAAATGGGTCTCATTGGCCCTATAAAGGGAGACCTCATCATGAACATAGCCTCACATTTTCCTGGATGTACTTTCAACTTGTTCCATATGCACCAACTATGTATCTCATCCATTATGCCGTTTAATGTGTCTACAACACTTTCCAAGTTTTTGCCTGTGCAATAAACGGTTGTATCATCTGCAAAAAGATACATTTCACCTTGCGTAATTGCAGATGGTAAGTCATTGACATGTAAACTATACAGCTTAGGGCCTAGTAAGGATCCTTGGGGAACACCAAACTCAACATGTTTTGTTGAACTGCACTCACCATTAATCTCAGCATACTGAGTCCTGTCTGTAAGATAATTCATAATCAATGCATGTAAATTTCCAGAAATTCCAGCTGCTTGCAATTTATACGACAAAATTTCATGGGAAACCGTATCGAAAGCTTTTTGGAAGTCTATAAACACCACACCAACAATCAAACCGTTATCAACTGATTGTTTCCATGACTCTGTCAATTTTAAGAGGATACCCTCCGTAGATCTTCCTTTGGCGAATCCCCACAATGGCTATCGACAGTGTTGCAGATTTGACTCTCTAGTACCTTGGATGGGATGGACAACATTGAGAGAGGCCTGTAATTTGTTCTCTCTTGTTTCTTTCCTTTCTTGAAAGAAGATTTAATCCGTGCTATCTTCCAGCATCTTGGAAATACACTCTGTTGGAAACTTGATTTGAAAATAATCTCCAGGCTGTTTACAATGCTGCCTTGAAGTATTTTCAGTTCTCTGCTGGTAACTGAATCAGGTCCCGACGCTTTATGCGGACTTATTTTCCTTAACTGCTTCAAGAGAACATCTCTGTCGTAGCTTGGATCTTGTACTGTAGGAGTTATTCTATATACATGTTCAATTTCTTTGCCATTATTTTGTGTGAATGTTTGTGATATCTCCCTGCCAATATTTGCGTAGAAATCGTTCATAACTTCAGCTTTCTCTTTGTCGCCAACAATTAGCTCCCCCTCTTTCGATTTTAATGGGCCTATTTTCGTTCTTTTTCCCTTATTGGTTACTTTGCTATAAATCTTCCAGAAATCTTGCTTGCAAGTTACTTCACTAAACTGCTCTCGATAATGAATCGGGTCTTTAGTGATACTGGCACTTTGAGCAAATGTTTTCAAGAGTGAAGAAGATGGTCAAGACGAGGGCTGGCAGTGCAAGATGTGGTTTTGTGAGGGTTCGACTTTTGTGAGGGTTCGGTTTTGTGACCGGTGCATTGGCCTGCAGAGTGGAGCAATGGCTTGAATATATATTAGAGCTCTGAAATATTTCTAGAAATATCTTTGTAAGTTGTGTTTTAATTTAGCCATATTTCACTCAGTTCCTTGCAGATTTAAAAAGAGTTCTGCACAGTGAAAATGTACTAATGTACAAAAGAATCACCACGAAAAAATATCTGAATAATTTTTTGGTCAATTATGATTGTGAGGAATAGTTTTGTTTAGAAATTTTGATTTGCTTATCATTAGAATTGGTGTGCAGAACGGGAACATGCGATGAAAATCGTGCAGTGTGCGGCAATGAAAAGTTTCAAAGAAACACAAAAATTGCATGTAACGCTGATAGATTTTGCAGTCTGCGCTAGGTTTTAGGCCACTTTAGCATCTATGCCTTTATATCCGAAATATTTACAAAAATAATTCTTTAGTGTATTGATGTTTATCAAATAACTAGAATATAGATTTTAAAAATCATTGAAGCGGTTTGATCCTAAAAAATTAAGGATATAGAGCTGAGACATGAAAAAATTAAAGAAAAAAGTTTGTTTTAACAAAAGAAATTGTTTACATTCCGTGAAGTACAAGAAAGATTCACTTACCGTTATTTGTAAACAGTATGTTGCAGTCAAGTAGTCCAGGCTCTAGTATCAACGAGGATCTACATTTTCTAACGGAAAAGCTGGAAAATTCAAATAATGAAAAACTTTCAAGAGAAAATTTTAATTCTTTGATGGCATGTTGCTCCAGTGTAATGGTGTAACAATGTAGCAATATTTGGCTTCTAACGAGTATTAATACGATGCAAAGCTTCATGTATTCGTAGTCAAGGCATATCCTGCTATCATATGGCAAGGCTTTGCTTTCTTAAGAATCAAAATATTTTGAATAATAAAAACTACAATTTTCACTTTCTTGTAAGCAAATTGCAAGGCAATGTACTTTTAAAAATTTGATTAAAAAATATTTGTCTCAAAACTGCACTTTTCACTTTATCTTGTAATCAAGTTGCAAGACTATATCTTTTAAAGGCTTTACGAATTTTAATTAAAAATGTTTGTCATTAAACTGTACCTTTCACTTTATCTCGTAATCAACTGGCAAGTTAAAGACTAAACGAAATTTGATTAAAAAATTTTGCCATAAAGCTGCATTTCTCACTTCACCTTGTAATCAATTGGCTTGAAAATTTGAAAATTTGCCTAATGTTGTAGTAAAAATGGCTGGTCAAAAAGCAACATTGGTTAAACTTCAGTTAAAAAAGAAGAATTGCCTAAATAGCATGACATGAATATATCTTCATTGATTCTCGAAAAAAGGAAAAATTAGGTTGGTGGCTGCATAGTCAGGAAAACATTACAGTCGCACGGCCACCGACCGGAGGAAGGTCAATAGATGCTCCTGTGGCACACCCAAGCCACGCCCACTTTCTATTGTTTTGTGAGGAAGGTTTGCTCTCTGGGATGTTTTTGTCGGGCGGTTATATACTGCTGTCAATTGCTAAGCATATACTAATTGAGAATTTAACGATGTTTAGTATAAGGCATTCTCCAAAATCAACAAATTTTTGTATCAATACGAACGCAAAAATTATTGAAAATTTTGAAAACGGAATAATTAAGATGGGTTATTATTGTGTCTTGGGCTTTAAGCAAGGTGAGAAAAAACACAGAGAGCGAGAGAACTACATTTCTCTGAGTTTTTTGTTGCAACCGATCACACACCCATCCATTCCAACTCTGTCGTTACATGTGGACTGGTGACGAGCACTGATTTCGAAAAAAGATTGGGTCGAACAATCATTAAACTCTTAAATATTCTAAGATACAACAGGCCTAGGAAAATAAGTGAACAGTGATCTTACATAAGCTTAATACCACGGCAAAAATGTTTAACATCACTTCCGAATGATGCAAGTTTTTGTTTCTATGGTTACTTTGAATTTTGCTATGAAAAAGCAAGTTGAACTGCAACCAACATGATTGCTCTCTAGTCTCATTCAACGTATCGAGGTCTCAAGATGGACGCTGCAATGTGGAATCAACGCTGGGCTGGAGAAGCTCGATCCAGTCCTTTTTTGAGATCAGTGGTGACACATCCAATGGGAAGTTGTACTATTAGCTAGGCCAATGGATAAACATGTGATTAATGACATGGTAGCTTTAAACAAGTGGCCAAAGCGTTTTTGACACTAGTTCACAACAGTGTTGTATCATTCTCAAATGGTAACACTTGGTCTCAAATGGTCTCAAATGATAATTCTATTCGATTTTTACTGTTTGACAGTGCAATTATTTTTTTGACAATGCAACGGCTTAAATAAAATGATGGTTGATTAAATGTATGATTTAGATACATACATTTATCTTTGAAACTCTGACCTGGCTTAATGTTTTATTGACCGGTGCTCGGTTTGTTAAAGACTGTAAACAATCTCAGGAATCAGACTTCATAAAAATCAATCTTGCATTTTCAATCCTTAAATTGCTCATGTCTTCTTCTCTTCATAACTTTTCTCGCAGAGCGTTCATCTCAAAAAACTCTACCTTGCCTTTTGCGGGAACTATAGCCAGAGTCCAGAAAAGTTGTCAACCTTCCTCTAGACAAAAACATCCCAGAAGACAAACCTTCCTAGCAAAATAATAAAAAGTGGGCGTGACTTGGGTGTATCATAGGCGCTTCTGTTTGTTTTCGTGGACCTTCTTCCGGTCAGTGGCCGTGCGACCGTAATGTTTTCCTGACCCTGGCTTTAGCCTGCATGAAAGAAAATGCCCGTTGAACGCGCTGAAAAATAGGTTAAAATTCCTTAGAAGACTTTATTTGAATGGTACACTAGAAATATACTGGATTCGGTTCAACATACATTGGTACGGGATGTGGCATTTTTCAAGTAGAAAACAATTTTTGGGGTATCGATTTTGGTATAATCAATCATGGCCTTGAAAATTTTGGGATCTATTTTAGCATGACCTTAAATTTTGAAGTATCATTTTTTTAAAAAAGTAGGATGTTTTCATTTACTTGATCTAACTAGAAATGAATGTTTTTCAATAGAGTAAAACTCATTGCAAAACTATTTCTATGATATCTGACGATAGGTCGTTCACAATGACGACAGGCCAAAATCTTAACATTTACTGACAAAGCCCAAAATTACCGACGGGTTCTACAAAAATCCCCAACACTACCTTACCTCAGTATGCCCCTGGTATCTACTTTGCAAAAATCATTTAGATTTAGCTTGAGATTTTACGCTGTAGCACAGTGGTGTGGTGGCTCAAAATTGGCGCCTCCTAGAAAACTATACCTTAGTTCAACCCGATCAGGGCCGGTGTCATATGCGTTTCGGTAACCCCAAGCACTTAAACAATAGGGTACCAAAACGAACTTGGAATTTCGCATGCAAAACGGTCCTGGTACAGAAACGCATAACAATTTTGCCTATACAAAAACGAACCCAAGCTTTTAAAAAACAGGGAACTGAAACAAATTGTGGAATTTAGCATGCGACCTGGTCTGGGAACACAATTTTTCAGAATTTAAAGAACAATCGAACTATGTCTAACAAGGGGGTACTAACAAGAAGCGGTGCTGTGATTTCCCTTGTTAAGTTTATGCAAAAAAGTACAACATTAATGGCGACTCCAAAGTTTTTTTGATTAAAAAGTGTGAAATTTTAAACAAAAAAAGCATTGTGTTTTATTTGTTAATTATAATGTGTCATAATATCGCACTACGATGAAATCACTTGATTTGAAACACATTGCGTTTCACAATGTTACACTTTTGCATAGGGTACCAACACGCATATGACACCGGCACACGTCATTAGAGGTGTAGGACCACAATGCAAAGATGTTTGACTTCCAGAAAAGTATAAAATTCTAGGGACCACGGGATACTATATCTAAAGCATAAATTTAGACTGAAGAAAGATCTTGGGCCAACCTCAGACATTGAAAGTCTTGTTTTACATCATTAATGTAGGACTTCAAACGAACACTTTGGTTGCCTAGTGTAATAGAAACAGTTTCGATAATACCCACAAATGGAAAACAGTTTAATTAAGATCCTTAAACGAGGTATCTACTTCAAAGATATGTCAGCACTCTGGCTAAAGATTAGAAAGAATTGTTGGAGGAATAATTTTAAATGACACAATTTCGAGATTTGAGTTTTTCGGAAGTGTAAACGTTTTTGCTCCAACAATCGAAATCCTTGATGCCCGTTTGAAAAGAAAACTGCCTCGAATAACCTAGTTTTTAAATAATACCAGAAGCTCTGTTGCTACATGCCCGAACCCCACTAGGTTTATTCTATGTTTATTTAGCATCATGTACACCTATCTGTTGTTCATTACGCCTACTGAAGATGCATAAAGGTTGACTGCCTTTCCCTTTTGCGCCTGCAGACATCCTTTTCTTCACGACGTCGTAGCCCCGTTGCTTGAAAGATGACTGGAGTTGTAGTAATAGCCCTGCTACCTTGGATGACGATAAATCACGGCCCAAATGAGGCGTATTTCAAAGTATTTACGGAAGAACCATTTAAATCGTGTTATCCGGGTCGATTTCAAATGCCTTTTAAGCTATATTTACCGCAGCATTAATACAAGAAATTGCACTTTTATAGCAAAACTTTTAACCAATTTTCTATACATTCTAAAAATGTATCCCATCTTCAAATATACTTTGATTCTAAACTAGTTGAGAGATGACGTATTCAGATTATATTATGAAAGTCTCGGCGCTATCGGAGGATATCGACAAGGATTTTTCCATAACTTTTTTTTAATTTAAAGAAGTAAGCAGAAGAATTTCAAAACATCAATGTAATATAGGAGGAAAAATCTCCTCCTTCTAATAAGCACCCTGCTTAAACAAGCGCCTACCCTATCAGGAAAACCATTAAAGACGAGCCCCCCTTGAGCAAGCGTTCACAACCTCCTCTTTAAGATACGGGCGCCTATATGAAATTTTAGCCAAAACGAGTTTCTGAGACCTGAATATTAGTCATACAGGAACTTGGAAAGCAAAAAAGAGTAGAAATGAACAACAAAGTTGGTTCTAGTTTTCATTCCTGTCAGTCTTCAGTTTAAATGTTTCATAGCAAGGAAACGTTTTTAACACACTCTCAAACATATTTATTACGCCTATCTTCTTTTTATTTTCGAAATCCCTCCTTTACTTTTCTGTCTTTGCTTGAATTGCTTTGACAACCAGAAAAATTAAGTAAGCGCCCTACTTAAATAAACACCCCTTTGAGGCTTATAGCAAAAATAGGCCCCCGGGCACTAATTCGAGGATTTACGGTAAGCAAAAGGTTATGGCTATTGAAACATTTCATTTTGTTAAACAACTTGCTCTCTGAAAATTAGTACTGACCAAACTCGTGATAATATTATGAAGTTTGGTACAAGTACACAATTCGATATGCTGAATAAAATGAAATCCATAACAAGCTTAAAAAATGGCCCCAAAAGCTATTTTTGGACTGGTATACTTGTACCCAAATATTCTTTTAGGTATAGAACTACAACTTGTCCACTTTGCATGTTAAAAAACCGAAACTTTTTTGACATGCTGAAAAGGAACAAAATGAGATGCAGAATCTGCTTTTGAAATTCTGCAAAAGCAATTTACATTCAGACATTTAAAGCCTGCACATATCCTTAGTGTATCTGACAAAACATCGGTTTACAATCAGAGGACTGTCAGGCGAAAGTACATGATATATTTCCGCTTTTCCATGAAACCTTTAATTATTCATTTCATATAATAAATCCTGCGTATACTCTTTCATTTTCTAAGAACCAGAAAACTATAGCTCAGGCTGGCTGTTCTAAATATTTAAATAAACTTTGAGGCAGGATTGTTCTGAATTTTTTGTAAATTATTTGGGTATGATCAAAAGGAAGCAAAAACATAAGAAAACGCCTTACTGCAAAATAACATATAAAGCATATATCATGCAGATATTGTTTTTTTAATACCATTAAAAAAAGATATGTAATGGTGCTAGATCTTGGAATGGCGTCTCAGCTGAATGTGAACAGTCATCTTCCCTGAGCAACTTTAAAAAATTTCTTGCTCAACTGTCAGTAGATACTAACTATTTGATATTTTTACCGTTGATGTTTATTTTAAATTACAAAGCTCAGATTTAAGTACGGTACGGTACGGAATTGTAATTAGGTTAATTTATTTTCTATGCAATAGCTTTTTCTGTACGTTTTTCAAGTAGAGGGCCCCTTGAAAATCAGCATTGCTGAAGGGCTACTATATATGAAATGAAATATAACCTATCGTAAAAGATTTGTTCTTAAAACAATGTTTTGGCATACTCACAATCCATAGTACCTCGGCCTTCAACCTGGTCCACTTTCAACTTTGACCAAGGTTGTTGCTCGTGTTCTTATAAAGTTAATCTCTTTAGAAAAAAACTGTATATGAAACGTTAATGATAACTTTTTCGAGACTTAAACAGTTCACTTCTAAAAAGCCAAAACAAAAGCAAGTGGAATGTTCTAAACGAAAAAAATTCATTTATATCATAATTTACAAATTTTTTTAAAGAATCTTTACGTGTCGATTTTTTATAAGAATGGTGAATTTTCACAGTGCAATACTTTACGTCTAATCTGAAAAGGGATTATTTAAAATAAGACGTGAAAACTAGATTAAAATATCACTGAGAAAGAAATTTCTAGAAATCTGATCCATAGTTAAATGGGTCAGTGGTCGGTACGTTTCACTCTGGAAATCATTAACAAATTGTACCCTTACAAAAACTTATCCAGGACACTCAGCTCTCAACTAGACCATCGTCCTCACTTTTCAAAAATTTTGCTAAAAGTGTTCATGTTCATATCAGTAAAGACCTGATTCATCGTCTTTTACGTGAACTGTAACCTGCAATGAGAAAAAGCCAATTGGCGATCTGACAAATACTACCGCGTCAAATCTATTCTGAGATTTTCGCTGAAATCTGAGATCTGACTTTGTGCATTTTAGTTCAATTGTACAATTGTTTTCAACAAAGATGTTTCGTTTTTGATTAGTAAGCCTGGACTAGCCTATATACCTTTAAAATTGACTTACTTTGTGCACAAATCTATGTTCAAATGACCTATAAAAAACGCAAATTGTTTAGTAAAAAATAAGTGTTTAATCCCAGCTGCTAGACAGGGAATTTTGTAGAAAAAACTAGCAAACTGCCTAACCTCAAATTTTATTTCACATTCTTACTAAATCGACCATGGAGATTCCAAATCCAAGATGGGCCAAAAAAAATTATCACCGGAAGTTACTGTTTTTCATGACGTCATCAAAAAAATGATAAAAAATCTTTAAAAATCGGCCAAGGACTCGAACTTAACTTTTTTTGCATTTTTGCACTAAATTGACTATGCAGATTTCAAATCTGAGTTGAAATGAAAAATATCTTGAACAGAAGTCAAATTTTGTGATGACGTCATCAACTTGGAGAAAATTCACTTTGAACCTTTTTAATTGTTTTCTCGCAACTATCATTGTCAAATATGTTCCATATTCGAATTGCACACATTCAGTTCTTTTAAAAGATGTATTGAATTTCTATTATACTTACTTTTAAACGTTCTTTCATGACGTCATCATCATTTTATGACGTCATCGTCTTTTAAAGGTAATTGAATAACGCGTGAAAGGATGCCTAAAAATCTTTAGCTAGTTAAAAAAGTCATTCAAAATTAAAATTTCGTTGTATAGAAAATGATATGGAGCGATAAAATTTGTGCAAAAATAATCATACGAAGGGAAATGTGATGAAACACTTGTGCAGATAAGAGTAAGAATTCGCAAGGCAATGAAAAACAGATAATCAGAAGCTCTACAACCAGATCCATACTGGTTGACACAAGCATTTACTACTGGTTACATTATCAAAAGAAGATTGTAAGAGAAATTGCCTTTAAGCTTTGGTTAGACATACGATGGAAAGAATGATCTGGCCCACAGGTGGTATTAGTGTGGTTTATAGGAAAAAAAATTCTTTACATCTTCTAATTTTGAACATACATTTGATAAATAAATAAGAAATGGCACGAAGAGGATATACAGAGAAAAACGTTTCTTAACGGCTTGAAAACAAAAATATCCGATCGTCAACGTTAAAAAAGCTGTGAATATCTGCAGAAAATACTGGAGTCAGCAAAATAATTCCAAAATCTTTTCACACAAATTATGTTCATCTTGTGCAGGGCCCCGCACACCCTCCGCTAAAAAACTGCAAGATCTGCAGCGCTCTAGTGATGAAATCGAGGAAAATTCCTTAACCAATGAGGACTAGGCCATGGGAAAAAATTATGGTGAGGTGATCAGCTTAAAGCAGACGATGATGAGTGGAACTACATTTTCTTCTGGAGTTCCAGCAAAGGAGACAGTGATGAAGGATGAATGGATCCATATAATTTTCTAAACAACGAAATTTTAATTTTGAATGACTTTTTTAACTAGCTAAAGATTTTTAGGCATCCTTTCACGCGTTATTCAATTACCTTTAAAAGGCGATGACGTCATAAAATGATGATGACGTCATGAAAGAACGTTTAAAAGTAAGTATAATAGAAATTCAATACATATTTTAAAATCACTGAATGTGTGCAATTCGAATATGGAACATATTTGACAATGATAGTTGCGAGAAAACAATTAAAAAGGTTCAAAGTGAATTTTCTCCAAGTTGATGACGTCATCACAAAATTTGACTTCCGTTCAAGATATTTTTCATTTCATCTCAGATTTGAAATCTGCATAGTCAATTTAGTGCAAAAATGCAAAAAAAGTTGAGTTCGAGTCCTTGGCCGATTTTTAAAGATTTTTTATCATTTTTTTGATGACGTCATGAAAAACAGTAACTTCCGGTGATAATTTTTTTTGGCCCATCTTGGATTTGGAATCTCCATGGTCGATTTAGTAAGAATATGAAATAAAATTTGAGGTTAGGCAGTTTGCTAGTTTTTTCTACAAAATTCCCTGTCTATGCCGACTTCATTAACCATTGAACAAACAAAAGGCAAATTAAAGACAACAAATAAGGACTAGTTGTTAAATAAAACAAGAAACATAACAGAAAATATGCATTGTTAAAGTTCAAGTACGAAAACAAGTCTAATTAACACGCATTACGCCAATCTCAACATTATCATCACTTTCTCCACACGCAAAGCTCTGTGTTTTGTACAGCCTTTCGAAAATCAATCAAACCACAAGACGTTGATCAACTGGAAATTCACATTATCAATATGTTGTACATAACCGAAACATCATAAAATATATTGTCAAAAACATCTTTTCGAAATAAGCATTTGTATGTATCTTGAATCTTACCTGTTCTGTAAACGGAATTTCTCCAGCTTCCACCACAATACATTCCAGTGCTATCTTGGCATTGTGAAGAGCAAGAGCTTTCACTTTCTTTCCAGTATCTGTCATATGATGTTCCACAAAAGCATTGACGACCAGCTTGCAGCCCCGCGTATGGTTGATTGGATGTGAAACAAGCCTGTATGCAGTTAGCTGTAAGGTGCCCTGCGGAAACGTCTAGCCCTCTCACATGCGGGAGTGCCCTCGGATCATAATCTTTGTAGCAGCCGACGTAATCTAGAGCTGAATTCAAGAAAAAGAATAGAATAAACCTCAAACGGGAATGATATGAATTTTGAATCGCTTTAATATCTGTGAATTCTTTTTTCTTTCAGTTTCCAATTATCGTTTTTTTCCGATTTTTGCCAATAAGCTTGTAAGAAAAGAAGATTGTCAATTGAGAATGTCTTGAGTGATTGACTGTTTCGCCGATCGATTAAAAGACTGGTTCAACGATCGATTAATTGATTTGGGATGATTAAATGACTGATTTATGTGATTGAATGATTGTTTGTAATGATAAATGGATTGATTTATGCCTTTATATCTATTCGTCAGTTATCATTAAGTTGCATAACATACTTCCAGTCCTCATTTTCATCAAACAGAACTAAAAGAATATACGGCAAAGAAAAATGCAATCTTATCAGTGTCACAGAGTAGACCTATTTTGCCATTATCACATCTGCAAGTAAACCTGTTGACACCATTAATGCAAGTGGTTCCAACATGACATGGGTTGCTTGCACATTCATTAATATCTAAAAATATAATAATGTCAACTGTAGCTCTGCACAAAATGGATCACTTTGACAATGGATGCTAGAACTCTCCTGTAAATATTACCAAAAGTCATTTTTATCAATTTTATCATCAGATCTAGAAAACCACTGTAAGGCTCGCTTTCTGAGATAGACTTTCAAGCATAACGATTGTGTTATCATTACCTGCTAATATCAACTACATCAATATTATAATTTGGGATTAATATTAACAAATAAAAGGTGTTCTAAATATTACTTTGCATCTTGTGAGATTCGACTTCTGTTAAGCAGATAAAGAGCTTCAAGTCTGAAACCTTGATGTTCAAAGTAGAATGTTTTTTAAATATACGACCAGTAAAATCGGTCGAAATATAAGGGAAAAGGACTATTTGAAGAAGAGACACTTTACCAGTCTGACAATGTTGTCCGCAGTAGCCTGCGACACAGGTGCATGTATATCCGTTGATTCTATCAACGCAAGTCCCTCCATTTTGGCACGGACTGCTGGCACATTCATAAATGTCTGTTGTAAATAAGATTTGATTGAAGTTAATGACTGAACTGTTAACATTCGTTGCAATGTGCTGCAAAAGTACCGACAACAAAAAACATTTCAATTGAATATCAAACACGAAATCAACTGATTTTATTTTGAATAATGTGGGCTGCTTTTGTCAACTACAACCTGAAAAAATGATTATATTCAATAAAGGCGGTTCTCACGCTCGTGGTACGATTTGTGTAGGTTGATAATTATTCAAACAGACAAAAGACTTAAAAACCGGAAAGTTCCGGATATTCAAAGTGCAATACTTTGCAGTTGGGCAGGGTGCAAGTCTATTTTCTGCAAAACAGAAAAAGTCCAATTTTAGGAAGAGAGACATAGTGGAAATTGCGAGCGCATGCGCACTAAGATGGAGTCTTTACGGCTGTGATTCTGTGCCGAAAAAAAAATGGAGACTTTGAAAGACAAAATTTCAATAAGCAAAAAGCATATAAAGACAGGAACGTGTTTTTCTATTGGTCGCACGCTTACAGTGGTGGCGCCATTATGGACTGTCAAAAGTTGTGCGCATGCGCTCGCAATTTCCACTATGTCAGGAAGAGACATTTTACCAGTCTGGCATTCTTGTCCCATGTAGCCTGGTAAACAGCTGCAAGAATATTTGTTGATTCTATTGACACACGTGGCTCCATTTTGACATGGGGTACTGGCACATTCGTTGATTTCTAAAAGCAGAACATTTCAACTCAGTCAATTTCTGAATAAATCAAAGGATTATTCAAATAATCGTCAGAAATCTGGTAATCAGATATTAACTTGCAGACAAAGAAGTAACCTGTTTTTTGCAATAGAATGTCTTTTAGATTGAAACATTCGTAATCTTCAAAGTAAAATATTTTGCAGAAAAGAACTATTGTAATCCTGTGTATCCTGGTACACAGTAACAAGAATATATGTTGACTCCATCAATGCAAGTGGCTCCATTTTGGCAGGGAGTACTGGCACATTCGTTCATATCTAAATATATAAGCATGTTTACTAGCAATACATGAATTGAAAAAATTGAAGTTGAGTGGAAATGTTTGTGAAGTGAAACTGAGCTTTCTGTTGTGAATTTTTTCATTTGTTCTTGCTATAAACAGAAACTCATAACTGTTAAATTCGCGGTGATTCATAGGGACAAGATTATAACTAGGCAAAAAAAGCAACTTGCTTCATTGCATTTTTCTGTTTTTCAACTCTGTTTCAGTCTTTCATTATTTAGATGATATCTTATCTCATCTATGAACTCATTCATACTAACAAGTTTTCAGCTTTTTTCACCTTGTATCAAGAGCTCATCTATACTAACAATAGCTTTTGCGAAAAACCTTCTTTCTTTGATACATTAGTGTTCAAAGGTTCTTGTCTGTTAAGAAGTTTTATCGCTTTAGGAAAATCCGGAACAGGCAACCAACCAGCCCACTTATTCTAAAGGAATCAGGCTAACCAGGCCATCAATAGGCTGGTTGTCAGGCTAACCAGTCGGCAAATGAATTAATCCTGGCTTCAAACGAATTGGTACACGCAACCTTGGTGAATAATATTCTGGAATTCAACCGTCATGCCGAAAGAAGCTATTGGCAATCAAACTATTTTTATTTTATCATAGGCTGATAATTATCTTGCAATGCTAGCTACAAGCAGAAACCATGCAGAAAATTTATCGCTAATTTTTTTCAACAATTTTTTTATTTCTAGAAGAAAAGCGATTTTTCAGCAGTGTGTCAGTAAAATAAATACAGTAAGGCTGATACTTAAAGGGCTTATGTATGCAATGTTAGAAACAAAGTTTGTTAGTTTTATTTAGAGTGCAAAAATTAACTTGCAGACACGGAAATAGCATTCTCCGTTTTTTTTGCTGTTCGCAATAAAAGAACCATTCTAATTTAGAAAATGCACCACAACTTGCTTCAAAATCAAATATTTGTTTTGCTATGCTGAAACTTGTTTTCTAAATGATATCAAATGGATTGTCAATTTACTTCCAAGGGGTATATTTAAAATCTTTTTCATATCTAGATTGCTCCAGCGGAACCATTTGACATCGTAAAAGTTACAGGAACATCACCCGGCTTTGCATATTACTGTGCCTGTGTATACATTTAGCAAAACAAATGAGACAGTTTCCATTGAAACACGAGCGATTTTCTAATGCAAAAAACTATGTGTGATAGATAATTTTAAAGGAAATAAACTCTTTTAGTAGAGGGATTTGCTGCCTTCCTCAATTGCAACCTAGACCCTAAATATGATGTGTCATTAATAGTAGCTGCTCTTACGTTAATGGTGTGAATTGTGTGGTTTAACTACTGCTAAAAAAACAGAGCTTTAAGAATGGAACATCCATAATTTTCAAAGTAAAATATTCTGCAAAAGGAACTTTGTTATCTTACCAGTCTGGCATTGTTGTCCTGTGTAGCCTGGTACACAGTTACAAGAATATCTGTTGACTTCATCAATGCAACTGGCTCCATTTTGACACGGGCTGCTGGCACATTCGTTAATGTCTGCAAATAAAAAATGTCAGCTTAGTTAGTAAGATAGTAAATTGAAAATATTCCACATATCATGTTCTCTAGAATTAAATAGTTTGCACCCTCTACGTACTATTTTTCGCTTCATTTGCTGTTCTTTATGAAAGAGTAATTTGGCTTAAGGAAGTGCCCAATTTCACGCTTCAAGATTAAAAGAATGGAATATGTCAAATTTATTACTGTAATTTGAATTCCATTATTAACATTGTGAATTCCTTCTTCTTTTTGGTGCTTTTTTTAAATGTGTTGAATAAAATTCGTGGTGTGAAAGTTGTGGTTAAACTATCGATAAAAAGAAAGGAACATCCATAATCTTCAAAATAAAATACTTTCTAACATCCGTAATTTTCAAAGTAAAATACTTTGCAAAAAATAACTTTTGTTATCTTACCAGTCTGGCATTGTTGTCCTGTGTAGCCTGGTACACAATTACAAGAGTATCTGTTAACTTCATCAACGCAAGTGGCTCCATTTCGACACGGGCTGCTGGCACATTCGTTAAAGTCTAAAATTTAGATATATCGACGCAGTTTATGCCAGAAATGATAAACTTGAAAGATTTCCGCAAAGATATGATAAATTGTTAATAGGAAGGCTGTTTGCAATAAAATTGCAATTATGCTTTAAAAAGGGCATCCGCTTCAAAGTTCAAGGAATGGAAAATGTCAAATTTATTTTTGAATTTAGGCCAAAATGACAGCTTTTGGCAAAATATGTTAAGAATTTCTTGATATGCTTTCAAAGAACATCTATATCAATAATACATCATAATAACATATACATCATTTTAACTGGAACCTACCAAACTTTGAACATTTCAAATGAAAGCTGTTGTCACAAAAATGGTGCCATTTCTGTAAATTGACATGAAGGCTTTCAAGGTCCTTGCAATTGAGCTGATAATGAATTATTTCGACTACAGACAAAGCAATTACTTTACAAAAGAACCGTTACCAGTTTGGCATTCTTTTCCTGTGTAGCCTGGTAAACAGTTGCAGGTATATTCGTTGACTCTATCAATGCAAGTGGCTCCATTTTGGCAGGGAGTACTGGCACATTCGTTGATATCTAAAGATATAAGCATGTTTACTAGCAACACATGAAATGAAGAAATTAAAGTTGAGTGAAAAAATTGGTGAATCAAATGCGAACTCTCTGTATGCCAAATACAATTTCGCATTTCTTAAAAATTGTACCGCACTTCTTAGAAGAGAAAAATCATTTCTTTTAAATTTATCATAGTAAGTAAACGTAGACAAGAGTAAAATAAAACTAAAAGTAGCAACTTATTTTAATACTCAGATCTGTTTTAAACTCTGCTTCACTCCATCATTAGCAAGGTGATTTTACAAAAATGAATAGCAAAAATATGTAGCTAACTAACAACCTAAATTTAAAGACTGCTATGTGTTTCGTTGCGTTTACATCATATTCCAAAGTTAACATCAACTTTCAAAACATTATCACTGACGGCAAACACGTCGTGCCTGACTCTGAAGCAAGGGAAAAGCTACGATTTATTCGTTTGCTTACCTTCTTCGCAATGAATTCCTGAATATCCAGCAATACAGGTGCATTGAAATCTGTTCACGTCGTTTCTGCATGTTCCTCCATTAAAACAAGGAAGGCTCTCACACTCATTGATGTCTGTGACAATCGTAGACAGAAATTGCTTTAGAGACATCGTGATATAATACGTAGAGCCGTAGAGCCGCCATGAAATTAATGTCACATGTCGGCTAATTAATCTTCAATTTATTCAATGATTAATGTAAAATGAAGTCAAAGTCAGATTCTCGACCAAAGCATAACCAAGCTGACAGCACTAATACTAATTTGGTGCTTAGTAACTGGGAAAAGGCACAGTGGCCCTGCATCAAAGAGTCAATCAAAACAAAGACTTGATGCCTGTTTGAGGAAAATTGACACAATTACCGTGATTTTTGCTTTGTCGTGTGATAAATAAGGTTACCTCAAGAACACAAGAAACCATTTCTTTCTCAGATCTTGATTTTCTGTGCCAATACTAGTGTTAAACAAACAAAACCAAGTAGAAGTCAATTCCACTATTTACCTGATTCACAATTCCTTCCCGTAAAGCCTGGATCACAAAGGCAAAAATGACTGGCATGTTCATCCACACACTTGCCATTCTGACAAGGATTCTTCTCGCAGTCATTTTTATCTTCAAGAGAATGATTTCATTGCAATTATGTCAGAAAGATGCATTTGGAGAATATAAATGATAAAAATGCTTTTAAACTAAGTATGATTTCTTTCATACAAAGCAAAGGAAACAGCAATAATAGAAATTTGTAAGAGAGATTGCTCAAATCATAAGAAACATACCAAGTGGAATGTCACAGTGTAGCCCACGGTGATTCGCATCGCAATAAACGCATTCATAAAACGGGCTTGTGCATTTATCTCTGCATAAGATGTGAGAAGGACATGGGTTAAGAGCTCGGCATGTCGCACCAATCTATTCAAAACAAACAGTATATCAGGTTACCAAAAACTTCAATAAAACTTTTTTGAGAACTAACTTTAGGACAATCTTTACATCTGATTCATACGAGTTAAAGCAAAGACATTTTTTTCTTCTTATATGCATCTTTGAACAAATTCGATGAAGGGAAGTAACATTATTTGACAATAATTACCACACAATCAAAAGATTTGAGAAGTGCAAATACATCAGTGACAGCTGTGGCACGGGACGAAATATAAAAGATGGCGCTTGATTTCATCCCTTTTCAGGGTCTTTATCAACAAAAAATTATCTCAAGAGATCTATTATCGACGAATTCTGTTTAATGAAAAGCCACCGTTAAGGAAATTTGAGTGGTCTCTTAATAGAATCAAGAAATTCTTTTTAAAAGGAAAGGGTTAGCTAGACGCCAAGAGACTGTTTTCATCAAACATAAATTCATAGAGATAGCAACAGACAGTGAGCTCACCAACTTTTTGCTGTAATCAGTCGATTTGTACAACCAACCAGGAGCATCGACCAACTGCGTACCGTTTTCTCCATGTCGCCTTTCGTTGAGCTGGCACTCTTTGGTCTGCACGTTTAAGTTGTATGATCGACATTTGTGGTGCTCCACGCACTTCCTCGTGCATCCAATGTCGTCCACATCGCGTTCCGTTTTGATTACGTGGCCTTTAAGAGCTTTGTCCATGTGGAACACTCTGAATTCGGCAAAGGTTTGACAAGGGAGACGGAGTATCGTCGACTGTGCAAGTAATGGCAAGTAAAACAACACTGTCAGCCTAGAAACACAATAAACAGTAATGTTCTGAAAAGAGAAGGAACTCTTCATTAACTTTTGCATATGTATATATGAATAGAATAGAAAGTCACATAATTTGGCAGACCACCAGTCTATGTATCTTGCTTTTTAGAAATGTGTCCAATCTTGTTCTTATTAGAGTAGACGAGTAAGGTATTCCTGGACAGAACTGAATTTATCATAATGGATGTATACACCGTATTATTTGTGTACCCTAAGTTGTGTACTATTTTATGTTACCAAGTGGCTTCGACGACATATCGCGTCGGATATATATAGTTTGGATGTAGTTTCAATACACACAGTGGTACGTTGAAGGGGGCGCAAGGGGCTCAGCCCTCTTGTCAAAATTAAAGGTGGGATCAGCCTCCCTTATTGAGCCAGCATATTTTTGATTGGCACACTCCTTAGTTGGCAATATGAACCCACTCTTTTTTGAATAAGCATGGGCATGAAAATTGTTTTTCTTTGAATGAGCCATTTCTATTAGCCTTTTAGGGTAAGTCAATAAGTGAAATAATTTCCATATACAAAATAATCTTTAACAGAAATGCAGCCATACATAGTGTGACCCTTGGTGTGATCATGGGTATGGCTTCTAAATGTTCCCTTTATCACAACCCCCCCCCCTCTAACCTTTTTGGAGGGAACCCTTGATTACACATACCAATTGGGTTAAAAAACAAGTTAACCTTTTTGCATGTTTCTGGGTGAGTGTCTTTAGATTTGATTTAACTTTGCACGAGACATTTTTATTATCATCTGTTGTGTATTTAGTTGTGAAAAGTACTCACTTGATAATAGTTTTACGTTACCGTGCTGTATATTGTGCGAGAATTATAATCGCATGCCAAAATCTTTAGAAATAGTACATACTACTTGCACATTTATACAAATTGAGCCAATTCTGTCTATTAGGCAATCTTCACTCTTGAGATTTGGTAACTTAAACGATTTAGTGGGTCAAGAAGGGCCTTAAATAAGGTTGTCTTATCCACATCATTTGTCCATTAAAAATAATTTTTGAAGGCTCAAAAATCCATCAGAACCGACTTCTGTAAAAGTTCCTAATCTTCTGTAATGAAATACTAGAAGAAAAATAGCAAGCTTTTCCCAGGGGTGTAAATATTTCATATAAGACAACATATCCTTATAATAACATTTAAGTTCTGAAACGCTTTATTGAATATAATTATCGATGTCGACTATTCCGTCCAATTAATTTTCAACAAGGTGTCTTGAAATATTTAAAACTTGCAGCACATAAAGCGTTCCCTTCATAAACGGCAGTGTGGTAACGAAAAAGGAACCGTGGCTTTAAATTAACAGGCTATCTTTGGCTTATCAGTTGATCATGTTGTTGAATAAACTCATTTTTGCAAAAAAATAACTGTAAAAAACGAGTTCCAGACAGTGAAAAAACTTTTAGAAAGGGCCAGACATTTTTTTTAGAAACAATCGAACATCATAAAATCCCAGAACTTCGAAATTTCGTTAAAAAGCAATTTATGATCAGCTGATTGACAAAAAACTATAGTGACAATGACAAAGGAAAAATAATAAAGAACGAAGAAAAATTTCTTGACATGCTAATTTTTTACAGCCGCGAAAACCTCCTCAACAAGATTCAGTTGGGAAATTTTCAAGCAGAAAAAAATGCGAGACCCTAAATGTTGTAGTTAATAACATTAAGAATTTCATAAGAAACATTAAGTATTAGCAAAGTTGTCCTTTAGAAACGCTTAAGTGCAAACAGCTAGGCTTCTCGCCTAATGACTCGAGCGAGCGTATGTGCTAACCACTTTTTTGGTTCAAATGTGCAGGATATGCTGCTGTTATTACAAGGCAAGCTGGTGCTGTAAAGTACCCAGGTAGCCATTTCGACTTTAAAATGACCGATCAAGTGCACAAAAACTTGAGATCGTTTCCACACAGACTAACCTCCTTAAGCAATCGATTCACAAACTCTTCATAAAAAAAGTCAAAACATTTCTTTACAACGATTGTGTTGTGTCGTAAAATTGTCAAATATGCTGAATGCTAGAGTTTCCAATCAGTACAATCTTTAAAAGTATAAATCATTCTACAGACCGATTCCCATCTTGTCGTACCTAACCATCTGATAAATTTCTCCAATGCCAGATCATCAATCGAAATGCTTGGGAAAAGTTTTAAAACGGAGAATTACGGTGTTTAAAGGATACATCGATCTTACATCGAAAAAAATCAACAACTATGTTTTCTTGATGGGTTAACTGCATTTAAATCGACAGTGCGATGTGGTATAACGCAGGGATCCAAATTATGTCCATTGCTTTCTATTGTGGATTTGAATGACTTTGATTTGAGGAATGCACTTAATAGCAACACTTTATATATATGCTGATAACATGAGCATCTCGATGTTCTTTAAAGATGAAGAGGAACTATTTGAAATCACGCCGTTAGAAATCAATAAAATTGTAGATTGGCCAAGGCAAAATAAGCTCAACCTGAATCTGCCAGATGTCAAAATATGCTGATCGGTCATAAACTACAAATAGAGTGCATAAAGAATTTCCCTATTTAAAAAAATCAACAAAAAAATATAAATAGGGCAAATAAAAAGCAATGCTTATTTATGAGACAAAAATCTCAATTGGAGCTCCTAGTAAAAAGATTTTTATTAGGTTTGAGATCTGTGTACGCTAAAAGAAGCTTCAGCTACTCAGCCGTAATAGCCCGGAATCAGGTTCGAGGCTCCTACCACTGTAAGCGAAACAGTTTCTTTGGTTCAGTTTTAAAAAGGCGAAATAGCTCCTATCGAAGGTAGCAAGACTCCCGATTGGTCCCATTGCTACTGCTACTGCCAGAAACTCTTCTTCGTATTGTTCCCGGCTGTCAGGTGTTCCTCGAGCAAGGCCATTTAACCTGGCATCACAACTCTTTCTTAAACTTTCTTGCTACCTCCCTCTTACCTGATTTACCTGGTTTAACTAAGATATTTTCCTAAAAACTGGTTTTCAATACACGGTTATCGCGATTTAAGCGAGCAACGCGAACGTTGCGACTGAAAATTCGATGTAGATTCAGTTGCGAAAGAAATCTCCTTTCCATTGTCAACGTAGCACATCTTCAACCTTGCTTTTCACTACGACCTGCTGAATATAATTCGTAAAGGATTTTACGCTATGCTGAAAAGGCATCAGCGAAAGGAAAATAAAGACTGATATTAGAAAAGGAAATTTAGATTTATGATCAACAGCTTTTGCAGTTGAAATGGGTCAGCGATTGCAGGAAATATCTTTTGAACTCTGGCATTAACTGTCGGTTTTTAACCAATATTAATACTACACGCTTATTTTGTAAGAACAACCCTTATATAGGGGCGCAAATGAGGGGGGGGGGTGTGGGGGGGTGTCACACCCCCCCCCAATAATTTCACCATCCGGTCCCAGTTAAAGGTTGATAGCAAAAAAAGTCGGTCCCGATCCAGCCCTCTGATTAGTATTTCTGTCTATCACACCCAAAGCTGGTCCCAATTCTGCCGGTACCATGCTGTATTGCAGTAAAGTAAGGCATATAGTGGGCGCATTTTCTAGGAAGGGCTAATCAGCCAAAAATGACAGGGGACAGAATCGGTCCAGTCCGGTCCCAACCAGCGCTGCTTTGGAAAAAAAACTCTAGCTGCCACCGACAACAATAACTTTTTCGCCATATGTACATGCATTATCTTGTTTCGGTGATATGCGCGGCGTTGGATGCGCAAATTTCAAGGGGAATGCGAGAGCAGCAGTCATATTCCCTCAATAGTATCTCAATTGGAAATTTCAGGTAAAATCCGCTCCGTGGAAAAAACGCTTTAGGTATTTCAGAGACCTTCCTGTCATAAAATCAATAAAGGATCAAGCAAAGGTAGTTGCTCCGTTGGTTAAATTAAATATGATATTCTTGTTAGCATTAAATCTAAAAATCCAGGCCCTCTTTAGGTAAAATTGTGCCTTATTTCCATTTCCCCTAAAGTTTCTCGAACTGCAATTCACAATGAAATCCAGATTTTTTTGAACATTTAAAAGGCATGCTAAGATGGAAAGAGTGATCTAAATTGACAACCAGCGTTGCTTGTTACCTATAAGTAACTGACAACATGGTATTTTTCAAGACCCTAGCGAAATTGTACCAGTTGTTTCTAACTGCTGTTCAATATGTTGCAAATTCGTGACAGCAACTATATAATTTCAGGCAATCATATTTCAATCAGGTAAATTTGTTATTTACCCCCCCCCCCCCCCTCAACAAAGCCTGCCTCGCAAGGGCCCTGGAGAGCGGCCCCGACAATATCTATATCGCAAAAATCGGTCTGTCGTGGTGAAAACTCGGTCCCTTTAAAGAACACCTCCCTAAAAAAAATTTGCATTTGCGCCCCTGCCCTTATAAGAAACACCAGACTGATTTGACAAAAAAATAAGAACAACATAGGAAACAAGGCAGACTGATGAAATAAAATACCAGCAAAATGTTATGTCCGGACACCTCAATGCAGAGAAAATTCCATTGAAAAAAATAAGAAACAAAATAAAGGAGTCTGGAACTGGAGCGCTGATTTCAGAACAACGTCAATTTATGCCAGTCACAATTTCAAAGGGCCCATTTTCGGCAATTCCTCCTTATTGAGAATTTTTCTTTTCTTTTTCTTAACTAGCCTGGATATGGTATAATTTTTCAAGTTTATTGAAAAAATCATTGCTATTTTTATCACGGAAAGAGTTCTAGACGTGTCGAAGAATTTGCAGGACAATGTACTTTATCAATTTACTTCAAATAACAAAAGATACTTACGTAATTTGTATCATGTTTACGTCTTGGTTAAATCACCACAAAAGACGTCCTGCCGTCGTAAAGAAAGACTTTGAAAAACAGCAGGTCTAATGAATTCTCCATTGGTTCAATGCGGGCTCACATTTTCATTTTACCACAGATAGCAGTCAGTTAATGCTGATTCAAAGATAAATCAACTCACAATGAATCAAATGGCACCTCGCTGATACGGAAGGTCTAACGTCAAAAGAAAAACATGTAGCGGGCTCACATTTTCATTTTACCACAGATAGCAGTCAGTTAATGCTGATTCAGAGATAAATCAATTCACAATGAATCAAATGGCACCTCGCTGATACGGAAGGTCTAACGTCAAAAGAAAAACATGTAGACCAGGCTACAGTGGCCGTAGGTACCACCTCAGGGCGGAGAAATTCAAGTGGATATTTTCAGGTAGCTATGGGTCTGGTTACTTGGAAAAGTGATGGTGAACGGGGAATTGTTGGGGTTTAAGGGGTAAATACGGGGGTTTAAAATCGTCATATTAGCATATAACCTCTGTGGAGGAGCCACCGTTTTGTTTACGACTTCAGAGCATGGCAAGTGCTTGTTATCATAAAAAAATAATCTACAGGGAGTCTTTTAGAGCCTCCTCTTTAAATTCCGACATATTGCTACAATTAGAGAAGTCACGTGACCAATTTTTACCCCTTACCATATTTGGAAGGTGAGCCTTTTCTAACAGAATACCCGAAAATTCTTTTGTTTAATACTGTTAAATGTTACAATAATGTATAAATCAGCAAGATTATTCTACAACCGAGCTGTTGTTGATAGATACCCTGAATAACTTTGAGTTTATGATTGTTTTTAACTATGTGAAGAATAATGGTTGCGAAGACATGATAATTTATTAGGCGTCATTAGCCGTTTGACGTCATGCGCGTTTGGTTATTGCGTGATGACTCCACATCTTCTTCAGATGCTGGGCAACTTTTTTTGCAATTCACCGCTTTGAAAATATTTGTACAAAGAGTAATACAAATATGTAACGCAATGAACCCAAGAAATCACGGAAATACGTAGCAGAACAAAAAGACCTGTGTGCATCATTACCAAGAAAGAATTGTTTTGCTCTAAGCGTCATTTTCAGTATGTAAGTTGTTATTTTCGCTCTGAAAATTGGATATTCTCTGTACCTTTAAAGTATTGAGGAGGTCCTGTTTTATTTATATTTTTAAACATGCAAGGCTTAAGCTGTATTGTTCATTACCCGAGCAAAGATTGTCTGTACAGTGGTATTAAAGATTTGTCTGACATCAATAAAGATAAAATTTATGCTGCAAAGGCTACTCGTTTACGACTTGGTGGCAAAAATCTCCACGAAGAACAATGCAGCTCCATTCCTGACGAGGTTGATCCAAATAAGCACGGATTTCATATAGAACCTTGTTATAAAAAATTTAAGGCATTAAAGTATCCATTGAGTTCTGTACCTTTGAGTTTGGCAAATCCTGATGGCGCGAGAAGAACAACAGCTAAAAGTAAACTACAAGGCATTATATTGGACCATCGTAGCAACCCCGTTGGTCACCCTAAAGAAACTTTACCAGACAAAAGGAATGTCTCTGCATTTTTAATTGAAATGATGGCCGTCATCTGCACAATAACGAAAATGACTTGACGTGGAAGTTCATGAAACCGTTGCCCAGAAATTATTGTAGAGTTGATATTGTTGCAGACACGTATCAAGAAGTGTATATCAAGTCATCCGAAAGAAACAAAAGAGGTTGCTCTGAAAAAATTATTATTCAGTCAGCTAAGTCTAAAATTCCACCAAATTTTAACGAATTTCTAAAGAATGAAGAAAATAAACGACATTTTCTTGATGGTCAATGTTCTTGTTGGAACCGATTGCGTGCAATAGAAATGTTACAGTGCACAAAGATCTTCATTTCGACTGAAAATAGTGCATGAAGCTAACAGAGTTTGAAGCAATTGAGGAAGACGAACTTGCAAGCAATCAAGAGGAAGCAGACACGAAGTTGACCCTACATTGCCTGCATACTTTAACTTAGCATCCTTCGAAAAAAGTTGTTGTACGCTCTCCATCGTCAGATATCGAAATCTTGGTAATTCTATTAAATATTATTGAAGAGCAAAGTCAAGTATATCTCGATTTTGGAGTTGGTTTGAATAGAAAAGGACTATTTTTGTCTGATATTGAGATGGAAGATGGTTTGAAGAAGTGCGAGATATGCTTTCATGCATTCACGGGGAATGACTATGTGTCATCTTTTTTCCGCAAAGGGAAATCAGAATTTTGGGAGGTTGTCCAGAAGAACAACAGATTTGTTAACACATTTTCGCTACTTGGGCAGGTTTGGGAACTTGATGAGCAAATATTTGTTAACCTTGAAGAATATGTTTGCCATTTATATGGATACCGGCAAAAAAATGTCAATGATGTGAGGAAAAAATTATTTGACAAGAAGTATGTAAGACAAGGTAAAGCCATAGACATTTCACTCTTGCCCCCATGTCAATCATCACTAAGGCTACACATATTGCGATCAAAGATTTGGAAGTCATCGGGTGAAAGGTCCATAAATTTTCCAGATCTTTCTACTTTTGGCTGGAAAGGGAATCTGACTATAGAATGGCAACGACAAGCATTTCCAGACGAACTGACTGACTTCCTCCTGGATCATGAAGAAACGGAGATGATGTAGAAAGTGAAAATGAAACCTAAAATGGATAAACAATGACAAATGCAGGTATCTTTGCCTTAACTTGCATCTTTTAACATTTAAGAGTTTTAAACAAAAGAATTTTCAGGTATTCTGTTGAAAAAGGCTCACCTTCCAAATATGGTAAAGGGTAAAAATTGGTCACGTGACTACTCTAATTGTAGCAATATGTCGGAATTTAAAGAAGAGGCTCAAAAAGACTCCCTCTAGATTATTTTTTTATGATAACAAGCACTTGCCATGCTCTGAAGTCGTAAACAAAACAGTAGCTCCTCCGCAGAGGTAATATGCTAATATGACGATCTTAAACCCCCGTATTTACCCCTTAAACCCCAACTATTCCCCGTTCACTTTTCCAAGTAACCAGACTCATAGCTACCTGAAAAAATCCATTTGAATTTCTCCGCACTGAGGTGGTACCTATGGCCACTGTAGCCTGGTCTAATGTATCGTTATCGCAGTGACATGTAAAACGTGGCAATACAAGAAAAATGCGACCGCTAAAAAGTTTTTCATTGAATTTCTTAATGACTGCTGCATTTCATAAAAATCCAACCACCAGTATTATTTTGTTATACTCCAATAGATGCGCGTAGCCAAGGACCGAGATTCCGGGGGACCGGGGGGGGGGAGGCCTTGGTCCCCCCAAAAACCGTAAGTAGCATTGGTGAAATACTTTTATTGAAACTTTGTGAAATAATTGGTGAAATACTTTTACTTTGTAAAATATGGCTTTGCGCGTAGCAAGCAGCCCATGTTGTTTTGAGTTTTTTCTACGAAGGCTAGAAAGGTTGATTTTTGAACGTCTGGGCTTTCCGAATATAGAGGCTTTAAAGCAATTTTTATTCCAGGGTTGAAGCTCATTCGAGGGGGGGGGGGGAGGGAGGCTTCTATGAGATAGAATGGTGCTTTGATTGATGATAATAAGAAATTATCTTCAGCAAGGTAGTCCTAGCTAGAAAAATTTCAAACACGCCTCCTATCATAATTGCAAGAAGGAAAAACTGGAACGTCCATTAAATGAGTCATGCATGTCCTTTAAAAGAACCCGAAGACAGATTATAAGCAAGGAAGACGCTGAAAGCTACAAGGCAAGTCTGGGAGATTACCTGAAGGTAAAATCTGGCTGGAGATTGACTGTTAAGAGCGAAAGTAAAATGAACCGAGTAAAATGATAGAAATATATCTCTCTTCCATAAATCCTGCACTTTATGGTTCAGACATATCGTGGATAGAATAGCGAAATCAACGAATTTTGTTGACACGTTCTTCAGATCAATATGATTATGTAAAAGGGTTTTCAGTAGCCTGGTTCAAATATATCTTCCGAAAACCTTGGGAGAAGTAAATAGTTAGGGTTGTTATAAAACTTGGTCAAACAGTTTGGCCATAAACTTGCAAAAATCGATGAAATTTGATGGGAAAATGTGCAGGATTTTTCTGTCAACAAAATTAATTACATTAAAATGACCCTATAGAAATCAGCTCATATAGGTTCTTATTCCAAAGGGTATACAACTCTTTATGTCGCTGCTCTATAAAATCTGTTTGGTGACAAGCATTTACTTAGAACAAGCTTTTTTAAGTCAATATTGAATTAAAAACATCATGAGATGTGAATTTTCTCTTAAATTGAAGTTTTCAATTATAGGTAAAGCTGTAAACGCATTGGTGTATAGAAGAGAAAAGTTTTCAGCTACGATTCTCAGTCTCTTTCGCATCTAAACCAGAAAACATTAATCAATTTACAACTTCTCTTGATTATTTTTGAAACAACAAGGCCAAAGAAAAGAATGGTTATTCTGTATGGTCTTCTTAAAAACAATGATTTTTCTTTACTCAGAAAAGCAGCTTCTAGACTCCTTAAAAAACCATTTTCGCAACAAATTTTTGAAATAGCTCTGTTAATAACTAAAAACATAACTAAACACTACCTTCATAAGGAAAATTATATATCTATAAGAAAAATGAACGGAAAACCACCATTTTCAGGACGAAGATTAAAAATGAGGTATCTAGTGTATATAATTGGTCTGTTTATTGCACTGGTTATTCCTATTTAAGCAGCAATTCTCTATACTTGCAACAATACTTAGTATCGATATTAACAGTTTGTATGACACACGCGTAATTCCTTCCTGTATTGCAGAAAACTACTTTCAAAGGTAATTTATCACTATTCAATTTAATATTATAAAGAAGGTTATAGACGATATTGGTTTTCAATAAGAAGATACTATGGCGTCTGAGCTCGTATAGAAAGTACTAAGAAGTCAATGCCTCAATCAAACTGTCTTCCTTCAATACATTTTGCAACCAAGGTTCAGAACAAGTGCATGGTCAAGTTTTGATATAAATTTCTAAATAGCTTTGAGTTCAGATAAATCACAACAAATCATTTTCAATAAATCTTAATACTGCGTTAGAAATATGTAGTGATATTAAATAAAATAGGCTTAATCATCTTATCAACAAACCAAAATCTTCAGAACTTGCTATGACTGAAGAAAATTATCTACAGTAATATGCCATATTGAATTATACTATACTGTGTTTGATTACGAAATTCAGATGCTGTGCGAAGGGGTTTTATCACAACTGTGATTACTGACGATAACTTGTTGTTGAAGTATAGGTCATGAGCTCTTAATAAATAAAGTGCCAACGCTATTTGCTTTGTATTATGAATTATACTATTTTCAAAAATATAACAGGTGGCGGCTATGAACACGAACTTTGAGCTTTGTATTTCGGTTGAATTTTACATTAAAAGTGACCAATACCATTAACAGTTTTGAGGTCCGTGGTTTGGTGACATTATTGATGACTTTTTGTTTCTATGTTCGGCTTTGTTCGGCTAGTTTCTAATACCTTGTTTCGTCATGATCAACAGTCAATGTTATCTGATATGACAAGAAATTTCAAAATTCGGTGGATTCATTGATTGAATTTAATATGGCGCTGGGTTGTATACGGTTGTTAGCTGTGGTGATCAGGGAGCTTTGAGTTCTTACTATGAATCTCCGGTTGATAAGTTAACAGCACGATTGTCACCCATAGATGCAATAAAAACTGAAAGAAAAATAAACATTTTACCAATGAAGATGATAATTCAAAGGGCCACTGGTCCGAGAAAATTTAAAAAATAAGTTGATATTCTGTGACTTAAAATTATATTAAAGTTAGCAATTTAGCAAAAATATGAGCATTTTTCTAGCAAAAAACCCTCAATATTCATTAATTTTAAATCCAAATTCAAGTTATACTCTGGAGAACAAAAACTATCATTGAACACTCAACAAAGCGACCCTATTTAAAATTTCATAAATTTAAGAGAAAGATTCTTTATGATCATTGAAGTCAACAGTAATAAAGAGAGCCGTATTGAATGGATAAACTGTAGCCCTAAATTAAAGGGTTTAGTTAGAATGTGCTCAAACAATCCCATTTATCTATTGGTACTTAGACTCTCTCTTCCTGTTTGCTAAGGGTCAGAAAAGTAAAGGGTCGTCTTTAAGGCAAAAAATACTAAAAAAATGTTTTAAACGGTTTTAAACGAAATTTTCAACATAGTCTGAAGTGAAAAACCTGATCATCAAAAGTCTAAACAGTGACTTGTTTACAAAGGAAGGAACTAAGTCATCGTTAAAAACATACTAATGTTGCAGATATGCATGAAGGTAGATACAACACTATCAAGATGCTACTGCTACATGGATATTCGGTGGGCTGAGGGAAGAATTTTCAAAATAAGATACATCCAGACTCACCATATAAACAATGACAAAGAGCCGAGCTATCGGATATCGTTTTAGGAATACTCCGAGTCGTATACTGTAAAGATAATAGAAGACAGTTATAAGCTTTGACATCAAAACAATATTATCAATATTTATATATCAGACAATATTTCATTGTCAATATTAAGACAATATCGAGAAAACCAAGATAATGTTACTGATGTGCTGGTGATAAAAATAAATTATTTTTTGCTATGCAACTAGCAAACACGCTAGTTTTGCCTCGCCAGCATCGAGTCTCAAACTTGATATCAATCAGTTGTTTTGAAAATGACAAAAGCTGAGGAATTTTAGCAACTGAGTGACAAATGTAATCATAGAAGCTGAACACGTATGAATCTTCCAACTATGTCTTTTTTCTGAATCCAGAACTTATTTATTAAAATCAACTCAGCGTAAAAACTGACAACTTTGCAGAAAAAAACAAGATTGAGCCGATTACTTAGATATGCTAGCAAAAGTGCCTGCTTTCGTCATCTCATTTTGATATTTAAAGTTGAAGTTTTCAGAAAGAACATAACTGAATTCTACTTCTCTATAACATTTAAATAAATATGTTTTAATATTCAGTTTGATTAAAAAGTTTAACAGAACAATTTTAGATAGCATCAATTCTTTACCCCCCCCCCCTTCCCCTTCTCTTCCAAAACAAGACTCAAAACAATGGCGTACCATCTAAAAAAATGAAAAGCTAATTGCATCGACTTTCTACAAGGATAAAATAGCTTGCTATTTCCGATTTCATTAATTTAAGATTTTTGTTTTACATAATATTACATAAACAATCTTCTATAAAGCTTACATAAATGCAAGTCTTTTCAAACAGCTTTATGAATGCTAAAACATACACTAATACCCGTCTTTCTTTAAAAATATTTCTGTCATATTAAGGCAGCGTGATTTGGAACGTGAGATTAAACAAGCATAGAAGATTATTGAAAACAAGAGGGAAATAAGAGTACTAAGAACAAACCTGAATTTATCGATCACATTAACGGTATTTTTCCACCGACGTGACTGCGTTACACCGGAAGGCATTATCGATGCAAGACTGCTTGCATGCACTAAAGAGAGGTGATGCAATCGTAAGAAATACAGCTAACTGTAAAACATGATCAACACAAATCAAAGGTGGCGCCGGACACTATGAATTTTGATAGATATCAACACAATCAGTTGGGGTTTCTGTAAGTAATACATTCTTTAAATCCTCGTGATGATTAATCACATCAAAATTGTGGCATGCCCTTCCTGGTTGATAACAGTGGCTTGAATGTTACCCCCCTCCCCCCCAGCTAATAATTTTTGACAATCATTTTGACAGTCATTAAGCCAAGGAGTCAAGCAAAACCATCGACTGGAACTGTTTCGATTATGGAAAAATGTGGAAAAATGAAAACCCTGCCAAGACTGAGAGTTTCTTTGAAGATAAAATAATCCTTAAATTTTCAAAAGTTGAAAAAAATCAAGGTGCACAAACCTTCATCACCATCTTCTACATCAAAATGCGAATGGTTGTGTCTTAAATGTGCATTTGATTTTGTTAAATGTTGCTGAACATCCCGATATTGTTGCTGCAGAAAAATTCAAACTCATTTTTTTCATAAAAATGAAAAAAAAACTGAAAATTAACAGTAAATTAGACTTCGAAATGGATTATTTTCCAATTTCAACTTTTTCTTGACAATTTCGAGGCAATTCAATGCATACTGTAGTTTCAACTAACCTCTAAACGTTCCAGTTGCAAGGACAGTGAATTTTTTTCTGTACTCAGCCTTTCGATCAATGTTTGTTTTTGTATCAGGTTATCTGTAATTGCGTGCACTCTGTTCTCTAATTCCTCTTGTGATGGACTCATGCTCGTTTTCAGACTGATCTGAGAAGAAGCAAGAAGCTAGATCTTTACACTTGGAATGTAAGGTGAAAGAGAAAAGCGTCTTTTAACATGTGATAAAACATTTGAACATACAAGATTAGCCTAGGTGGCAATAAAATAGTCCTGGTAGGTTGTGTCTAAAAGCATCAAGTCAAGGTTACTATATCTAAAAACAGTGTGCAACAAGGTTTCTATATCTGTTGACACGACGTTTAATTAACTTCGCTTAAAGAGGAAGCTTACTCAGTTAGAAATCAAACATTTGACAAAATAAAATCTGCAAGAAGTACATTGATAGAATCGAATTCGTACCTGGTGGTTCAGCCGCTTAATTTCCGCATCTCTTTCCTAGAAACAAGGGAACTTTAAAGATTATCAAGCGCATCAGCAATGTCTTTATTTCAATAAACTTTCTCCTAAGGTTATAAACACTGCTGAAAAACTTTGCTTGCTAAAAGTTGCAGTGAAGCTTTCAATAAACACACTCACATCTTGCAAAAAAAATTTCTATGATTTGGAATTTTACAAACAAATTGTTGCATTCTGAACTATCAAAGTAGTGTTTTAACTTACTAGACTAGAGCTGTTTGTGGCTTCAAGTAAAAGAAAATTTGACAAACCTCAAGGGCAGTAGAGGATCTTGTCATCTGCCGGTGAAGATCTTCTTTGGACAATATCACTTCCTAGAAAGACGTTTTGCTGTTACTACGATTGATATATTCAATGCGTTAAAATGAAATCAAAATATGATTTTTTAGCTTTAAAACAAAGCACTGCATTGAATATAAACAAATTAGAAGAAAGGGTAATGCCAACTAGCAAAAGTGAATTCAAAATAAAGCAATTTTCAGCATTACCAAACATTTCTAGTTCTCTATGAAAAGCAAACAGTATACCATTGTAAATTCTCAAAAGCTTATTTTAGAGACAAACAAAAAGGAAGTTGTATGACATCTACTCATTTTAAAACCATTTACCAGATGTTTATCATATTGGAAAACAAGACATGGAGAAATCCTTTGAATTGCATCAAAAGGTCTTTTTGCGAAGCTAGAAAAATACTTTATCAGCCATACCTGTTTTGATTTAGAAAGCTCTTCCTCAAAGTGCTGTCGCTTTTCTCTCTCTTCGATTAACGATTTTTCAAGGCTATCAACTTGTTGCTGCTGTTCTTCTGCCTCGGACTGACTCTGCTGCTCAACCTCCTGTGTACCATTTCAAAGATTTAGTTGGCTTAATATACGACGTTATGTTTTATATAAAAAAACAAGCAACAATTCGTCGCAAAGCATGTTGAAGGGCATCAAAGTACGCGACTTAAAACTACATTATAACTGTTCTTACCCACCTAAAACTTTTAAGCATCGAAAAATCCAAAGAGAAAGCAAAAAATTAACTGAGCATACATATAACTCGACTTTCATCTGCTCTAGTTTGTATTTTGATTGCTGCAATTCCTCCCGGAGGAAATCTCGCTCCTGCCGTATTTCCTCGAGCTCGGTAAACACAATTTGCGGAGCATCTGAACCAGCAGCGCCTTGCTTTAAAGAATTTATCAGCTTCTCTTTGGCCTGAAAGTAGCAACGCATCATTAAATAATACCCAATATTACGCAAGTAGCATATAACAAAGTAATATAACTGTTAAGCTCTGCCTGTATCACATCGAGTACTTTATAACAGACTGGTAAACAGTAATTACCATAAACGTTCAGCTTGTGTTTCAGCAATCTAGTCGGTAGATAAATGTGATAATGGGTGGAGTACCCTTGAAGTCATGGCAGAAACAACAAATGCCAACAAAACTATTAATATCGTTCTCCTAAAAACAGCATAACAAACAGATTCCTATCAAAGCACAATGAAAATACATTATCAGTCTAGGAAAGTCGAAGAATAAAATGAGTATAGCCTGTTGGATATAAGAAGCAACAACAACAGTACATTTTCTGGCCATTACAGTCACGCCTACTTTCCGCTGAAACTGCATTTATGATAATCATTAGATATGAAGCGAGGAAAATTGAAAACCTGTAAAATCCTAGTTGCTTTGTCTTTGTACTCCTTTAAATCCCTTTGGGCAGAATCTGCAGCATCTTTGGAGCTTCGTAGATTCTGATCAAGGTCTTTTATTCTTCCTAGTTCAAAATTATTTTACTAGTTATAGGGAATTGTCTGCAGTGGCAAAACGTGCAAAGCCCCGGGCAAACGCATCCAACATTTACTCCCAACAACTTTAAAAGCTTGTTGATATTTGTAACTGGATGGTCAAACGCATCTAGCATTTCATCGAACATTGAAAATCAAACTTGTTTTGACCGTGATCAAACTTTATTCAACATCGGTTCGCAAATGTTGGGTTACCCAACATGGGAGGCCGAACGCATCAACCATTTCGCCAAACATTTGTTTTCTACATGTTGAGTGAAATTTTTGATGCGTTTGATCGGGGCTTAAGACAGACGATCTGAAGATGCTTAGCATTACAAACGAAACAGAAAGATTGGGGAACAATGATGAATAATGACAAGGAAAAGATGGCTTATAAGTTTTACTACAAAAAGACATTCGTGACCTTAAAGTTTGCTACGAGATAGAAATTAGTTAGCAGGTTGTTCGACACATCCTGAATAAATTCAAAAACTAATTAGGAAGGAACTTAGTTGTTTTAATCACATCTTTATCGATACTTAGGACTACCTGCAATCAAATCAGCGAGAAGATCTTCTGTGGTAATTTTTTAAAATAGTAAACAAATTATCTGGTTGGTTGAATATTAAATTTTAATTTGTTCCTTTCATTAAAAATCTCATGATATATATTCAAATTGCAATCGAATCGCTCAAACATAGAAAACTTGAAGGGTTTGAAAAAACGTTTCTTACCCTTTTCTTCCGAAAGTTTAAGCTGTAGTGACTTCACAGACTCTGCCATTTGTAGTTGTTCCTTTTGTAACTTTTCTCGAAGCTCCATAATTTCACTCTAAAACAATGAAATGATAAACTGGTATTAAAGTTTTATAAGGTCAACAATGGGGTTAGATTGATAACGTGATAGGCAAAGATGGTATTTTTATACTCCAAGGACATTTTTGTATGTTATCCTTGGCAAGTTTTTACCCAATAACCATCTGTTGACTACTCACAAAAAATCGGACGACAATCTTTCATATACTGGCAATTACCTGTGCTTTATTAAAATCTGTTTGAACTTGTTGGTATTCCTTTTCTTTTTCTTCGAGTTTGTCTTTAAAGGAGTCTAATGCCACACTTTGCAGCCCAGTGGAATCAGTATGATCTTTTAGGATCCTGGAAGATTAAAAAATATCATCAACATGAAAACATCACAACGTACATGGACCAAATAAATTATTTTGCGTATAGACAGATAAACTTTTATTTCCAATTAGAAACTTATATCAAAATTTGTATTTGCATATAAAAAACCCATTAGGTGTAAGAGGACCAATAGACATTAAACTGCTAGCTATCTTATCTATAATTTTTTGTAAGAACGGCCATGTTGAAACTTCATATTAGACCATTACTGGCCCAACTTCTCACAAATTGGTAACTCAGGAAAAAAATTCCCTTTACACAGGGTAGCAACACAATGGGGGAAACGACTTTATTATCTTGCCTCTGGTTCTCTGTAGTTAATTTCATAACCAGCTCCCTTTTAGATGCAAGTTCCTCGTCAGCTTCTTGCATTCGAACTCTTAAAACAGCCAGCTGAGAATCTTTGGCATTCAGCGCTTCATTCAGATCTTTTTCTTTCTCTTCAGTTCCACGTACAATGCGATCTTGTTGTAACATTTGATTCTGTGCATGCTCAAGTTTTGCTTCCAAATGGGCCACACCTAGTATTAATGCTCTGAAAATCAATCTTTGCAAAAGCATATTTCACATAATTGTTTCACCATTCTTTCAATGCAATTGTTTACAATGTTTCTGCCAACCTTTTTAACGGATTGTTAGGCAAAAGTATCGTGTTTTCTAAAACAGGCAGCCCCTAAATGTAAGCCCTCTAAACATCAACTCACCTTGCCAAAAATCACCCCCAGACAAACACCTTCAAATTGCAAGGCTACATAAGTATTGCGTTTTGGCGTAGTAAAACCTGATTAACATAGTTGAAAAGCAAACCAGACATTTAAGGACCGAAACAATGTAACAAACATTACATTGGCATTGATATGAGGAATTCATTGTAACTGAGAATAGCATGTACCTTCCTCAGAAATTTTCACTCTCTTCAGTGCATTTGCCAATTCTTCATTCAATGATGCAATTTCTCCTTTCAGAAGCCTGTTTTCAAGCTGGAGATTTGACACTCTGTCGTGTCTGCCTTCCCCATCACTTTTTATTGGGTGAACATTGTCCACTTCTCCAATTGCACTGGCACTATCTTCGGACTTCTTGGCAACAGTATCCATATCCTTTTTTTCCGTCCTTTCAGAAGTCTTTGGTAGCTCTGTTGCAATATCATCTTGAAGAGTTTAGAAGAAATTATCAAAAACCGCTAAGTAAAATTTGTTTCAACTAGGCACCCATAAGTGCATTGGAATGCATATCTGCAGACTGAACTTATTGATATTATTCAGAAAGATTAGTAAGGGACACATATTCTGATGTGTGTTTAGATGGTGTGCCAAAATTTTCAACCAACTCTGCGCCCAAGAGATTTCTGGACTGGCTGCTCATATTGAAAGGTAATTCTATAGATCTTGGTTTTTGAAAATATAATGTTTGATAAAAAAGTTATTGAAAGTTGATTTCAGATAAGAAGACCGGCAAGATTTCTATAACTCCCTCCCCCTGTCATCTAAATATTCATGAAAATTTGTTGTGAGACATTTTAATTGAATGCAAACTCAATGAATGAATAGATAGATAGATAGATAGATAGATAGATAGATAGATAGATAGATAGATAGATAGATAGATAGATAGATAGATAGATAGATAGATAGATAGATAGATAGATAGATAGATAGATAGATAAATAGATAGATAAGATAGATAGATAGATAGATAGATAGATAGATAGATAGATAGATAGATAGATAGATAGATAGATAGATAGATAGATAGATAGATAGATAGATAGATATATAGATAGATAGATAGATAGATAGATAGATAGATAGATAGATAGATAGATAGATAGATAGATAGATAGATAGATAGATAGATAGATAGATAGATAGATAGATAGATAGATATATAGATAGATAGATAGATAGATAGATAGATAGATAGATAGATAGATAGATAGATAGATAGATAGATAGATAGATAGATAGATAGATAGATAGATAGATAGATAAACTTTATTTACAGAGGATAAACCTGGTTAGCCTAATAACTAATCTTCCCCAGGGTTTTCTCTACTAACTACGCAAGAAGAATATAATACTATTATTTAAAAAAAAATGTGTCCTTTAAGTTTCTAAAACGCCTGGTAACAATTTTGTTCAAAGTAAAGTTTAAGTATTTAAATCTGAAACGTCAAGGTAATGCTGATACACTTTTTGAATAAAGGTGACTTAAGGTTGTGTGATAAGTTTCATCCAAACAAAAAAGTGAATATTTTTAAGAAGAGCAAGCAGATGGTGTCACAATGTTTCAAGCACCAAAGATATATTTTGATTGCACAATATCATCATCAGTTTGCAGAAAACTTTGGAATACCCAAATTTCAGATGTTGTTAGAGATAAAACAAAAGATTATTTAAATTTGTTGTTAGAGAGAAAACTTTTATATGCTTGAAAATAAGGTAAGTTTCTATTAAATAGATCATAATTAAGAATAATGATAATATAGTTAGCAAATAAATTTAGTACTAGAATGAAAATATAATAGTTTGATTGTAAAAAGCACTTGTTGTCTTTTGTGTTTTTAACCATCAAACTACTATTTTTTCATTCTGGTACTAAATTTATTTGCTAACTATATTATCGTTATTCTGGATGAAGTACCACACGCAACATACATATTTAATTGGATTTATCATAATTAAGATCTTGAAACAAAACACAACAAAAAGAGCAACAACAAAAAACAAAAGCAGCCAATCGATAGGAAAGTTCAATATTTTAAAATTGTTTTAGAATTTACTTAAGTTTTATTTTGCTCTTTAATTAAGCCTGTAAAGGAGGGAAGTTTCATATTGCTTCAAGGAATCAGTCCAAGGGTATTTATCTTTAGCACCCTACATAAATGTGATACCAAATATCACAATGTGGTATTTTTTAATGCAAAAAATGACACGGAAAGGAATGATAAAAGCCTGTAATGACACTCAAGAAAGCATAGTTAAACAAAAGTTTCTAATAACTATAGTGAATCTTAAGAATACAAACACACCTGACTTTGTAACCTCTGGTACTTTAGTGCTTGGCATTGTTGGCTTCTCTTGTTCCATAGGCTGTTTTTGACTATACTGAAGTTTGGGTTTTATTGGTGTTGATGTCAGAGGGGGCATCTTCTTGTCACTTCCACTGGCTAAGCCTTGACCACTATTCAAGAATTCAAATAACTGTTCATCTGTTTTCTTTTTAACATTAGAAGCACTTGAAGACCGTGCTACACTCTTAGTACTGAAGGAAGTGCTTTTTGTTGCTTCTAAAACAAATAAATTATTATTGATCCAACCTGTGCACAATTTGCTATTACAATATACATATCCATGATGGTAAACACTCAAAGTCTTCTCAGAAAGATTATAGGAACAACTCTTGAAGGGAATCAATGGAAATAAAACTGACTAGTTACATAGCTATAAATAGGCAAGCAATCACAATTAAAGTCCGCTTTCTTGCACATTTGTGGAGACATTCCTAAATCAAACTAGACATTTCCTGAAGTGGCAGGCTTTTGTTGGAAAGGCGTGCGATAGCATGCGCACGCCCTGGCGCACGCCTACTGCTTTTGAGGAGTGCAAAATGGCACACGCCTTCTTTTATTCTGAGACCGAAATTCTCTATCAATGATTGGTTTTGTTGGTTTTTGAGATGGGTTTAAATGTAAATCTTTCCTTGGTACTATTACTTCATGCCACTTCAAAAAAGGCTTAACGCCTTGTCAGGATTGCGAATTGCGAATTAAATAGAAAATTTTGAAATAATCATAGGACTTATCTACAGTGGAATCCTGATAATATGAAACCCGGCTATAACTAATTTTCCGGCATAGCAAAAATATGTTTGGCTTCTTCGATTCTGCCAAAACTCTTACAAATTCCCTCGGATCCCTTATATAAGGGATTCTCTTACGAATCCCGTATATAACGAACTCTCATTATTACGAACCGAACCAAATATGTCCCTTCATCATGATTTTCCTCGATATGACAAATGTTTTTGTAAATTTTCACAGTTATTTTGGCCTACTTTTTCCCTGGTGTATATTTATCACTTTTTCTCAGGGGAATAATTATTTTCATCAATAAAACAGACATTGGCAAACATGCACTTTATATGATGCAAAAATGGAAAAGAGATTTGTGCAAAAGTTTACACCTTTCCAAGGCTTTATGGCATTTCAATGAAAAAATCCAAACAAAGAAGACTATAACAGACATTTTTATCTCCGAATTTTCTAAGGAACATTAAGTGTTGTTAACAAGATTTTCATTTTCGATTGCTAATTTAGCAAAAGTAGCAGACTTGCCAATTATGCTAGAAACAGTAGCAAATTTGCGGATTTTGCTACTGATATACAGCCCCCTCTTCAGGCTTTACTATAAAAAACAATATCCAAGAGCTCTTTCTGAGGTTTAATTTTAATTTTTGAAAAGTGCAAGATTTCAACTGTTAATCTTTTATGTATCTGGCCAGTCAGATACATGAAAAAGCTGTGATGCTTGATAACGGAGGGCCCTCAGGGCACGGATTCACATGCAAAAATGGTCATTCCAGATGAACGCCAAGCTCCCAATGACTCTGCTAAGGATATATTATCAAAGCCGATGAAAAACGTGTAAAAACTTGCTCAAGTCTTCAGAGATAACACATTTTCTGTTAAATTGTCGGTAGTGATGCTAAGGGTTCAGCGAAATAAATTTAATCAAAATTATTGGTGTCATCATTGTCGTGTTGGCAATTTCTGCCTAGATCTATTATGATAACCATAGATTTTTGCGAAAAAATGTCACGCCACCACACGCCTGGATGTTTTCAGGCTTGCAGTGGTTAGCACACCTGCCATATTTTTCCAATGAAAGCCTGAGTGGATCTATAATGTCACACAGAACAAGCAGGCAACAGTCAGGATTTCAATATCTTTTGTAAAAAAATAAGATAATGCCAATGAACCAATTTTCAACAAGGAAAGACCTGTCATAATACTTTCTCTGGTGGCAGCCCCCTACCTAAAATAAGATTTGAGTTGATTTCATGGCATAAATGATAAAAAACAAGATACAGTAGCCAAATAACATTCTAAGAATGTGTTTATATCAATTTTCCACTGTTTTTAAGATGCAATAGTTTCAGCTTTTGTTTGTGGTACTTGGGAAACTTTACATATGGGGAGTCCCATTTTTTGCGAATGGGAGGCAATAGCTCGCGTTCGACCCCGCGATGAAACTTTAAATTTCATCCTGTAGATGAAACTACCATAAATAGAGCTATGGTCGAAATAAAAAATCTCCCAGGTTTGGATCTGATGGCATTGCGACTAACTTCCTTAAAATTGCATTCCCCTTGATTTGTAATTCTATCTGTGATATCCATATATTCATCCTCCTTCCCAGATAGTTGGAAAATAGCCTGTGTGTGGCTGCTAATAATATTCAACAAAATTTATTGGAGATAAAACCTCTAAATAGAATACCTGGCAAAGACTTAGAGTCAGTACCAATTGAGGAAATCTCTCTGTGTGCATTTTCGTCTTTTGTGCTCTCCAAACTTATTGTTGTTGGCACAGATGGAACAGCTCTCTCTTGTTCCTTTTGAAGGGCTGATGCTGTTTGTTGATCGACTTTCTCCAGTAATGCCTCTGCTCCTTTAGCAAGATCACTAAACCATGACATCCTTTTAAAGTTTAAAAAACATAAAGATTACTATTGAGCTAATGCTATGGTGCTTGATGTCAAAAAGTGAGATTTAAATATGCTCTGGTGTCCAGAAAAGGATGGCTTTAAGTTGCTAATATGAGTTTTGAAATGTTCCTTTTTTGTATAAGAGAACAATATTTATGAGAATAAAAAGATTGCCTCTTAGATTGTAAGATATCATACTTCCTAATAAGTTGCAAAGCAACAGCCACATATTAATATACAAAATTACAAGTTTTGCATTTAATGCAAGCATAACACAACAAATTTTTAGAAACATTACAAACTGACAGTTTTACTCGGGGAAAGAGCATTGCAATCGAAAATTTTGTAGCGAATATGAATGCTTACACTCGACTCAATTGAACTAGGAGCTGGATCAAAAATATACTCTGCAAATACCGGAGTTAGACTTCATACTTGTCCCAGCTGTTACCAATTGATCAATGATTCTCCTATTTGCGATTGTTACATCGAACAGCATGCAGTGAGATTCGAAAAAATAGATTCTAAGTTTAATAATCTTCCTAAGTGATCGGAAATGATAATAACTAGCTGAGCTGGGAAAATTCCTATCATTAAAAATTTCTCATTTGGTATCTGTGTTTTAGAAACATAGAACGCCATGTCGTGTTACACCGCTTTTGCAAAGTGATAGCCTTATCGCATGAGAATATAGTAATTGGTCAATCTGATAAGTTTAAATATAGATATAAAACTCACCTTGTGTTGATAATTCGCGTCTCTTGTAAAGTGGATATTTAAGTTTAGGCCTTCTGTTTTTACGTGTCAGCCTCGATCTGAATATCAAACTGGCTTCACACCAACGCGACGACTGGGAAAGTGCAAAACAATAGAACTTGCAATGGGACCTAAATTTTGCTGTTATGAATTTTTCGGACATTTTTCGAATATTCAACGACTTTTATGCAATACTAGTTTGAAAAAACTATTCTTAATATTTTTTCACGAAACAAGAAAGTCTAAAATTTTCATAAATACTATGCAAGGTATTGTTTTTGAGCCAAGACTTTCAGGTATGCCAAAAATTCAAAAAAAGAAATTTAAAAGTTGACATCATGCACTTTTCAAAAATTAAAATTAAACCTCGAAAAGAGCTCTTGGATATTGTTTTTTACAAGAAATTTTGACAATGTAACTTTTTACTGTATATTTTGACAATGTAACTTAATCAAATGAAATGTCATATCAGGGAGTCAATATTTGGGAGAAACATCTTTATATATCTACACCACTTAGTTTAATGGGAAATACTTATTAGAGGAATCTTTGTCGTTTCATTCCCTGTAAGAGTAATTCGAGAAGAACAACTGAATCAAAATTCATGCTATTTGTAAACATAGCATCTCCAAAGTTAGAAGCTGTCAAGAAAAGTCACAGGAAGAAATCAAACAAAACAATTTGAAAAGATTATTAACATTTCAAACAATTAAAACAAAATTGAAATATAAAATAACAACTCTACTAAACCCGATTTCTTTTTTCAGGGTGATTTTCTGTACACTTGATTGAGGAAATTTAATAAAATAAACTCTCTTTTGTAATCATTTATTTACGAAATACAGATCAATATTGGATAATTTTTCCAACTAAATTAGAACGAACAAAGCATTTTATTTAGGTAAAGTTACTTGAGGCATTAAGCTACTTTTACATAAACTACATAAAGCAAAGTTTACGACCTTCTGCAGAGTGCAAAACGACAATGCAAGAAGAGACAGAAAACATGACATATAAACCCATTTGTCTTAAAGGATTACGAACTGGCCTCAGCCATATTGTAGCTGGTAACGATGAAGGACAAAATCAAATTAATCATTATCGTATGCAGCAATCACTTTGTCATTTTCATTCTGTTCAATGTCAAACTTGGAGGTTGAATCCAAGTTCTAATTGAAATTCAATATGAAATTGAAAGTCTTAAATATATTGTATGAATTAGTATTTTACTACAAAAGGAAAATCAGCATTTAAAAGATTTATAAGGCCTAACTATTCGTGATAAATGGGAAAGAGATTCGAAGTACTATGAAATAATTCAAAACGGAGATGACTCCAACAGAAATTGCAATATAATACAGAGCTTCCAGTATTGTTTCAATGATACAAACATGGAAAGAATTCACTATTCTTCACATTTCATCGACGAAACCTGGTTCTGACATCATCAAAGAACCTTTTAAAAGTACGGTTGATTTTGACTGGTTTAATCTTATCTTCATCACTGTCAGTTTGCGTAAGGTCAACGAACTGGACCTTTCTTTTTCTACTACATTCTGGATCAGACGCTTTTCTACTACGTTCTGAATCAGACGTTTTAGACGATGACGATACTGAGTCCTCCACTGGCTTACTCGTCACAGTGCGCTTGATTGAAGAAGTTTCTTTGTAGTTTTCTTCTTGTGTGTCTGCTGAAGATTGCGGAATCGCTTTTGCAGAATCACGGGAGTTTCCTGAAAGATTTGCATTCTCTTTTTGCACGTTCAACTGCTCTTTGGTAGACGTGGTAAGACGACGTTGTGTCAAAATCTAGAATTTTTGGATAAAGTTCAATAAACATGATGTATAGTGCAATATTCGTGATGTATGCGAAGGCTATAGCTATACGAGTCCTGATTTAAATATTCCTGACTGTACGTCAAAATGCTTAATAGATTTAATAAAAAAACAGAGCTACCAAGTGACCAATTGCCAGGTTAAATGCAAAATCCGCATGATTCATTATTAAATAGCAATTGTGACATATCTAATCTAGAATTTTAATATCATCAGGGGCGTCGAGAGGGGGGGGTTAGGAGGGGCAAAAGGTCCGGGGCCCGTGCTCCGATGGGGCCCATAATAAATTAACAAGATCTATATACAATGCAAAAAGGTACTATTTCAGCTACTTATACAGAATCAACGCCTGTAAGTTTATTGCAGAGAAATGTCCATATGTCCTTTGTATGTGGACATTTGTAGAGAAATGTCCACATGTTCTTTGTAAATTCATGTAAAATGTTTTTGCACATTCTGTTAAAAAGCCTTAAAATTTTTTTTCAAATATTCTACCTAAAAAGGGCGTTTTTCTTGCTCTCCGGGAGACTGAAAGGCGTGGTCACAGGAAACTTTCTTCAGGGGTCCAGTTTTGTGAACTACCCCTGGGCCCGAGCTGCCTCTCGACGGCCCTGATTATCATAGATATATTTGATTCTATAGCAAAAATTCAAGACAGCAAGGGCTCAAGAATTCAGGTAGAACTTCGAAAAGTCCCAGTGCGTTGCCTATGAATTAAATGTGTTTAGAATTTACAATGGTTTTTTTTATTTCACGCAGTCTTTAATTGGTCATTTTTTATGATATATTCGAAATACAATTCTGTTTAATTCTATTGAAATACAATTCTGTTTAATTCTATTGAAATACAAGATACAACAAGAAGAGAGAAAGCTGGTGGAGGTTCTTGAAATGGTCTTGCATTCTCAATGAAATGTACTCTATCGCAGACTTTTACATTTAAGTTAATGTTCAAAAGACTTGGTACCTTTTGATATTTCTGCTCCAGCACGTCTTTGATTGCCAACGGTCGCAATGGCCCCTGCACGCCTCCGTCTCTCCTTATGAAAACCTGAAAGTGACCGCCAAATTATGGATTAAAGTGGACTTATTCTGGGAATGAACAAGTGAAGCCCTTCAACATAATATCTCACTGGACTGTTGTCATTAAAAACAGATCGATGGCAAAGTAGGAAGTAAATTTTTAGAACGTGAAGTTTTATGGCATTTTCTATTGCTATATGGCTAATGCATTTTCTATTGCTTTATGGCTAAATCATTACAAAATGACAAGAAACCTTTCAATGATAATAGCTTCATGGCCAAAAAAGGTTCAAGCTACATTTAAGTAAGTGTCAGCTTAAACATAAAAAAGGTTCCAATAACTGCTCGTATTAAACTGGTAGCAAGCATGGGTATTTAAAATAGATTCCCTGTGATCGATGCATTTGTGTAAATTAATGGTATAGCATTTAGATTCGATTCGAGTGGTATAGCATTTAGAAAAGATACAATTTGGAAAGAAGACAATTTTCAGTGAAAGATACAGTATTTTATACTTATTCGACTCTTCTATTTGTATGTGATACCGGGCCTAGTAAGTTATGGTCTCTTAAAGCGGCTTCATCGAGCTTGCCAAAAGCTTCTTTTCTTATTTTGCAAAGCTCTACAGTGGCTGCTGCACCAGTCACCTTTTAAAATAATAAACATGTGATGCTTGAAATCAATCGCTCGTGGTCACCAAATTTGCAAAGTAAATTGCTCTTCGACATACCTCATGATTTCCTGATTCATAGAGGAACTCATTATCACCTTTGTAGATGTGCAACTCTATAACTTTGCATGCAGTAATAGCACGACCTCTGTAATCATGAACAGGCATAAAAACGATCCTAGGAAAAACACATGACGTAATTTCACTCTTCTGTCAGAATGAAACAATATTTGAAAACCAAGTGCACAGAGAACATTCCATAATCAGGTAAAGCAAATAATTTTCTTGATAAATGTCCCTTCACTAAGTGTCTCTTGATAAATGTCGACATTGATTTGAAAAAACTAATATTCTTTAAGTATTAAACATAGTTTTTAAACCAGTGCATCCTAAAAATACTAATTCCTCATTATATGCGAACATAGGAAACATAGGATGGATGAGGAGGAATTCATACAAACAAACCTGTATTTATCTTCTTGCACAGGAGGCCGAAATTTAGCAAATTCATCTTTAATAGTATAGTAAACCATAGTTGAAATTGAATGACTGCAGAAAACACCAATGACCCTGCCTAGGAAATGTTGTAAGGTAAAGACGTTGTGTTTAATTATTTAGAGCAGCTACGGTTTAGGTTAAACCACGCGATCTGAATTTGTCCAAACACCCAATCTAAAATTGTTTTCGGGCAAATGCAGGAAATTTTCACCATCCCTTATCCTAATATCTGAACACTGAACAGACGAATTCAAAATTGTATATATTTAAATGCGATAGTGATAATGAAGAGACAAAAAAGCGGTACCCTTTCTTCACCAAGATATTTGGTAGAAACCATTTCACTAACTTCAATATCTCATTCAAGTTAAATAGAAACATTTGAATGTATATTCATCAAAGATATTTGAACCTGTAAACAAATTTTCAAATTCTTGTGAACAATTCCTCTTTACGAAATGATGAACAACTGTAAAGAAAAAGTTTGGTTTCGAGATAAAAAAGAGAACAGAAATAATTTCACCAGGTTCCACAATTGCCACCCAAATAAAAATAAAACAATTACCATCATCACGGACACCTCCAAGAAGAACACCACCTTCCGAATTGAGGAAAGCACTTCCATACTTTTGTACGTACTGAAACAAAGGGTGAAGATGCGTTGGAAGGTGTCACCGAAAGATGCCCATGCGTTCAAGAAATCTTTACGAAATCGTGATATAAATTATGTAGTAATTTTTGAAATGTTAAGCAGCCTCGCTGCTAGGGGTCTAGTGTTTAGATTCAGTCGTAGGTAAGGGCGTGACTTATGTCTACTTTCAAAAGAAATACCAAAATGTACAGAGTCTATCAATTTAAACTACCCAACAGGCGTCTATGACATAGGCTAATTTTTTCAAGGATGCAAAAACCATAAAAATTGACAAAGCCATAAATGCCAGTGCTCAAGAAAGAATAGTTTAGTTTGAGAAAGGTATTTATGAATTTCAAAATTCATAATTTCATGATGAAATTTAACACAATGAAATCCTTACTTGATTTCATTCCTACTAGAAACAGATACTTTTCTACCAAGCTTGGCAATTACTTAAACCCAAAGCATTGGCTAACGTTCCACAGATACAGATATGGAAGGGACTTCTAAAGTATCTCACTGTATGGTGAGAAATGAGCTGATACATCTCGCCTTAGCGTGAACTTCAAAACTTGCAGACTTCAGTCAAAACAATCATCAAATTTAAACTAACTTCTTTTAGTGAGTTACTTTTCAACATAAGTCCACCAGCTTTGAATTCATAATTTCTGTCTTCAGTCACTTGTAATAACTCATCCAGGACATAGAAACTGCGTTGCACTCTATGAAATCAATCAAATATTGCTCAGTATTAGCACAGGGAATTTAACAAGCTAATAAATACTTCTTCAAAACAAAATTGGAGCTAAATCTTTTTTGTATTTCCAACTACTAAGAAATTTTTTGCAACATCTAGACCAACTATGATAACGAATATGGAATCTTCCTGAAATTCTAGCATGTTTGTTGATAACTCACAAGACAAACAAAGCAAGGTTCATTGAAAAAACCTTGCAGTAGATTGGTTTTGCATTCTTTATATTCCAAAATGCAACATGGCATCAGAAAATAAGGTGAGTAATATCAGGCTTTTCCAATTTTTATTATTGTGCCAATCAGTTGAAAAAACAATGACACATTACAAAAGTAGCAGATATTTGAACATTTAGAGACGATTCTGAGCAATTCAGATGCTTCTATTTTAAAAACCAAGTGATATACTGAGCTAGAATTTAAAAATTGCATCCAAAACACAGTCTGTCTGATTCATCATTAAAGCCAGGAAAACTTAGAAGGGAAGGTCGCAAGGTTATCCTACTTCTGTTGTGAAAGTTAACAAGATGTACAATAAATAAATATTTTTCTCTGACATACAACTGTATGTCTAATAGAGGGATTTCATTTGCTTATCTTCTAGAAAAAAGTATAAGAACATGCAAGAACTTCCCCTGTAGAATTATCCAGCAAGAATCAAAATATTTGTTAACATAATTCTGTAAATCTACACTTCTTACAGTTAACATGGTACATAAAGCTCTTAATAACAGAAATCTCGATTTAAATATCAGACAGACAAATAAAACTAGTTGTACTAGACACTTTTTGAAACATAAATCAAAGAAACACAATTTAGGTTAACAGTTACCTTTTTTGAAGAATTTGCTTTGGACTGAATTTCACATTGGCTGGTGTAGTAACATATCTTGCTCTTTTCTACAATCAAACACTTTTTGATCAAATTTCAATTGGGTAACTGTACATTATAATTTACTGAAGATTACTTTTTTGCTGAGAAATTTTCAGTAAATTCCTCGTGGAAAGAAATAAGTAGCTAGATATGATGAAAAAGAAAACAAATAAATTCTACTTACAAAAACTACATACCAATACTGCTACAATGGGGTTGCTTAGTGTATTTACATAAGAAAGGATCCCAACATTCTGAATAGTATATTAAGCATTCAGCTTAGAGAGCCAAAATTCAACAAGGTGTGTTATAAGGTATACCCCAGAAAGGTTTTTAAATATACTGGGCTAGTTGCTGATGCTTTCTGTATAACAAAATTTGTGAAATGAAAAAATTTGTATATCTTGTTAGAAATTTGCTTAAAAAAATTGCAAAGAACATGCATGCAAGCTCATGCTGAAAGATACAACAGCCAACAAAAGCCCTGTAACATGTCATAAACTAGCTGTAAAGACCTGTGCTTTCTTTTGCAATTGTAAACCAGAGGAGTTTGTTCCCAGAAAACTTATAAAGGTACATCTCTCTCGGCTAAATTGTGTGATGTTCTATACAAGGCCATTGTCAGATAACCTCAATAGTTGGCAAGAGTGAAGTAAGTGTCTGCTTACACTTTGGGCAATTTTTACAATGAACTATGAATTTTCCTATCTATGCCACTGGCTTCAATAAAATTACTGAATGGCACAGTACCCCTCAACACCAGTTGTAGAAGAAACATGTCAATAACAAAGGTGCCAATGGTGGGAGCACTTCAGAAGAATTTGATAATGACCCAGGTAAAAAATCAAAATAATTCTCCAGTTAGACCCAACACAAACTACATTCTAAAATTTCTGAGAAAAATATTCAAAAAACATCACACAAAAACTCCTTTGGCTTGCAGTACGCAAGTAAGCAGATTTTTTGTACAGAATAAACTTTTTGTACAGAATCTTAGATAGAGCTTGTACATCCAACTCTATAGAATCAAGCACGAAGCCAGCACTGAAAAGATGGGCAGGTAACAGGGGCGAAGCCAAAAATTTTTTACGGATGAATAAAGTGCTTTTTGCTGGCAAAAGGGTGTGTCTCACTTTGCCCTCCTTTAGTAACACCCCTGGTGGGCAATGCAGAGTTAAAGTTGGCTTGTCAATTGAGTGAAGTGAAGGAGCTCATTGATTGTAAGGCAAGAGCTTTGTAACAGTATTGAAGAACTTAAGTAACAGTATTGAAGAACCTTCAAAAATTTGATACCTTTCAATTGATACAGAATTTAATAAAGATCTATTATCTTCCACTGGATAGAGAATTTTTGCAAATGTAATGAATTTTTGGAGAGTTTTCTTATAACACTGATGATTAGAAACATAAACATCTGAAGAGAAGTCTTGTTTTCTTTTACGTATTAAACAGAATAAATCCAAAAATTAAAAGAAAACTAAGCTATAATGATAAGTGCAATGAAGCCTTATCATTTCATCTACTTGAAAGAAAGTTTTCAAGATTTTGACTCTCAAGAATTTAAAAAGTACTCAAACTGCAGTGGCATCAAAGACTGTCCTTCAAAATGAAGGAAGTTTGGGTCTCGCTTTGCAGCTTGGCGTCTTCGTTGAAGCATCTATCTTGCTCAGTGCCAAAAACAAGATTCAACGCAGACTGAATCATATCAGCAGTTGGATTGACTCAATTGTGTGGACTGGTGCACAGTCGATATTAGTTTGCATCATGAATGCACAGACTTCATTGAGACCAATTTTTATGATAGTCATGTAGGAAGACACCGTTTTCTAAGTTGCTTGACATAAACACCTTTTTGTTCTAAAATTTTTGGACAGGCACAATATTTTTGGAAGGGGCAAAATATTCTAGTTGGGCAGGCAATGCCCCCGTGCCCCCTTGCCTTCCTGCCAGTATAGCATTAGAAAAGAATGAAAAATAATTTAAAAAACACATTCACACTTGATAAAGGATACAAGATATATCAAGAATAATAATACTTTGTTGTTTTTAAACGATGACTGCTACGCCCTAACTGTCGTGAAACACCCATTTTAACTTTTGACTTTTGATTTGTTAAGTGTGCACCCAGCAACTCCAGAAACATTGGGCGTGCATTTGCCATACTTTCCATAGTGGATCATACCCAGAACAAAACGGTGTACAATGAATTCTGGGGAGAAAATTCAGCAATGTCCTCTCTTGTTCCGCACAATGTGATTGATGGCCTAAAATGTATATAGGAATCACATAAGAGCACTTACACTAGGCTTCGCTGTACCATCGCAGCACTCACTGTTGTCTCTTTCACGCTTAAAGAACCTCTTGATTTTATCAAGAAAACTTGTCATTTTCAACAATCACACTTCAGAGATCGTTGTGATTTGAATCTCTTTCGAAATTCTCCTGGAAGATTCGCGCAAACGCACGTTTGTTCGATTTGCAATTCGCGGTTGTTGTCAGCAGGCTGGATACGAGGCTGGCAAGATACCCCATCTTCTGCCCCTCTTCATGTTTCCCTCCCAGGGTAATTCGGCTTAAACCCGCACATGAGGTCCCCATTTTTTGGATCCGGCTGTCTAGCTTAGTATCAGAGAAACAATGTTTAAAAGACAGGCTGAAAAACCACGAGAAGTAGCATGAATGATCTTGTCGCACTTTTCATGTTTCTGTTGTATAATTTTGGTGCATAATTTTCAAATGTTGGACTGGGACTTCTCGTTAGATAAAATGATCGATCTATTTGACCTGAGAGATGTGGTTAACGCAAGTTCTGCTTCTTCTTATAGCTTTAAACACTTTTATTTGAGAATGGCATGTAATCTCTTTGAAAAAATATTCTGTAAACGTTGATCATCAACCAGATAATAAAGGACAAAACGAAATGTTAACGATTTTAATACTTACAGTTTACATTAAAACGTCCATCTATTTCATTCGAAGGTTTGGCACTTAATTCTAATTCACTCCAAGACTGGGCCTTTATTTGAGCCAGGGTACTTATTCGAGAGGAGTTTTGATTTACGAGAAATTTTATCAAGGATTTACGTGAAAACAGCTTCATATTTTGGGAGTTTCTTTAGAAAATGTTTATAGAGAGGCTAAAGTAAGGAAATAAGTGAATTATATTCCACCTTAGAAGAGGGTGGTTTATTTCACTTAGCTGACAAAAAACGGTTCATGTAGATAAACTGGGCTTCTAGAAAGGCAGATGGTGCTAAAAAATGCTATACGGTGAGTAAATCTTATGCTTTTAAATTATGCTAAAAATGCTTTTGATGTGTCCTGTTATAATTTTCCAAAGTTGAAGAGGCGCCGGAGTAGTACAGTTGTGCAAGGACAACGACCAGTTGATTTCGAAACTAATATTAGAATATCATTAAAGAAGACAATAGAATACATAGAAAGTATTTTCATCAAGTCGTTGAAAAAACTTTGTTCTATGTTGAAAAATGTTTCTACTGACTTAGTCTTTTCACGATTAAGAAAACAACGCAGAAATTAGCATTTCCTGTGGCATGGCCTTGGGCTTCAAATCAAATGAAGAACATAAACGAAACGAAGTAGCCAGAAATATTTTAAAGGGCGTAAGCATGCATAGTAACAAAAATCAAAATATCCAGCTACCTACAGCGAAATTCTAAGAAAGGATACAACAGCAAAAACATAGCATACTATGGGACGTAAATTTACAGAAATTCTTTGTAGGGTGAAGGGTAGGAAAAATCCGTCTGACAATTGTTGCTTGATAATAAAATTGTGCAAAGCCTTTATTTACAGAACCTTAACTCTATACGCTTCGGGCATTTGCTTTCCTGAATCGAGTAAATTATCGGCATTAACGTTATGTTATGCTATTCTCTGAAGTACATAAGCATTTGAATAATTCATTCATTCATGAATTCATTCAAATCAGAATTGGCCATTCAAGATACTTTGCGTTATATACAGGCTTTAGAAGCATTATACAAGAAGTCAAGAGACAGGACTTAGACACCAAGAAATGCAAAAAATCGTTCCACCATGGCTTTGAAGGAAAGAAATGTAAATTGATCTATAGATGTTTATTAAAATCTTTGGTCTGACAAACGTCGCCACAATTCACAAATATCGCCATCAACACCACACGAAATGTCTTGGTTTTGTAGCATTTTGGTTTTGTCTTTAGTTCTGAACCCTGAAAGCTAGAAAGACTGCTGCTACTTGCAATATCTATCAGCTTTCATTTTTTCTCTTCGATCAAGCATAGCTTCATGTAACTTGCCTTTATTTTTTGCTTTCTCTAACTTCCTAACATTCTCAGCAGAAAGTCTTAGTCTACGGTCTTGGAAACTCTGGAATTGCTTGACGTAATTAACTTCGCATTGGCGAGGATCCATAATATCTTCTTCACTTGCATCATCTTTTTTCTTTTTTCTAAAACGGAAAAGCTTTGGAATGAATGAAGAATTCTTCAAAGTGAGAAGATTTGATGACGTATACATGCTTGGTCTTAGAAAAGTTCCTAGGTAAATTCTAGGCAACTCTTATCACCAATTTTCAGTGTTGATGCTTGACCCTTGATGTTTATGAACAAACTAATGTCTTTAAACTTACATCTGCAGCCAAAAATTAAAAGAATACAGTCCATCTTTGAAAGCTATGCAGCTACCATACAAGTATTTCTAACAAAAGAAGGATCTTTATGATCAATATTAGAACAGAAATAATTCACTAACTTGTTTACAAAGTCGGTCCGCAGCTGGAAAATCTCTTTTTCTTTTGCTTTTGAACTCAGTGCCCTTAGCTCACCAGATTCGTTTACAGCCAAGAAGTAGCCATTGTGTCCCTGTAATGCTGTTTTTTCATCTTCTACTACAATATCAATTTGTTCCTGGGGCCCGATCGCATCTGCTCGCCCTGTTACATCACCTCTTGAATTAACTGATACATATTTACCTGTACAAAGAACATACAGAATATTAAGACTATCAAACAACATTATCCAGAAACATTCTACATTGAAACACCACTAGAGTAGAGCTGAAGATTTTCTATGCTACATACAATTCTATACAATTACAAATACAATTGAATATGTTAAAATAGGTAAAATGTGCTAAAAAGTACAAAACTACACTTACAAAAAAGAAACATAACAAGACTAAATAATAGTTAAATTAAGGTGGAGCTCTTTAAATAGGTTAACTAATTGAGAGAGAGCACCCCTGCCCATAAAGACTATTAGTTAAAATAATAAACAAAATAAGTTTATATAACTTAAAATTGCCTTCTGAGGCCAATCAGAATGGAAAAGAAGTAAAATCTAGGATCTGTAATATAGACATCCTAAGTGAATGAAAAAATAAAAGGAATTCTGGTTTGCAAAACAGAAGGAACTCAGTTAGAGCAGTATCTGGAACTAAGAAATGGCTTTGAAAAAAGCAAACATTATTGAAAAATCAGGCCTTTTGTTTGATGCAAGTGATCACTCGCAATCGCATCAACACTTCCAGAAATACAATCTTGCAAGCTGTTGATCAATCATTCAAAGCAGTAATTCTGAGGAATATCAATATTCTGAGGAATTTTTATCAATAAACACATTTCCAGTCTTTTTTTGTGACCCAAAAATGTGACATAGACAATACAAAGCTGGTATATAAAAACACAGGAAACAAAAGTACGCTGAGTTAACCTGATGTCAATGGAATAATGCAACTAAAAATCAATTCCACCATGAATGTTTAGGAATACTAGGCACTTACTATTTGAATTACAGGGGTCACAAAGTCCTTGGAACATCGTCTAAGGCAGTTAGTGTTTTTAAAAAAAATTTGGAACAACATTTTGTGACCAAATTGTCGGTCAAAATTCTTGTCTTTAGTAAATAATGCTTATATGACCCTTGTGATGCACATAAAATTCACAAACGAAGCACAGTTATGTTGGGTATTCAATCTTTCTTGGGGTGCATTAAAGATAATTATAACCAGTTGTTTTCATTTTATGTTTCCTTGCACAAAAGTACCTTATATAAAATGATCATACGGTTTTGTAGACATTACAGATACTTTAAGCATTGTTGATTATCATTATAAATCTTAGAGCCATTGCACACAAAAGATAAATCATGGGTGCGCTGGACCACTCATGGGGGCAATTTCTTATGAAAAGGCCTGAGACATGTTACGTACTTAAGCATTTTGTCTGACACTCTTAAGGGTATAAAAAGTCATGGTTAAAAAACTTAATGTTAGGAAATTTAATTACCCAGCTGTGGTCTATGTTCTGATGTTTCATACTCTCAAGAGTGTCCAACGAATAGCTTTAGTAACATTTTTCAAAATGTTTGCTTTTTCAAAGTCATTTTTAAATTTTGTACCACAAAAAGATTGTTTGCAAACTAAGAAATGTTACATATTGCAGGCCATGCTGGGAATAAAATGGCAGGGGTGCAATGAATCGCACTCCTTGTGGTGCCAAGGCGTGCAATGGTGTGCTATTGCACCAAAGTACTTAATAATACAGTCAGCTGTATATGGACTAGACTACATAACTTTATCATAAGAAAACATAAGCAAGGCTAGTCCAATCAATACATTTTATCAAACAAGCTTTATTAAACCCAACATATTAAAGAGAAAAACATTAACAATAAGGTAGGTTAATTATTATGTAATCCTGCAGTTTATAAACCCTTCTGGTCTGCTTCTCCTGACAATCTCGTTCTCAAAATTTAAGAATTCTAACTGTGTTTTCACCATAAAGAAAACTTATCTGTTGACTAGTGTTAGAACGAATTAAATGGTTAATTGCACGTTTATATTTTGTAAGAAAGCTACAGTAGCTAAATCCTCACAATTCAAAGTCTTTCAATTTTGGAACATTTTTGGCCACATTTTATTAGTAAAAGTTTCTAAAGAGTTTTGTATTTGCATACAGATTAGAAAAATGCACATAAAGTAAACTGTATATAGAGGAATTGTGAGTCCTGAGAAAACGGGATTTTACTGATCGCACTTGCAAGATACACTCGTAAACCACAGTGTCATCTGGGTCAAATCATTTAAAGCTTAAAGATCAATAAGCCTGTTTAAATAAACAAAGCCTTACATGTGCCATGGGGTTGTAACTACAGTGGAATCCCGATATAACGAACTCTGAAGGGAACCAGAAAATAGTTCGTATATCGGGAGTTTGTTAAACCGAGAGATAATGTTTTTTAGGGGTCCTTTCGCAGTTCACGCCTAAAAAATCTGTGGTGGGCTTGTTTAGGCTATCTCCAACCTCTGTGCACATGTACAGCCATACATGTACCCAGGGGCGGCGCGAAGCGTCGCAAAGTAGGTAATCAAAAATTGGCGAGCAAAGCGAGCGAATCCTCCAGGGGGCCCGGGGGTGGAGCCCCCGGAAAAATTTTCAGAACCACGCCCTTTCAAAAACCCTAAGAATAGTGAAGAATCGTATGCTTGATGGTTCAACTGTTTTAGCAATTTCGAAAACAATTTCCCTCTTGCTTTTCATTGTGCGGATTAATATACAACATTATCAATGTGATTATGAACCATTTATGCGTATCTTGATGCATTTTTGTTGTGCCTAACAACCTCTCTTTGCCTTGCCTCATCTAATGCACAAGCAACATCGATATAACCTAGCTGTGCCGTTGGGTAGAATCTGGTTTTGGGATGCTTGATGACTGCCATTTTGTACCCTGTCGAAGTAAACCATGAAAGCCTATTAGTACGAAAGGCGCTTTCGTCTAAAATGTACATAAAGAATCATCATTAAACATTCAACCTATTTAAGTTCGATCTTGATTATTTACATAATGTCTGAGTTCCCATTCTGTGCTTACAACCACAGAATACTCCGCCGCACAACACAACAACCAAATGCCTTGAGGTTCTGTTTCGGAGATGCAGTAAACGGCTGACAGTTCATGCCACGGGTTTTGAGCCTGTAAACGATTCTGGAATAACAGACCTATTCAAATCGGCCAAAAGCCCATTTTCGTGAGCCGTAAAAAGGGCAAGGTAATCAAAAGTGGATTTGCTTACCTTGAAAGGATTGACCAGGAATCACTACGTAGAGATTTCATGCAGACTTATTTGTCCATGATAAACGATTCTGCACATTTTCTGGACAATAATTTTCCATGAGAACACTTATTAGTAGTTTTTGAAAAGTTTTTTAAATTTACTAAAAGCCTCTTTAAATTGTTTAATCTTTAATTTTTTATCAAAATATGAAAAAAAAACTTTCCTATTTGGCAAATATTCCTGAAATAAATTATTTAATTTTAAGCGCACCGTTGATAAACCACCCATCACAAAGAGACCAGCGATAAAAAATGTTCCTTCCTTCTTTGTTGTTACATCCACATATCCAGGAATAAACACATAGACAGACTCACTGGTTCATCCTTTTTATTTTATTCTGGGGCATGGCTAACCATCCTTTTTTAATTACAAACGCTGTTCATGATTTTCTTGCTCAGAATGTAGTGAAATACCCCAGTGATAGTCGTTTGTAAGCACTCTACTAATCATGAAGGATGGGGAACTGCTCTCGAGGTAATGAAACTGCGGAATGATTACGTTGCTGCGTGGCGCTCTTTGTTCAAAAGCCATCAGCACAATAAGACCTACGTCACAGAAACAACGAAAAGGTCATCAAACAGGGATCTGATTACCTTGCAGCTTCGCGGCCCTCGCGGTTCTCGTAGTTCTGGCGGTCGTTTGAGCAATAGAACAAAAAGAACATGCGTCAGAGGATTAAGAAATAATTATCGCCTGCCACGAAACAAAAGCCAAAACAAATGAAGATCTAAATGTCAACACGCCGTAAAACAGCCCCTGGACGAGCTTGTCCTTATGGATTTCGATTCACAACAGGTTCAATCAAGACCTATAACATTCATTGTGGTCGTAATACTTCAGTTTAGGTTTAAGCATAATTTTCTCAAGTTCTGGAAAAAAAAAGGTAATCAGCGATTACCTTGATTACCCCTAAGCGCCGCCCCTGCATGTACCATTTAACTCAAAAAAACCAATCTGAATTCAAATAATACAACTGGCTGGTCATTGAAAATGAAAATCTTAATGTTCCTTTTATAACTTGGGACCAAGAGATTGGCAAAGCTGGTATCACTTCGCTCCTAGTAGGTGCCTGAATGATGTCTTCAATTACTTCACATTCTTACTTGTCTTTTTCTGCTTCTCCATCTGGATCTCTCAATAAAGTTTTGTCGTCGCTTATTGCCAATTATTCATATATAAGAAGTTATTTGTTAGTGTCAATGTACTCATTCGCAGTAATTTCTGACGCAATCGAACTTTCATCTCGTGCTCTGAGTGTATCAGCCCGGGCTTGAAATGTATCATCGGCATGTTTTGTCGATTATAAAAATGATTTCTCCCCAAGAGAAAGTGATAAATGAATACCAAAAATAAACAAACAAAAATAACAGATGAAGAATTTATGAAAGTTCGTTATATCAAGGGTAATTATGATGAAGGGACCTAAAAATGGTTCGTGATAACGAGAGTTCGTTATATCCGGGGTTTGTTATACCGAGAGAATTTGTAAGGAGTTTGTTAGGCAGAATCCAAGGGACCAGGCATTTAGTTCGTTATACCGGGAAGTTCGTTATATCCGGGGTGATTCCACTGCAGTTATTGCAAATGAGACAAGCGACCACAACTGCAAAGCAAGGATTATCGGCCTAAAAGGTCGAGCGATTTTCAGACCTCAACTCAAAACTTTGATAAAGAAATCATGGAAACCTTCGTTTACAGGGGTTTTTCGCCACTTTCAGAACTTCTGTTAGTTTTAAACATGGTATCATCGTGTGCCTTGAAAGTCCGGCTACTAGAATCTGAAGAAATCGAGAAGTGGATGTTTTCATTCAAAAAACGTTTACCATAACTTTAAGCAAATTAGAATATTCGCCAAATTTTTCGTCAAGTAGAAATCAAATAGAAACGATTGCGTGATTATCACCGTTCGTTCATAGTTGAATTATGATAAAAAAATTACATTGGGCCATATTGGTCACTTTAGAATAAAGTGTTATTTGCAGATTATTTAAGGCGTGCGATAAACTGCACTTCTGAGCAACGGAAGGCGTGTGCCAAGGCGTGGGCGTGCGATCGCACGCCATTCCCAGCATGGCCTGTATTGTAAGATAGCTACACAATAGCCAGTAGCTTATTGAATATATGCATACCTAAAGCTGGATATTGGCCACAAAATAATAAAGCTACATCAAAGGTTCTACATCCTATAGCTAATGGCAAAAAGTTGCATGATACAACAATGTATAATAGAAGCTGTTAATCATCTTCTTTACCAATATACCATGGTTTAAAATTTCTACCCATCCACCCTTACGCTAACAGATAATTTCTTCTTCATTTCATGTAAGCACACCAAGGAAATTAATAGGCCATACCAGATATCTTTGGCTTAAGATATATAGATTCTGACAAGACATTTACTATTATCATGTTTTGACTCATAGTATCATTGATTGACACTTTAAGTTAAGCCTTGCTGTGAACATGTTTTTACGACTCTTATGCTGAATATGTAATGTGGCCTAGTATTATATCCTGATCATATAAGTTGTTTTGTTATATTCGTTCAACCATAGTTTATCTTTCAAGATACTCTCCGTGAAATTCTAATAGATTCCACCCTGGGTTTGTTGGCTGCTTATTGCTTACTGCTTATTGCTTATTTCAATGTTTGAAGTTTGTATGGCATTCACATGCAGGCAGTATTAGCTCATCCTATTCATCCCCACCCTTCCAGTTATATAGCAGATTATTACGAGTTGATGACCAAACCCAGAAATATATTTTTAATTCTTTCTAAATTGAAGAGAAATTTTTTTCAAGATTATTATGTAGCTGGCAGGAGGGAAGACCAATGCTCAACTAGAGTAACATTATCAAATTTTGATGGAAATGCTGGTATCAACAGAGGCATAACAATAGATTTGCGTCTGGAATCTCGGTTATCATATAAAGTTAACAACAATCGCTAGCTTTAATTATGACAAATGATGACCATCCTCCATCCATACATACCATATCCAGACTTAAAAGAAACTTTTGTTTCTGTCAACTTGACAAGTGTAAATATTTCCTCAGCTTGTGGGGTGTTGTCCACATGGACTTCTCCAACTGATAAAGATCCGTTGTCTCTTGCAATAATGTAATTTCCTTTGAACGTTTGCAAAGCTACATTGCAGCTTCTGATTTGCTCGTAGCTTTTGATTGCCCACCATCCACCGTGATTAATTGCATCTTCATCCTTTTCCTCGATAGTTTCTTCCGTACGATCGTGTTTTCTCTTCTTACTTTTAGTCTTTTTTGAAGAAGAAAGTCCTTTCAAGTTAAGTTTTCCGATTTTGACCTGTTTGTACTCCGCCATTTTCATAATCAGGGAATACAGTCTCGCTTTGATGTTAGCGTTGAAGTGCATTGTATGCTCTTGTTGTATTTTCTTCTTCGTCGAGGAGAGTTTTACCGCGTACCATTCAGCACCAGATTCATCCCCAGATTCATCCCCAGATTCATCCCCAGATTCGAAAACTTGCTTGTACTGCTCGAAATGTATCGAAATGACAATGATTGGCATGAAAATACGTTATTTCCAGAGTTTCCTTTCTATTTCCACTCGATAAAATTTTTTTCCTGCCAATTTATTTTTGATGTTTTTAGCGGGCCTAGGCATGCGTATTTTCCATCCCCAGATTCATCCCCAGATTCGCGTTTTGTATAATATGGGTCGAAAAACAGCATGAGATGTGTCAAAATGACAATAATTCGAGAGAATGTGTAGCAATATGCGGTTCTCCGTCAATTTCTACTAGTTAAATGCCACTTTTCTACCACTTTGTTTCCAATGGTGCTTGTTGGCCTAGGCAGTACTTTTCATCCCCAGATTCGCGGTACCACAGGGATACCAAACGACCACAGGGATACCATTGCCAATATTTTTCCATCCCCAGATTCCCGGCCATAGGGACACCATTGCCAAACCTATGTCAGTAAGGCCCCTCCGTGTCGGAAGAAGAGCAAATCCAGTATTTCATTTAGGCAGTAAAAAACGAAAAAAAACAAATTTCAAGAGAACAGTTTAAAAAATAATAACAGAACAGCAGCATTTCTAACAACATTTTTTGAAGCAACATGAAATATGAAGCTTGCTGAAAGTAACAAGAAGATCGTAAAAACAATGAAAGTAAAAATCATCATTATATGTCGAATTAACGTTAAAAATTGTGTGCCATGGAAATGTCTCTTTCTTTTTTTCTCCGACTCTTTTAAAAAAATTTGTAAAACAGTTAAAGTTTTGCGGTACAAAATAATGATGGTCGGGGTGGGGAGATTAAACTCTTCAGAATAACAAAGAGGTCAGTGATCGTCCAATCTGAAACTAGTAAGTGGGAAAAAGATTTTTCAATCTGATCGCTTTTTATAATATAAGTACGTAGGCCGAGATGGCCCTTACCCAAATTTTAAATTGTTTGTACTAATGTATCTATTATAATTATATACAAAACGTAACAAAACTGGGAATTATATATAAAACTAACTATAAAACAAGGCTTAGTTACCGCATTTACATAAACTAATAAACATTTTGGTTAAAATACATTAATATTTAAAAAAAGAATTAAATCAAACATTATAATCGTATATATTTTCAATCGTATATAAACTCTTTTCTTTTACTGTATCTCTGAGTAACTCTACCTAACAATGGTTACTTGAAGAAGTTGCTTTGTGTGCATTGAATAGCTACAGGGAAAATAATGACCAATTCTCTAAACATTTCTTTAAAGAAGAGTGAAGGCGAACAGAGTTTTAAAAGGTTAAATATTTTAACTTTCCTACGTGGCAGACTAGATTATATCACCAGATGCAACAAAAGACTACGGGAAAAACTATAAAGTCTTAGTCTTACTCTTGTTGTATAATTATTTTCTTTATTAATTCAAGCTCATCTGCTGTTTCTGCAACTAGCCTTACGACCAACAAAGGGCTCATCTCGAAGTTGCGAATATAGCGGTAAATGTATTCTACTTGCTTTGCAGCTGTGTCGCAATTGCCTTCTTTTGTTTGATGTTGGCATAGTAACGGAATTGCTACTGATGCTTCGTTAGTCTTCGTTGTTTCTAGCAAAATTCTTTCCACCATACAGTTCATGACGTCCATAGACTTCGGCACTCCAGAACGACAACTGGGCTCTACAGCTAGGGATAAGAAAGAGTGCGTTTTCTTTAAAAAACTGTGATAAACAATGTGAAACCCTTTTAGCCCTTTTTTTTAATTTAAACTCAGAAGAAAAGTTCTAGACAGTAGAGATTCTATTGCATGCTTTTGTCATTCTCAATCATTTTCCATTTCAGTAATAGACTGCTATACCAACAATAAAGAAGACTGGACAAAAACAAGTAAATACACGCGCCCAGTATCCTAGTTATGTTATCAAACATATAGAACTGATTTTATTAGTAAGCTTTAGTATGTCATAGACAAATATTATTCTACAAAGCTAGCCCATAGGCACTGACGAAAGTTGCTGTCCTACGATTCTGATGCAGCTACACTCACCTCTTGTTAGAACGAGTTTGTCGCATTTGAGATCCCCTGGTTTGCAAACCATGCACCCATCAACAAATTTGTTGTTTTCCTCAAAAGGTGATAAATTCGTCATGCCTGCTCTACTTAATACCTTCTCCGAATTCTGAAAGGAAAAAGTCGATTCATCGCTGTATTTTAACTTAAATGAATTTTATACTTTTTTGAAATCTAGCACATTATAGATTTGATCTGAAAATCTATACCCTCATACCTTTTTCATAGGTTGCAGAACATCATTCACCTCAGCGACTATACAGTTAACCCGCTCATTTTGCAACTCGTTCAATACACCTAAAAAGAAGGTGATAATTCTTCAAAATAGGAGAGGAAGTGTAAATTATTGTGCATATACACTCCTTATAAGAATGACAAATAAAATACACGGAAAACAAACATAAAAAGGCACGTTAATATGAAAAGCAGGCTATTATCTTACCTTGTATTTGGCAATTGTTGGAAAGGGTTCTTCGGACTTTCACTGTTGAATCCTATTCGAAAAAATTCCATTTTAAATGATTATCATATTTGTCATTCTGTATATAAATTGATATGACACGTCAGAAGGAACTTTATAAGAACTAGTAGAAAATGAATTAAAACTATAGATGGTAAATAGTTTGTACAAGTATAATAGTTAAAACTTACAGCACATAATGCATGATTCCAATAGACAGTCAGCCGGGAACCATTTTCACCACATGATCTTCTCACCGCCTCTTCATATGTTGTTCCTTTGGTATCCATATAGTCCAGACAAAGTAAATCTGGCAGGATGATATAATCAATAAACTGTACAGATGTCAACCCATATCTCATGCAGCTGACTGTTGGTAGGGATACACCGAAATACTCATGTTCTGGTACTTCGTTACAAAACATTTTATAAAGCGCTCCTTTCAACAGCTCCATATCTACATCTGTTACCAATTGCCCTAAGAAGCGCAGCTCTCTCTTAAAAAGAGAAATGAGTTTTTCCTTCCCAAAAAATGCCAATACCATGTATCTCTCATTCCCTGTCTTCAGGTTTAATACTAAACGCTTCAAAACTGTTTTTTTTAAGTGCTGCAACGACGTCAATTTTTTCTCGACTTCCTGCTGTTCAAGATAAATCGAATCATCAGTCGAGTGAGTGCCGTCCACTGCTTGCGACTCTAGGCTATAATCTTCATTTGAAGCTTCATGGCGACTGTCGACGTATTTCTTAAGCGTTACAAAGAAAAAATTAACTTTTCCATAGCCAGGCACACTATCGCGTATCTGTAAGTTTTTGCTTATGACATTAATGTCGACATCGCTGACATTTTCTGGCAAAGACTGGCGTTTCAAACTCACTGTCTCGTGAAATGAAGATGCTATCTGTGCGATCCAGTAACGAAAAAGGAGCAGGTTTTGTGCATTGACAGAATAGAAAACGCTAGGAAACATACAGTTGTAGGCATTTATACAGGCAAAAACTCCGCAAGAGGATTCATCTGTTTGTAACTGTAAAGTTCTTGGATTTAAAAGGGTCCACTCTTGTTGATAAAACGATACGTCGTGCAGTTCGGCAGACAGTTTTAGCAGAGACAAAATTCTATAAAAGATTGTCCTTCCCTGGTCTGACTGTCGCAATGAGTTAGCCAAGACAATGCATTTACTTTTTGGGTATATGGCTACAACAACCCAATGGCATTCTTCAGAGTTTACCGGGATAATAATGACATCATAAGTGTTAATAGCGTTTACCGATAAAAACGAGCTGACCTCAGACGTTGAAAATCTGTTCCTGCAAAAGTTTGCATAGAAGGTACCCGAAGTAGCGAGTATGTTACTCTCCGAAAAGATCCTTGATGCTGCAAAAATGAAATGCGAAACGACATCTCCATTCAAGGGCATGCCATGACAAAGTGTGCGGAGATCGTGTGCGGTGAGCTGCGGCGTAGCAGGCTCTAGCATCCCAAACCAGTACCTTTCAACTAATCGTTGTTCTGCTCTAGGAATTGTTGGCACCTCGCAAAGTGAATAGTTGTTCTTGTTTTTAGGTTCCAGGAAGAAGAATAATAAATGGCAGGATTTTTTGAATGTCTGGAGGTTCATAAAGCTATCTGCATTTCTTACTTTTACTGAAGTGTCATCAAAGGTCTTGACCGTTTTCTTATCGAATAGGTGCGTTGCGTAGTGTCCACTTCCACTAGTATAGGCATAATGCGAAACCGCTGCCTTCAGTTTATAAACATGATTAGAATGCGTTTTTCTTGCAGAGTACTGTTCTAGATCCAGCTCTTTCTCAATATCAACGGGTGTTTGAACTATTCGCCCTCGTCCTTGCCAAGTTGCACGCTTCAGCTGGATCACTAGAATCGTTGGAAAATTGTGGATGACAGTTGCTTCCCAAACGGAACAGTTCTTGCATTGTTCACGACAGACAGTTTTACTGTAGCTTGGGTCGTCGTAGTGCTTTCCCATGAGTTGCAACCATATAAGGTTTGTCAGCTTGACTGGGTCAGGGGAGTCAACCACCGCTACGTTAAACATAGTGTTTCGATGAACAGACCCAGCCATGCCTTTACAGTTCAAGCAGCATCGAAGATCTAAGCAAACAAACTGGAGATCGTTAATCATTTCTTCACTTGGGACACTTTCCAAGTAATTTGTTATGATTGTTGCATAAAATTCTGATGCATCTCTTTGAGTTCCTGAGCTAGCATCAAAACGCTCACCTTGACTGCTTTTCCCTTGAGCATGAAGTCCGACATCTTCCACCATTCGCAAACTCAATGGAGCTTTTTGGTTTTTCATTAGCCGCAAACGACAAAGTAAGAGAGCCTGGGAGATTGGCAGGTCTTTACTTCCATCGTACGAAAATAATAGGTCAGCTATGCCAGTACCACACATTACCTGTGCAATGCAATTCAACCAGCAGTTGTTTTTGTTGTTGGTAATGCCACGGTCATGACCAAGAAGATCAATGCTTGGATAATGTCTGTTAATCTCTGTGTCTAAAAATAGATGCTTGCAGACTATGGCTTTGATGGCAGGGTCCAATAAATCAAATTCTTCAAAAACTTGTTTTATTAATCCGCTAGCATCATCATTTATTCGGTCATCGTAATGACTCACCAGCTGAGCTGTACCTCTAAATAGCTTCTCTAGGCATATGCTGCAGTGGTATCGGGGTATCATATTTGCCAAAAATTCATCCTCCAGTTTAATGCACGAAGAGTGGAACCAGTCTTCGCACACATTGCATTGAACCATGCAAGAGCCTGACGGCCTGAATGACTGCTTACAAATACAGTATACCTCTTTACCTCGAGACTTTGGTGTAGAAATATCCTGCTTTTCTGAATCAGAAAGATTTAGAAAACGCCTTCGTAGCTCAGTTATGCACTTTTCAGTGGTTGGCAGTGTTTTAGATACAGATGACCAATTTTTCGCTTTGTAGGCATTGAATCGCATTCTGTCTTCTTTAGATCTAATTCCTTTATTGCTTTGCAAGTCAATCTTTCTGTTTATTAGTTTAGGCGTTGCTTTGAAAACAATTGGAGTAGTCGGCGGCTCAGAATACTGCCCAGAAATATGGCTGGTATCTTTTCTAGTACATGGTTTTTGCCATTCTTCCTCTTCCTCCATTTCAGCTTCGCTGCTCTTTTCACACAAAACGTTTTCATCATTTGGATAACGGGGCGTTGACCTCTCTAGGCGCTTCAAGCTTCCAGTGTTTTTAGAGCTATTCACCCGCAACGAATCTATAAACTGCCGCCTAAGACCACAAACATTTTGAAAGTGTTTATAGATAAATTCGTCAATCGGTACCGATGAGCATGAAAAGCTTTGCTTTATAAAAGCAAAATAATTTTCGGCATATGCGTTGGTATTTCCAACGTCAAACATCCTCTTTCCAACAAGGCTTTTTCCAGTGGTTGAATGGCTCTTCATGACTGGGCTTCTTTCTAAAGAAAGCATGATTCTGGTCCATAATGGGAGATATGGTACCAGAACCGACTGAAAGTAGTCCATATACTCCGGAAAGAAATACTTGTTTCTTGTTTCAAAGACGTCGATCGGTAGATCAATGGCTTGTAAGTGTCGCTCTATATGTTTCTTGAATTTATTAGATGACTTTGATGCAACTACAATACAATCAGCTTCGTTATCATTATCTGTAATAGCATTTTCTTTGGTATTCATTCTGAATTCGTTCACTATTCTTGATAAATTGTCAAGAGCATCTTGTACATTTGGGTCAGTAAATTCTGACATAAATGCAATGTAAGCTAATTTTATTATGTCGGTAGCATCTTCCATCGTTTCAATGTTTGTCAACAAACCGATTATTCTCATCACAAGATGTTTCACTGATGGCAAATTGTCTGAAGTAATTCTTTTCCCTGCATGTCTCTCCACAAACTTCGCACTTGATTTTGAAATGTGGGCTGCGCATATTAAAACAAGCGTTATGCTTATATTGGCGCATTTTCCTTGCAACATATCGTAACATTGGTTCACGTAACTTTCAACAGTCATACCATAGTTGAACTCTAGTAAGCAGGAGGAGATGACTGCACTACTAAAGTCTGTTCTAATTGCGAATGGTTGAATGTTATTGCCATACAAAGATTTTTCCTTCGCCCGAAGCAATGCAAATAATCGTTGAATTGAGCTTGCTGTATGCGTGGAGGAAATAAGTTCAGCCACAGGTATTGGTGGTGAATTTCCAAACGGATCTCTAGTTGTTAAGGAATATAAAAGGATCCTATTAAATCCTTTGATCGGTTTTATTATTGTTCCAGTTGCATCAAAAAACAACACGTCTTTTGAGCAGACATGACGAAAAAGTCTAACACTACCTTCATCAAACAGAACAACACACAAACTGTCATTCGTTACGTCATTTGATTGCACAAAGCCCAATATTGTCTGTTTTTCCATCATGGACTTGAAGTGTACTCTATTATAATCTCTTATTTTTTTGTCAGAAGCCCGTATTTTCTCAGCTACAATGCTGGCATCACTTTCCAATGCCTTGGCCTCAGCTGATATATGTTGAAATGCCTTTGCAGACACTCCGCACCCTGACCTATTGCCAGCAGAGTAAGCGTCTGCCGTTATTTCTTTAAGCTTTTGTCTGTATAACCCAGATGGTTTCGAGGACGTTTCTCTGAATACATCTTTCAGATTATTTCTTTCTGTTCCAGTCATTCTTCGGGCACGTAAATTGGATGCATCATGGACTGCATCCCCTCGAAAATCTATATTTATGTCCTTACTGTGCTCGCTCTCAATGCAAAGCAGAACATTACATTTGCATTTTTTAATGGTACAAAATCCACTTGCTTTGAAAAACGGGCTTTTCTTTTTTCTCGAAGCTTCGTTTTTTATGTGGTTATGCTTGAATGCAAACACACAGAATGGATTGAATTTTTCGATCATTTTGCTAAAGAATGCAGTCCACTCACCCGCGAAACGACGACTCCCACCCTTTAATGTTTTGATCTCAAGATTTCTCCATACAGGGTCTAAGGGCATGACTCTTTTCACACCATCCATCTTCTTTTTGAACTCTTTCCTACCAGTAATATCACTACCAGTAAGTAAGCTGGCTAATTTTTCCGACAGTCCAAAATCTTCGAAGCAATCCCTTTCGGCATCCGTACCTATTTCCTGACCTTTCTTTATCTCTGTAATAGGCAATAAGGATTCACCTTTATCACAATCCAACTGATCAAATGAATGGTCTGCCTCCCTCTCTTTACCCCTAGCATCGGCATTGGCAACTTTCTCAGAGGTAACATTGCTATTTGTCTCTTCTACTGAAGGCTCTCTGGATACTGCTGATGTTAACGAGGAGTGAACTTTTTCAACCAAATCATTTGCTGCCTCCACGAACTTTTCAGCACACATTACATTTCCTACAATCTTTTTGTACTTATATGAAATGAGTCGATAATTTCGTTTATGATATCTCCAGATCGCTAATATTTCGGCGTTGGTAACATCATTTCTACCAAGGTAGTGTCTACAGATTTTTGGCACGTCGTAATGTAAAGTTAATGCACGCTTTAAAGGAATTTTTGCCGCAATAAGTGAATTGACATACTTTGCAAGGTATATTTTTACCCTTGGCTCTTCATCTTCAGGAGGCTTGTGCATCTTTCGTCTTTTCATTTCACTCAATTTACTTCTGTCGTTTGAACGGTTGCAACCAGTACGTGAATAGCCCCTACCTCTTCTGTTGGTTGAGATGCCATTGCCCCCACTTGAATTTCCGTCATTCGCCCCGCATGGCGTTCTGTGTGATCCTTGCCTTCCATTCAAAGTTTGATGCACAAGTGCCAATGCACAAGATTTGAAAAGATTTTCCAATATTGCTTGGCGAGCTAAACAGTTCTTCTTAGTACATTTACCTTTCCTTGCCAATAAGCATCTTCTTGAAGAATGCATCATGGCTCCGCGAGTAAATTTATCCGACGATCCCTTGGATAAGAATTACATGGTTGCATGTACGCGAACTGGTCACAAAATTTCCTTGTATGATTTGTTCTAAAGGCCTAAAGATGCGGTAGCCAAATGATCTTTATGCCTAATTCCTTGCTTGACACATAAAAGCATTGCTCTTACTGTGAAACTAAATTACACTGCGTCAAGCCGAAAACCCACTCCGGAAAATGATCCGCGGATCGGATCAGATTTTGTGTTGCGCAAGCGCTTTGGATGCAAAAATGGTCACATGACTGATCCGCGACGGATCGAAACGGATCGAAAAAAAAGTTAAAATCATTTCAACTTTTTTTTTAACCGTTCCGGTACAGTAGTTTTCTTTTGATCAAAATCGAATAAGAACTTTTTAAACATTAGGGCACTTGCGTCACAAGGCAAGAATCCCGTGGAGATGATTCCAATCTGAAACGATCCGCGGATCCAAAGAATAACACGATCCGCGGATCATTTTCCGGAATGGGTTTTCTGCTTCAAACAGCGTTTTTCAAAATTCGAATTCAAGTGTTGACATCTAGTGCGTCACTTTGCGCTTTTTCCAAAGAACACAATCGTGGTGATGTTGGACTTGATTATGGGCTATGTCTCATGCATTTACAGGAGAGTCGAGAAAAGTTGTTAACCTTAACCAAAGCTTACTAACCTTTGTCATTTTGAATGGGTTGAAAGTGGGCGTGATAGGGAAATTGAGTTAACTCGATCAGATTTGCTCCCCTCTCTTTGCTACTCTGTTTTTCTGAAGCATTTGTAAAATATCTAGCTTGTTTTCAATTATAGATAGTTCTTGAGACAGATGAAAAATTGATGAAATCAATCCGTTTTGCAGTGCAAAGTAGTTTTGCAAACCAGTGGCGAATCTAGCCTTAAAAATCTAGGGGATGGGGCTAGCCGGGAGCCAAACTTTCAGTTATAGGGGCCAACGCTATAACAAGATCACAAAAGCTATTTGAAGGCTTGATCATATTTTTATTAATGAAATTGTTCTCTTGAACCAAGACAACTTGTTTCACTTTTTGAAATTGTTCTTGGTATCACTATGGCCGCGAATCTGGGGATGAAAAGTACTGCCTAGGCCAACAAGCAACATTGGAAACAAAGTGGTAGAAAAGTGACATTTATCTAGTAGAAATTGACGGAGAACCGCATATTGCTGCACATTTTCTCGAGTTATTGTCATTTTGACACATCTCATGCTGTTTTTAGACCCATATTATACAAAACGCGAATCTGGGGATATACCTATCTGGGGAAGGTATATTGGCAATGGTATCCCTGTGGTCGTTTGGTATCCCTGTGGTACCGCGAATCTGGGGATGAACAGTACTGCCTAGGCCAACAAGCACCATTGGAAACAAAGTGGTAGAAAAGTGGCATTTAACTAGTAGAAATTGACGGAGAACCGCATATTGCTGCACATTTTCTCGAGTTATTGTCATTTTGACACATCTCATGCTGTTTTTCGACCCATATTATACAAAACGCGAATCTGGGGATGAATCTGGGGATGGAAAATACGCATGCCTAGGCCCGCTAAAAACATCAAAAATAAATTGGCAGGAAAAAAATTTTATCGAGTGGAAATAGAAAGGAAACTCTGGAAATAACGTATTTTCATGCCAATCATTGTCATTTCGATACATTTCGAGCAGTACAAGCAAGTTTTCGAATCTGGGGATGAATCTGGGGATGAATCTGGGGATGAATCTGGTGCTGAATGGTACGCGGTGAGAGTTTTGGGAGTTGGCAAACTTTGCTACAAACCCTTCCGAACAGTCATGGATTTTCTTGATAAGGAATCGATTGGACATGGTTTGAAGATTGCTTGCACTGTTATGACAGGTATGGCAAATTTCAACAGCGTCAGAGTTGCAGCTCTAGAATTTGCCTGCGTGTGACGGGGTCGGTTTGTGGGCGGGCGCAAGACAACCCCCTCCTGTCACGCAGAGTTTAGATTTTATGTCAAAATGAATCTGAAAATAAAGAAGCTTGTAGTTGTAGGTTTCATTGCAAGGTTGTTTCCCCCCTCGATTTCCGATCGTCTGTATTCGCTCTGTATCAGTAACAATCCCAGCTGACCTTTGCCCTTGTACACTCGCCTCACAAAAGTATTGCACCACCTTGTTCAAAATGGCGGCACCTTCTGTCAATAATTATACAATACAAAACATTTGAATGCATGAATTGGGTGAAATAGGCATATTTTATAGCAAATTCCGGCAGGAAAAGTTTGCAAATTTTACTGACGTCATAGAATACCTAGTTAGAAATGTACATTTTACGCAAAAACATTATTGTTTGATGTAGATCAATGCCTAAGGGAGAAAATTTCTCAAATGAGAGGCGAGTCCCTATAAAATTTTTACAGTGAAGTGGTCTTTAGTTTTTGAAAAATTGTTGACCATGTTAGATGCAGCCACTCAACAGCTTCAATAAATCAAAAAAGTTTTCTCAAGAGTGCTTCAGTAGTAATAAACCCGAGAAGTGGGTGAACAAAAACAATTGACGTTAGAGGGGTAGCGATTTTGTCTGTTTTATTTCACCATGTTTACACCAAGGGACAGTAAAAGACATGAAACTTGACGCTGAGCTATGTTTTGCAGCTCAAAATTCTTCTGAACAAAAAATATTGAGTGTCTTACACAAATATGAAATAAAAATTCACCTGCATTAAAGGAAACCATTTTTACAATGATTTATTTCTGAACAAGAAGAATTCAATTTTTTCCGTGGCGTCGCTCAAAGTCCAGATTCGTACATCGTTGAAAGTGTTTGGCTTTGTATGAAAAACATTACGAAATTCCACAATAATACATTGCTCAATTATATGCAACCAATTCAAGAAGGCATAAAGCGGTTTCAAAAGTTCATAGCTCCCATCAAAATATTGAAATTTGAAACTGTTAAAAGACGTTTCAAAACTGTTATTTAAAAAAAAATGGTTCTAAAAAGATTGAAGTTTTTATTGGTGGTTGTTTCACTTCCGACACACTCCCATTCGCCATTTAAAAACAATCAATTCGTGCAACAATAGCTTTCGATAATTCATGCGCCATTTTCCCTCCTTCCAGGTGGTGCAATACTTTTGTGAGGGGAGTGTAATAATGCCGCTGTAGGCCAAACCAAGTGTGTCCAAATTTTTTTTTATAGAGATAGCCAAATTTGATAAGGTTAAAGTGCTCAATGTTAAATAGGTTAAAGATAAGGTTAAAGTGCTCAGTTGCAGATGTAATTTTTAGAAAAATAGACCCCCACCTTCTGAATACTTCACACGTTGGTCAGTAACATCTTCAGTTTGTCTACAAAATCCTGAGCTTGTTGAAAAAACCTGCATCAATAAATTTTGCTATTGATGTCCCTCCAACCCCCCTCCCTGCAAATCTAGAAGCCCAAGGAACATCATTGAAACCTGTATATATAGTTTGGAAATAATACCCCCCCCCTTCTGAATACTTCATAAGTTGGTCAGTAACATCTTCAGTTCGCCTACAAAATCCTTAGTTTGTTGGAAAAACCTACATCAATAGATTTTGCTATTGATGTCCCTCCAACCCCCCTCCCTGCAAATCTGGAAGCCCAAGTAACACCATTGAAATGTGTATATACAGTTTGGAAATAATTTGAATTGCTAATAGCATGATACAAATTAAATCACAGATATATGGGTCAGTATTTCTATAAAACCTATATCAGTATTAATTATTTTTCATTTAAATATCTATCCTACATTTAGGCCTATATGCTGGTGGTGGGATGTCCATTTTGAACTCAAGTGTCAAAGCCTGGAGAGATCTACCCGCTGTTGAAGCAATTAAGTACTGGAAGCCAGCTTTTTACCGCAACCAGGAATACCAAAGAAGAATAAATCTTCTATCAATCTTGACAGGTGCGGGTGGTTTTGCTTGCACATTTGGTACCTCAAAAGAAGACTATGCTTGGATAGTTAGTGCAGGCCTTTTGTTATCCCTTGGCCCTTACACTAAGATTTTTATTTTGCCATTGAATAATCAGTTACTAGACACAAAGCAAGCCATTGAGAATGGTGAAAAATGGATCCGTGACTCTTTGGAAGAGTGGAAAATGCGTCATTCTCTTAGAGCCATTGTTAGTACAGCACTTTTTGGTTTCATGGTGTACAAGCTTGCAAAACACTGAAAGTTTTGATCTACTTTTTTTAAAAAAACAAAATATTCATATGCAAATGGACAGCCCTACATACAATTTTGTGTCTACATGCCTCTCTGCATCTAGCATTTATATTTGATTATAAAAATCATTCACATTTCACAATATAATTAAAATTGCACCAAAGTGTTTTTAACAGGTTTATTGATTTAAGATTTATTAATAAAATGATTATTAACAAAGTGTCATTTTTATCTTAAAAACTGTGTCTGATTTATAGAAGTGTTTCTATAAATCTGCTCTATGACATTGGTATGAAGATTGAACAGCTGATCATCATGAAATCTATCCTTGTTAGCTAACTAATTTCGCTGCCTTTAATATTCACAACCAGGAGTTTATATTTTGATAATTTGACTTTCATGTTCACCTACTTAATTGTTCAGACAAAGCTCAAATTGCAGTTCAAAATCATAAAACTAATACTTCAGTGATTTTCAATGTTCTTGATAGTGTAAAGTGCATGAAGCATCAGAGGTCGGCCTGATATGACCTTGTTTGGGCATCCTGTAGAATAAACAGTCCTAGCACTATATCTTATTAAGAGGAAGTTCGAGTGCAGCATATATATTGAGAAGATATATCCATGCAAGTTCCTGGCTGTCAAATAGGGGGTCATTCAATTATTTTCAGCTCCTTCTCACGTCATGTTAGAAATAGTCAAAAAATACTACAGCCTCCTCCCATAAATTCATAATTCTTTTTTCTTCAAAAGTCAGCCAGAGGCATAAACTTCCAAACTATTAAACGTGCTGACTAAATTTTGTCTGAAACTTCAATTGCCTAATATTTTTCACTCCTAAGTTTTACATCGTTAGAAACTGCATAAATGCAAGGAGCGATCTTTAGCGAATGTTTCTCGAAAATTCTCTAGGGCCTCTAGTTCTTAGTGCAGTAAACATTTCGTAAGCAATTTTTAAGGTTTATCATGGCAGTTGCCGTAAAATAGAATTTTTGCTAAATTAATTGTACATGCGTTCTTTTAAACCTACTTCATAAAATTATCTATAGGAACTTTTAGTTTGCCTGCTTTTACCAACATCAAAACATTTCATTCATCGATACATTTCGAGTCTTAACCATTATAAACTTAAAACTGTTATCAAGGAAAAATTAGAATTCAATAAATAGAAAATTGTAAAATCATGACTACCACTTTTATTCAAATATGCGTTAGATCATGTTAGATACACCAATTGATACGAAAGAATAATCCCTATTTATTAGTAATCCGTTATTAGTAATCATTATTCCAAAACTTATTTGCAATGTGACCGTGAGTCACACTACAAAACAGCAAAGTTGTATGTGGCTGCATTTCACCTGTGAACAGAAAGAAATAAATTTTCAATAATAGCTTAAGAGTAATAACTTGATGTCATAAACTGTTAATGCATACATCAAGGGAATAAGATGGTTTTAAGTGCATTCCAAAGGGAAACAATGACTTTTAACTTTCAAATGCCGGTTTTTACAATCCAAAATTTTTTCAAAATCATTGCAAATTTTGTTTTGACTTTACATAGAACTTTGTGAGAAATAATGTGTGTTTTGGTCAAAATATTCATCGCCTTGTCTGTAATCGAAAATGTGACCTCGAGAGGAGTGTCACAAATTCTTCCTTCCCTTGCTCAAGAAATTTTTAATAAAATATACACGTTTTTGTGTAGCTAGACAATTTTAAGACCTGCCGTGTCTAATAGCAAACAAGCAAAAATGTAGTGAAAGTAGTGTTTCGCGGAACTATATTGTTTATTGAAACATAAAGGTTTCAGCTCAGCTGGAGTTTTCTCTTCGTCGTGCATTTTCAAAACATTTCACTTACATCTTTATAATTTTAACCGAAGGTTGAAGTTTAAGTCCAGTAGAAATTCTCTAGCAACGAACTTTAAAGATTACTTAATCTTGAGCCAGTTCAGCAATATAAAAAGTAAAACTTAAACAGCTTTATCAGTTAACCAAATCCATAGGCCAATTCGAAGTGAACTCAATCCAGCGCCATTCAACTCGAGCCTCAATACCCTAGCATCACCACATTGCTACCCAACGACTTCTTACGGGACAGCACAGCCGCGTTAAATTATTTGAAATGATTGAAAAATTCATTTTATTTAATATTATCCATCTTTCTCCTTGCTTTCAATTGAAACTTGTTCTTATTGGAAAAGGAAACATGCAGCTGAACAAAAACTTACTCGGGCAAATACTTTGCAAAGGATCGGCGTTTCCTTGATGACGTGCATTCCATTTTGACGAAGAAAGTAAGATCTCCTTCTTCAGAGCAACGAACCCCTTGGCATTTATTAAACATTACCAAAGAGCCTATCAGAAAAAATAAGTTCAATGATAAAATAAACTCAAAATTCTATTGCATAGTGAAATCAATACAAGTTTGAAAAAGTGATAGCTGCCTCAACAAAGTTTCCTTTTCGTGGCAGGGCAGGGAGTTTTTTTGGGAACTTAGAGAAGTTATAGATAAAGTCCTATTCCTAAAGATTAAGGTCAAATATTGCAGCTTAACCTTGTATGCAAGCAATATAAGAAAGAAAATCGTCTGCAGGCAGTGACGCAGTATGTGTTTTGACCCTTGATATATTTAATTGCAGAAAGCGTTCTTTCAAAAATTATTTACGTACACGTAGAAGGTACGAGGATTGCTTTGTAGACCTTCTCAAACTAAGATGCGTACACTTCTTAACAAAACTTGCTGATATCCTTTTATCACTGCCTAAAATCTTGAAGATTATGGACTGGCACTAACTACTGAAAACTGCATTGCTGAAAAATTTTGACTTGTTTCTTCGAATTTCTCTGCGAACTCATTACTTTAGACATTGTCATTTTGGTGAAACATATACTGTAAGCATTTCTGTAAAAAATTCTACTTATGTGGAAATGCATAGAATTCAAATAAAGCTTATGATTGAGTGCAATTGTACCTTTTTCGTATGTTTTCCCTTGAAATGCGCAGATGGGCTCTGGGTAAATTCCGGTCGGCAAGGCTTCGATGCTCAGCGATGCGAAACAGATCATCAACGTAAAAATGAGACTCTTCATCGTCTATAAATGGCAACATAGAACAAGAGTTTTATATCAGCAAAGCAATAGATAAACTTGTGGTTGTAGCATGTGTGTAATGAAAACAAATTTATATCTACATTGTTTAATGTCAAAATGCGTTTACTTTCAGCTTACCTGACTTTCTGCCGGACAAATTATGAAAGTTCACAGCTCAGAAGCAGCTGTTGAATTGGTACAGTCGACTCCGCCTATAGCCACTCCGCTCAAAGTCACACTAATGGCTATTTCAACATAAAAGTATCAGAGCCAAACATGCAAAACATTTCAAGTTCGCTCCGTTTACAGCCACATACCGCTTACAGTCACAAGTTTTCAAGCAACATTTGGCGTGACAATAACTTTTGACTACTGTAAATATTATTACTCGAAGTAAGAAGAATATTGGTAAACACAACTAGGAGGAGATACATGATTTAGAGTTCTACTCTTTTTATGACGAAACGATTTGATATCAAGCTAAATTTCAATACTTTTAGTCAGGAACATTGGATCAAGAGGAAAAAGTTGTTAAAAAAATCATTGCAGCTTGAGCCAGCATTGTTTTCTTAAAAATTATCAATTCACTTACCATCATCTTTCCAAACACTTTCAAAAGTATTTTGCTTTCAAGTAAACTTCTATATGCAACTTGTCAGGAGCCGCTGTACATTGATTTTGGGAGGTTGGATTTGGTTGCTAGACTCTAGAAAATTGACCAGATCAGATGGCAGTTTCGAATCAATGAGAGGCTGAGCACCAACCTTTTGTAACCAGGGAAAACATTCTCAAAATTCCAAGACAATACGCAGGCAATGCAAAGCATCTTTTAACCAATGTTCAATAGCCTTAGTTGAAACCTGAAGACCCCCGGTGGCGTTGTCAAGATCATAATAACTGTTTTTCCATAAAATTGATTGGTTTACTTTCTAACTCTTCTGATTTTAAAGTCATTTGCACAAGAATTAGGAAAAGACAAAATGTTTTAAGTTTGCTGTCAAATTGAAATTCATAACAGCTTCGTCTGGTTGGCTAGGCAACATAGCCTGATGTTTTATTTCGTAAGGATAATTGTGAGGTCCTTTCTACACAAAATTTGCTTTAAGATTTTTTGTTTACAGAGCAACAACAAAATAAGCAAAGAATATCAAATCATGTTGAAGATTCAGTCTGAAGAAAAATCTAGCATCTACTTGTGCGGTTGTGAAGAAGACTTTCTAGGTTTTATGTGGGTTTCAGGTTAAAGGCAAATTGAGCATTGATTAAGTCATTCCTTTTAAAATGTATTCGGTGTACGCTTTAGCTGGAGTGAATATAATGCTTTTAAAAATCATTCGCTGACCCAAAGACTGCTGATAACCCAAGTGACTGATATATCAGTCATTGGGACATAATGGGTTAATTTAAGTATATGGAACAAACGTCCAAGATGATTGAGCTAGAATATGAATTGACTGCAAATTTTAAGTAACAAATAAGAGAGAACATTCATATAGGCATACAGAATGTTACACAGAAGTGCCTCAAAATCTTTCATGCTAATTGTTTGTATTCTCAAGCATAGCCCATACCTGTTACTTTGCTAAGATAAAAGGTAGCTTTTTGGCCCTCAAGTCAGAAAGGAGACTCTTATCAAGAAAGCACTTTGGGGCAGAATTCTGGTTTATTCTGCTATCTTTTCATTTATTATTTTTCCTTTTTTGTACAGTAGATGCTTAATGAGCACTCTGTTGTATTGCAAGGCAAATTTTCGCGTAGCCAACAAGAAATTGATATAAATACATACATGACATGTTTTGAATATCTCTACAGACAGGCCTTATAAGTTTTCATTGAAACAGCTGATAAGAAGCTTCATTTCCTTCCTCATATGGAGCACAAGATTAATTTCAGCTGCTCATGATAATGGCAGAGACCTACAAAACAGTATGAAATCCAAATCCTAGCTTGGAAAAGCAAATTCTAGAGGAAAATTAATGGCTTACATTCCAAGGTTTTCCATTAAACTGAAACTACTGAAGATAAAAACATCTTGCCCTTGAATCGATGCGGTCAGATTTATGGAGAAAGGCAATGCAACACTATCAACAGCACTTGAAAATTCAGGGCTCCTTCAGATATTCAGGAAACTTTTTAAAGTTCATAAATGACATGCTTGCAACTGGAAACGATGTAAGATATTTGTTCAAAGTTAGGCTTTTTGTTGCAAATTGTATTTTTCTGATAGTATACTGTACGTTTATTCATAAGCAGTTGGCCTAAAGCCATACTGATTTTATAACTTGAAATCAAAGAATTTACAATGATTGTCAGATCTATGTGTTTTCAGAAAGCTTATTGGAAGATTTCATGCTGTTATTCATTCTGGACGAAAAGAAGTTCCCTGAATATTTTGTTCAAAGACGCAAATTTGAAACAAAAAACCATGTTGAACATATCTGGTTGCCAGGAAACCAAAGACTGGTGTAAGATTTTTGTAGCACCTATTCTGAAGGCCTTTATACGCAATTTAAACATTTTGACCAAAGAGCAACAAGATAGAAAAATTAGCAGACCTTTAAAAATGCTAGGAAGATTCAAAAGCTTAAATGTATCTCAGAACCAATGCTCAGAGCAGGATTTCATAATACCGTACCGTATAATGCCGTAACGGCCTTTCATTTACAAATCCATGGAAACCTTCGTTGCCTTTTTTAAAGGGAAAACAGCCTGGGTACAACCATTATAGCAAATACTGGCTTTACGTAAGATTTAGTAATGCATAGAAAGTAAAGAAAGGGAAAAGCTTTAAATCTTTGAATGGAGTAGAGAAGCAACAAGACTGTTAAAGCTACTGCGAATAGCTATGATTGCTGAAAGTATATATTGAAAAGTTTTATCAAGATCTTAATTCTTTGTTTTTTTCCTTTCTTCAGTTTGGAGTCATTGTTTGGGTCCTTACCTATACTAAACGGCTCGAAACCAATATTCATTCTTCAGAAAGAGAGTTTTTCGAGCCATTGCTTTATATTTAGTATAGGTAAAAACCATTGCTTTCGAGCCATTGCTTTATATCACTTCATTTCTAGTTGGCTGCTGAATGATGTCTTCGATTACTTCACAGTTTTTTGTCTTCTTCTGCTTCTCCATCTGGGTCTCGTCGCTCATTGCCAATGTTTCATATATAAGAAGTTATTTGTTATTGTCAATGTACTCATTCGCAGTAATTTCTGACGCAACCGAACTTTACTCTCGTGCACTGAGTCTATCAGTTGAAATGTATCATCAGCATGTTTTGCCGATTACAAAATGATTTTAATAACCAAGATAAAATAATAAATGAACACCGGGAAAAAATAAATTGAAGAAAAAATTTATCAAAAGTTCGTTGTATTGAGGGTAATTATGATGAAGGGACCTAAAATTTTGTTCGCAATAACGAGAGTCCGTTATATCCGGGGTTCGTTATACCGAGAGAATTTGTAATGAATTCGTAATGAATCCAAGGGACCAGATATTTAGCTCGTTATACCGGGAAGTTCGTTATATCATGGGTTCGTTATATCGGGACTCCACCGTATAAACGTCCAGAGATTCCGGAAACGCAAAACATAACCGGAAATGACGTAGAAAGTTTTCTCGGAGACCAATTATTAAAACGAATTTGCGAAATCTCGTGATTCATGATGGCGGACAACATTAATTTCTTTGGTGAAATGGTAGGGTGGAACGATAATGGAACATTGCTTTATGAAGCGAGAATAAACCCTCCTACATTGAAACCATCGGTTCCGATTCAGCAAGTACACCTTGGACTTTCAGCATTTTTTACAGCTGTTTATGGGCTGTTATTTCTGTTAATATGTTGGCAGCTATGGCTCATTTTGCATTACGGACATCGACGGTTGTCTTACCAAAGCATCTTCCTTTTTGCTTGCCTTCTTTGGGCTGCCCTCCGAACGACTTTGTTCTCGTTTTATTTCAAGAACTGCGCTGAAACAAATTCAATGGCACCGTTCTTTAACTGGCTATTGTTTGCCTTTCCAGTTTTCCTACAGTATTTTATGCTGAACATCCTTGTATTGTATTTTGTCCAGGTAAGAGAAGGAGCAAAGCTCGTTGATGTTACTCTCAAGAACCTGTCCTAAGTACTTTAAATTAGCTTTCAAGTTTCGTGGAACACCATCCATTCGAACATGACTGCTGTTAATTGTTGTTTAGGCCTAAAAGCTGCTGGCAACGGCCTCCCTATCAACACACAACTTCCTGCGCCTACAAAAATACTACGTAATTCCACTTTCATTTCAACCTGGCCACCCTCTTAAAAAGTCATTTCGTTGTTTATTCTAAATTGCGAATCTAGAGCTAAGTTGCTTTTTATATAAATAGCAACTAGCTGCAAGTCTAGGCAGGTGCTCTTGTTCATAACCACATAATTTCAATGTAGTACTTTACAGCAAATATAGTATAGTAGATCACTTTTCTTTGCTCAGTTTAAAGAAGAAAAATGTTCTCTTCTTGGTTTTTGAAGGGTAGAATAATGTGTGGTAATTATTTCTAATTGACCCTTTTCTCTTAAATTCTTGTATTTTTTATATTAGTGATTCATCCCTTTAATGTTTTTAACAAGTTTGCTGCTATCAGTTTTCACACATTAAATATACCCTTTGTACTTAGTGAATTATTAGAAGTAGAGCTCAGTTATAATGGTTTCAAAATCAACAAACTTATTGATGACTTGGTATCAGATTAAGCTTCACTCTTAGTTAGTATGACTGGCAGCAAACAGATAACTTCCTTGTTGCTATGAGCATCTTGTCAAATCTTTAGGACTTTATCTGGCACACCATATTTTTTCAAGAGTTTAGTGAAAATGTACACAATTGTCACACCAGTGTTTCCATTATGTGGCACATGATATTTTCTAGCATTATAATACAGGACATGTATGCAATAACCACAAGTTGCTTTCATCTCAGGAGGACAAAGGCTTAAAGCACTAACAAAATGTATTATTTTCTTCTTTGTGCATACTTGAAGTAATAAGGTATTTGTTAAAGGCATTGAGTCATGATAAATAGACTGAGTATACCCTAAGTGCCAAAATCCGCTGAGTCATGATTTCCATGACTGCGATGCTATTGGTTGACCTTGAACTGGTCACATGAACTCACCTCGTACTGATTGACAAAACCATTTCGATCAATAGCAAGTTTTCAACAACGGATGCCAATATCACATGAAACAGCAGCGATCACACCGAAACCAAATTACCTCCTATAGAGAAAGCCTATTTACCATGACTCGATGCCTTTAAGCTAAAAGCTAAGCAATATCATTGCTTTGATAGACATGACTGGTAATTATAAAATGGTAACATAGGCAAGTTAATGAAAATTTAAATGTAAGGCATATAATATCCTTGTTTGCATTTTTCAGGTGTCTTTGGAAAGGAAGTACTCCAGTCCATTAAAGTACAGGTGAATGTTGGTTTATAATACTGTTTTGCTTTTCATAGTATTCTTTCTGACGAATTGCTAAACCTTTTGCTAAAATGTGTTGCAAGTGTTCTATATCAAATCCTGTGTTCTAACCCTGTAAATCCATGTTTTTATTTTTTCATTGCAGGAAGATTCTGTTCATGGTATTCTTCATAGTGAATGTTGTATTTTTGATTACCAACATTACTTCGGCATTTCTGTTCTGCAAGGAGCCTAATGCTTCATATCAGCAAACAATAACAATTATCCGTGTGGGGATTGATTACACCCTTTTCTTTGTCTCAGCAACAATTTTGTGTTGGTGCATTATCAGGGTGAGTAAGTTTTTGCAAAGTGCTTTAACAATTGTATCAAATACTCTTTGAATTTTTCTTAGTATTAGAGACTGATGAAACTGCAATCAGTGTCTATAAGGCCTCAACTTGCAGGATAAACTAGTAATTTATTAATGAAATAATTACTTGTCCCAACTTTCTTTTACAAATAAAAGTGACATATGGACCCAGGAACTTGTATACAAGTTAAACGGGATTATCTTTGTCAAACAGCTTTGGCATTTCCTTTTTCATTAGTTTGCCCTGCTCCAAGACATAACAACAGAACCTTTGGGGGATTATGCGAAAATAGCAAATCTAGCAAGAACAAATTTGCTGGGCACACCAGTGGGCTTACACGGCAGATTAACACCTTATGTTAGAAGACAATTATACTATTAGTAACAGTCAATTAAAATTTAGACCCAAGTATACAAGTCTGTTAAATTTTGCTATGTGTACTGTCACATTTGTCAAAAGTTTTCAGGCAATAGTTGGTGGGACTGTAATGTATAATATGGTAATTTTGTTCATTTATTATGGACCATGACTTAACTAAAATTTTTGTTTTAGCTTACCAAAACAAGGACAACAAAAATATTAATTGAGGGGCAGGTATGTTATGAAGTAGTTTTGATCAACAAATTGATGTTTATCAAATCACCTTTTCCAAGTACAAAATCAACTGGAATAATATATATCTTTCAATTTATCAGTATTTTATTATTGAAGCATCTCATTGAAATATTGGCTTACCTATCATGCATTTCTTTCAGGGTGTTTCTTACTGCCAGGCAGTAACAGTTTGTGCTGTGATTTCATTGTTGTATTTGTCAAGAGCAGTTTACAATGTTATAGCAGTTTCTCCCACCAGTATGCCTACATTTAATTTTGGATGGATAAATGTTTCTGATCAGGTGAGAGAACATCATCATAACTACACTTTTTATGAAATGGGTAAAACTTTTCAAGTATATCCTTGAAGCCAAGGTATTCAGGATGCTGCATTTTCTACTAATTACTTTCGGATTGTTTTTCTATCAGGAAACCTATTTTGAAATGATTGTTTTTCAAATTGTGACAAGCTGCTATCATTCCTTTTCACTGCATCATACAATATCCTCAATACCTGTTAATTTTTTTTTAAAAATTAGGTCACTTTCAGTGGTTTTAGTTGATAATTACAGAATACAAAATTCAAGAGACCTAAACTATAATTAGAATATACTTTGCAATTAATCTTTCTTAATTTTTTACTTTTTAGGGGGAGGTTGGAAGAAAAGGGAGTATTATTCATACAACAAAGAATTATGCATTTATTTCATTTGGAATTGTTCTGTTTATTTGGGAATTGCTTCCAACATTTACCACTATTTGGTTATTTAGAGTGAGAGGGCCGCAGATGAGACTGGTAAGTAAGAATTTGTTGTCCTGAAAATAAGCAAGATTTTTAACAATACATTTATTGAGAGTAGAGATGGTATGTTTTAGCTATGGTATGACGCCATTGCCTTAGCCATAGCAAACCACTGTAAAAAGAATCTAAAGCAAGCAATTTGGTGGAATTCTTGAATTACAAATAATTTTGTTAACTAACAGAGAAAAATATTTTGATAATTAGAAAGGGCTGCATCCTCTTCAAAAATGGTTCTAGTGATGAAGGGTCTAGGGGACATTTTGGCATGAAAATTATTCACAGCTGACAATTAATTGTGCTTATAAATCTCATAAGAACTTGGCAGAACTTTCAAAAAGGCATGTGTATTGGTCTTAGTTCTGAGAATGGGATCATTTTACAGGCTTAAATGTGTAGAATTATATTTGAGCTGTTTAAAAAATTCCTTTTCAAATGCGGATTGTATTGAAATGTTATTTTATTTCATTAATAAAAAGTTATTTAGTAAGATCTGACATCATTATATGAAACTTCCCTGGTCTTTCCAGGCTTCATCTGGTATCACTTCAGACAGCTTTAACAGCAAATCATATTTCTTTGATAATCCTCGAAGATATGACTCAGATGATGATCTTTCACAAGGGATTACACCTCCATATGCTGGGTAAGAATGGCTTTGCTCATATCAAGTTTTTGCCCTATGTTATTAGTCTTCTAGAGGTTTTTTCTACCATAATGAATTATAGAGAGGTTTTTCTTTTTTCTCTCTACTCAAATGTTTTGCAGATGTAGTCTGCTATTTCTTTGGGAATGGATTACATTTCTTTTCCTAGTAAGGAAATGTAGCCCCATTCTTTTATTTGTAAGATTTACTCTGAAACTTTTTAGTTGAACTTAGTTGTTGTCTTGCTATAGATTCCTTCTTACAAAAGCTCAAGAAAACATTGATGCTGACCTCTTGTTGTTTCTTTTAATAAAGCAATCCATTTTTGGGCTATAAAGCCTGGCAGAGGTCAAGGTTTATGACTGTATACTTGGGAACTAGACATGAATTTTAAATTTTTATCTTTTACCAGGTCTTTCTTAAGGGATGAATCAAGCATAAATCTTCTTTAGTCGAAGGAGATACTATCATACAGTGACCTATTTCAATGTCAGCTCAAAAGAGGGAAAACCTATTTTAAGTAATCCTGTGGTGGCTAAGAGTCTCTTGTAAAATTCATACAGTGTTTAAAACCAGCGGGTACCAAAGAGTTGAAGTTTCTTGGCAAATCAACCAGAACCTTCTTTATGAACAACTTTTTTAAACATTCACTTGTTGTTGGTGACCATGTCTGTAAACTCTTTTTTGAGATGGAGTTTTTATGCTCTGCAATAGATTTACTGAATTTTAGTTATCCAGATATCAAACTTTTTTATTGATAATTTGGGTAACAGGGTAAACGAAACAGGGTAAACGAAGATATTTTCTTCTAGGTTGCTTGACATTCCCGGCATTGGGCATCGAACATACAGCGTCAATGACCAATTCAGCTATAAGAAAATTTCGTCTTACGGGTCGATACCAACACGCGGTAGTAGTTTCAACCCTCAAAGTAGGAGCTACCCAAGCCCCCACGTAAGGGGTACTACACCACCTATGCTGTTTTCTTCTGCTGGAAGTAATCCTTACAAGCCTGTGACTCAGTCAGAAGAAATGGACTAGCTGTGTAGCTGCAAAATTCTCTATCATACGCACAGGCGTCAGATATTATGTAGAACTGCATGCATTTACCGAGGGAATAAGCCCACCTCTTTGCACACTCCTGGCATCAATGGATATCATCGAGTTCTTACTTCGCATACTAGCTTTGAGCAATCAATTTACGTGAAAAGGTTTGATTGCGGTATCAACTCATTCATTAATACTATAATGTCCGCATCGAAGGCGTTCTAAAACGCAGCTGCACGTAAGCAGTAGCACGTAAACAATTCATTGATCGTACCGTTTTCCGCCCTTTTATATTTGTTAATGTATTTTTTATTCTTCTCCTGTTGGAGAGCTGATTTTTAACAAAATAGTAATGAACCCGTTCTGAATTGATTTAGTGGAGTGGATAACTTGCTCCCTTTCAATGTAATCTCTCAAGCTATACTCTTGAGCTGGATTAGCGCCGTCTTAACACCAGAAAGGCTACCCACGTGGATCCTTTTATTCACTTTGTACCTCCCTTATCTACTCTGATCTGCCTATAAAGCAATTTTCTAACCAATAACAACAGCGTTTTGTAAGTTCCATGAGATTGTTAAATCATTTTTTCGATTGCAGCTTGAATACGGAAATCCAACCTATAAACTTCAAGATATTTAGGAATTGAATACCGGAATGCACTATAATTTTCTTAACTTCGTATCCTTCAGAACTGTGTATTGTTTATAAACGCTTTATACAGTTTGGAAAACCCGCATATTGGGACCCTCATTTTTAAATTTACTTCTTTAGTGTTCTTATTTAGAGTTTTATTTCTTATAAAATAGGCGCTTCTTTTCTTTTCCCTATAGGTTTCTATTTGATCATCATTTGTGGCTCCCCACCACAATTAACTCTACAAAATCCCTAGTTTTCTTTGGAAGAAAATATGATTCTAATTTGCATTCTTGATAAATAGATGTGATCAAAGTTTTGTCTTATTTTAGCAGGACGAATCTTGAGCAGAATAGTTTTTATCAATTCTAGCAATTTCTGTCCTTTGCGTAAGAATATTTTGTGACAAATCGGGTAAACAATATTCATATTTCAGTTGGTTTTAACACAACTGTTTATTCTACAGGCATTTACAAATGTAGGGTCTTATATGCGGGTTTTTACTGTATGACATTTTATTTTCATCAGTAATTTGTTTTTAACGGGTAAAAATAATGCTTAATTAAGTCGATATTCATGTACACTCTTTTTGTTGCAAAAATTAAGGACTAATGTGTGGGAATATTCATTTACGTTGTAGCCAAAAGACGCCAATATTCAGAGTCAAATGTTACAAATCATCTTGCTACACGCACAAAAACGCTTATATTTGCATACCGTATCAACGTTTTATTTTAAGTGAATTGCCTCTATCATTTAATAGATATTAAGGAAGAACGTCCACAATTGACAACGGCTAGTTGGGGAAACGATCAAATATAGGTAACACCAGACTTCAATCTATTTAGATTTTATCCAAATTGCCAATGATAGAGAGGCATTTGGATCAGTTGTGATTTCGAACTGTCCTTTACACCCATATTATGTCAGTGTAGCAAGTTAATTTTCCAACAGAATAAGATCGATAATATTGAACGATAATATTTTCTAGTGCTCAATTTTTATAGTGAAACCTGGCAGCATATTTATTGTATTGGATTTATCACTTAGCTGTATAGCATAGATAGTTATTTTCTTATTACCTACAAGTAAAATCTTTATTTCAATGTTTACAGATAAGCAAAACATACCAAGTAAAATGTAGGGGTGCCGTGCCTCTCCGCATTTCCCTATTCAACATCCACTGACTTTGTCGTCCATCCAGTAGTAATTGCCCTTTCAGCTTTATAATATGATTTTTTCAACACCACCAATTCGCCAATTTAAGGGTTTTTAATTTTTATAGCTAGCTGCACGTTAAACACTCCAGATTCTTAATGTTGACGCAAATAAAAAATTACTTTATTTATATTTACTGCTTATAAAATTCCGTTATTTGCAAAATGACGTAATAAACTCCAACTTGTCTGTTAAGAGTGCTGAGTTAATATTTGCCGTAATTTTTTTAATTCGAATGACGTTGCCTACGAATCATGTCAATTAGATATATGCACAATATTTCTTTCTATTTCTTCTTGTTAATAAAGCTACCTTTGATTATTATACAGGGTAGGAAATATTTCATAGAAATTCAAAAAAGTGGAATGGGGATTAATTTGTTATTTCATAATTGAAGATATTTTGGAGGAATAAACATCTCCGAAATCGAAGTAAAGACTTTTTCGTCAAAAATTGAAAAATTCTGAACAAGTCTCTATCAGAATTTGTAAAGAAGTTTGATGGTTGCTATTTTCGCTTGTCTTGATTCTTTTTTCAGGGCCGCTGGAGCCAGTGTAAAAAGTGTAAACAAGTGCCCCTTTTTTAAGAATATATTGCAAGCTCTCATGATGAACAATATCAACTGGGAAGGAGAAAGTATGTCTTCAGCAACAAACGCATCAAGTCCCCGGTGCGCTCAGTCAGTTGGTTCAATGTATATCGTGTGTGTTCCTGAGTGTGTTCCTGAAATTAGAAACTGGACCCTGATCTCTGATTTTGGATTGCGTAAAGTGTACCCTATTCTGTGACTTTGCTATAATTGTGTTACTCTTTTCACTGAGAATATTCAAACTTAGGCAGGTATTTTTGCTTCCAATTGATGCTAGAACCATTCTATTTCTTAAACTTATGTCTAGGCATATCAAAAAGCAGAGTTCACTAAATTTGTTTTTAACAACAATCCCTTATGGTGTAAAACTATAACTGCAACATATTGCTTACTTTTTACGAAGAAATGAGAAAGTTGTGTCCCTGCAATGAGTAAATGCGAGCAAAGACTTAAACAAAGACTTAAGTTTCTAACCTAGAATAAGAACAATTTACAAGTCTAGATGCTACTTCAAAATTTGTTGTACTTCAATGTGCCATTGATTTACCTAAAAAATTATCTGCAACATGATATCGGTAAATTCCTTCCCCTTTTGTGTTCCCTCTGACTGATTAAAAAGCAACCCAAGATCTATATCCTAGAATTCTAGCTTTCAGACCACCTTTTCTCAGAGTTTTTCGGAACTCACATGTAATACGTTTGACCAACTGACTGAGCCCGCCGGAATCAAGTCTAAGGAGAGTTCAAAACTTATTTCATTCATAAGACTGATGAGATAAACCTAATCAATGTTGCAAATTAAGTTTTCTATGGCAGTGAAGAATGTGCCGCACCTTTAGCCGATTGCGTAAAGATGACTTAAACATAAAATTTTGTAGCTTTTAAAAAATATTCAATGGAGGCGAACAAATTTATGTGTTTATGTGGTGATGGGAAGGCCCAAATACCAAGGGGGGGGGGGTGTTAAATTTTTAAATATAAAAGTAAGAAAATTAAAATCATTATTCTAATGGGCTCTGGATAATCATAGAGACTTAAACTTTGCTTTGAAAGGGAGGGGGACTGAAATTGGCTTTGAAGTATGACTAAAAATTCCATTCAGTTCATATTTTGCGTCAGATTCCCTGGTATGTTACAATACATCTGAACATTTGTTGAGTATAATGACAGGGCCCACGCCACCGGGGGGCTGGGGTGGTCATGACCCCCTTTTTTAGCGAAGCTAGTAGTTTCAAAGCCTTGGCCTTTCAACTTCATGGCGTGGGCCCAGTTAATGCGCTTGCCACAAGTATGGAAGAAGGATGTGTTCCTGCTTCTTACCCGGGGTCAAATCCACTTACAATGCAAATTATAAGAGAACTAAATTTACACTCTCAAAAAACTTTGAAGGCCAGTATATAGCCATGTCTGCTTTAAGCGAAGATAGTTCTCACTATTTGCAATGTGTGTCATCACTTTTATAAATGTCTAAATTACCATGAAAATGTACCACATTTGACACTTACTAATGTTTCGAAAAAAAGTTATTCGAGCCCTTCTTATTCGTTTTGCCCCCCTCCCCCCTATTCAAACCTGCATCCGCCGGCCCTGTATTTATACCTCATTGATTTTCATCGTTTTATTAGGGGTTGTGGGGGAATCATCCCCTGCTGCGATGAAAACAGAATGGATGGGGTGGAATGGTTATAGTGAATACTAAAAGAATGTACAAAAACAAATTTTTTTGTGTTGACTTTATTTTGATTTCATTGGGTGAAAGTGCAAAAGCCTGGCTCGGTCTGGTCTGCCTCGCTCCTATCATAGCCTCGGCTTTTCGAAAAAAGTTCGATGGTGAAAATAGACGCAGGACACAGGACTAGGTACTCGTCGATCTTGGAGTTGGATTCTAAGGACATATTGGCTAAAACGTCTTTACTTGTTACGCTATAAAGGATTTCAAAGAATATAGGTACATATAAAGCAAACATGATTGTTTAATGCCGTTTACTTCCCAACAATTGTGATGTTATGATAGCTTTTTAAAGTCCAGGTCGGCATCGAACCTGTTCTTTCGTTCGCGTTTCTCCTGACCTTTGTTCAGAACAAGTCAAAAAGTTCAAAATGAGAAAGTATAAACTTATAAAAGCCTTTTTAATAGGCTTTGGCAATCGATTTTTTGTCGTTTTAGGTGTGAAATGACGCGGCGCCATAGCGAAAGTCTTGGCGACACTGATAGTGGAAGGGGTGAGTTTTCGTCGACATTATCAATCACATGAATGAATTATCCTGATTTGAGTAACTAATTATTTTGAATCTAATGGAACTTTTAAAAGTTTATGTACCAATAAAAAGGGAACTATCGACTAATAATTTGGGACATAATTTGAAACGATTAATTTTTATATTTGATATTTTTGACATTTAATGTGACAAATAGCTTGCCTAAAAGGTATGAAACCCCATTACCAAAATATCATTGTCACATACTAGAAGTACACTGTCACCCAGTCTGCAGAGTATGGCACTTTTCGACGAGATCTCCGGTGTGCACGAGCAAAAAGCCTGGTGTGACGGTGTGCACCACCAAAAATGTCTGGTGTGCTGGTGTGCACCGACTATTTTTCCCTGTTGTGGTTAAAATTTGTGAATTTGCATTTCACCGTAAAAATGCGTGTGAAGTATACTGTTGAAGATAGCGCAAGTTTTTATTTGTATATTTGTCAAGTAGGATTCATGATATCTCAAATTGTTCATACACAACTGTGCTTGTTTTTATCAGCTGGCATTTTCTATGGGACCACACCAAGCCACACCCATCTTAGTTGCCACACCCAAAAATACCGATGTGCAACAGGTTTTGCACAAAAATATCTCCGGTGTGCACATGCCATACTCTGCAGACTGGACTGTCACTTATTTGGTCTCAGAGAATATTTAAAATGGCAGTAAGCACAGCAGGTCCAGTTCAACTGCCTTTCTTCCATGCCCATATGAAATGTTTTTCAAATGTATCTTTGGGGTATATCTGCACTTTCCCCAGCATACCTAATTGTTTATTTGGCACGAAGATTGAAAGAGTTTTTTGTGCTTTGTTAAAGAAGCACATTTAAGTTTTCTATGTATATAGATATACAAAGTAAATGCCAACAAATGATTAAGTGGCCAAACTGTGTTTTGTTTATTACCTGTGACTTTAGGGTCTATTTTTTACTTTAGAATCAGTGGTTAGTTCATCAAATGTAGATGTTGAAGTTCCTGATGCAAGACCAGTTTGCATATTGAAGACAAAAGATGATCATTCATTTGAACTTGATGAGGAAGCATTGGCTGATATCCTCTTGCAACCAGAAATAAGAAGTAAAAAAGTTGTGGTTGTTTGTGTTGCTGGTGCTTTCAGAAAAGGGAAATCATTTTTGCTGAACTTTTTGATTAGATATCTGGACAGGAAGGTATGCTTGGAAAACATATGATTTTTTAAAACTTACTAGGAAACATTGACTGTTAATTTGATAATGCCAAACAAAATGATTTTGAATATGCATAATGAAAATGTTTATTTTAAGTAAGACATTTAAACCAAATTTTATGTTTATTGACTGTTTACGTATCCATTATGCTTCAATTTTTATGTCATTTTAAAAGATTGGCTTGCAAACAGCTGTTTAAAAACAACATAATACATCATAATTGTATTTTTGACTCAATTTCTTCATTTAAAGGAAAGTACCTCAAATTTTATCAAAGTTATATATCTGTAAACTTCATTGGTCAAGAGCAAGACATAGATTTTCTGATAGGGTAGGGAAGTAGGGCATATATTATCTGAAAGCATATCTTTGAAAATGATGGGGGTGCACACCAGACGTTTGTCTTAAATGCTAGCACAGCTGGTGTTCTCTTTACCAACTGGTGTGATCTTTTTCTATCCAGGATAAAAGTAATTGGTTAGGTGATGAAAGTGAGGCTCTCACTGGGTTTGGATGGAGAGGTGGAGCAGAAAGAGAAACAACCGGGGTGTTAATGTGGAATAAACCTCACACTTGTGTGTTGCCTAATGGTGAAGAGGTTTGTTTCATTATATTTTACTGATATTTGAGGTTTGTTGTGTATGGCATTATTGAGTAACTGCCACAGGTATGATCATAGCTCCTAATTTATTTCAGCAGTGATTGTTAAGGCAGTCTTGAATTGCTAAAAGCAATTATTGCATTAAAAAATTTTCATATGCCACACAACTGGCTTACTTTTTTCCATCACAAGGTCAATCCACAATCATTACACCTTTCTTTTATTTATATGATACTGATTTACATGGAACTGAAATATGCTGTAAATTTACAGGTTGCTATCTTGATAATGGACACACAAGGGGCATTTGATAGTTCCTCGACTGTCAAAGAGTGTGCAACAGTGTTTGCACTAAGTACAATGGCAAGTTCTGTGCAGGTAATTTTCATTCTAATTGTAATCAGTTTAATGTTTGGTAAATCAAGTGCAATTAAATCATCAACCTAAGCTGTCACCATAAGTTGCTTGTAGCCAATTTGAAAAACCTATTTTTAGTTTTAAGGGTAGTATCTAATTATATTTTGGTAATTAAAATTTATAGCACTTTAATTGAAAGACACAACATGTTTTCTAGTGCTAGAAATTATTATTGCTTCATGATGAATCTGATGGGCTGCAGCTCATATTGAGAAGAGAGGCTGCTAGAGCATGACATGAACAATGCAGCAAAGTTTTTGAAAGGAGATTTCAATATATCATCAAGTCTTTGGATAATTTTAATTGCCAAGTCTTTTGAGATACCACAGTTAAGTTTGAATAATCATCATAGCAAAAATAAAGGTAATGGCAGTGCAACAGTATCTGGAGAAGGCATGGAGGGTCATTGCGTTAATGACAAGAGTTATGCAGAACTCTGTTAGATGTTAATTATGTGACAAAGCGGGTTCTTGCAAGAAGTGGTGAGATTAAAGATGGCTATCAATTGCAATTAGAGTGACTTTGAAGTGCCAGCAATGCAGGCTTTTTGTTTGGTATCGAGTAGCTTAAGATTAACAGACAAATCACAGATGTTGAGCAGGTAGATCATTCATGTTATCTTAGTTATCCTACCAACATTATTGGTGGCAATGGATTTTAGTCTCAAGTTGATGCAGTTTGGATCAAATAAAAGCAAGCCAAATTTTCTTCAGAAAAAGATATATGGGATGAAAGCGAAAGAAACATATAAAGACACATTTGTTCTGAAACGTGTCTGTATGTCTTGCAGAAATGCAGCTAAAGTTTGTAGTTCAGAAATGTGAAACATAAGAGAAAAAGAGGAAGTGTATTGTAAAAATGGCTGTTGGAAAGAGTTTGATAAAGCTGGTGGACTTTTTTGGCCCCGTGGAAAGTGCTATCAGAGTTTATTAAAATTGTTAGAGATGGTTTAGATGTATTTTGATAAATAAAGAAACATTAAGGATAGGTAAGGTTAATATTGGATTTGGAACTGATAGCATACAAATAAATGGAAACTCAAAGAAAACATAAAAAGACATGGCTAAGAAAGAAAAGAGAGAGGTTGATTTATAGGAGACATATGCAACAAGCATGAAGGGGTATATGCTAAGTAAAGAGAAAGCCTCAAAAGTCAGAGAGACCTTTATGACTAATGGTTTGTGGATGTTATCTTCATTGAGTTGTTTAGTTTTTCAAGTTGCAAATAAACTACAAGCTTAAGTTGTTTTCTAATTTTTCTTTAGATTTACAATTTATCAAGTAACATTCAAGAGGATCATTTGCAACATCTACAGGTATATTTCAAAACGTTACAGTATAATGGATATAATGAGAGCTAAATTCCGAATATCTGTCAGCTGTCAAAGCTGTGAAATTTTTTAAAATGCTGAAGGAAATATGTGATAAGTTTGCTATCAATTAAATTTACTTCCAGTCATAACAATGTGGCTGGCATTGTTTTTTCGTATTTCAGAAGTAATGCAGAAATCGTTTGTCAAACGGTAATTAGATTTTTCATGTATGTATTTTCATGTATTTTATGTATTTTCATTGATGTGCTTTGCAGCTGTTCACGGAGTATGGGCGGCTTGCCTTAGAAGAAAGTGATAGTAAGCCATTCCAGGTGTGTAGTTTGATTAAACAATTCTTGTTCAATAAATATCGTGGTTTCTTTGCTTTTTGTTTTATAGTTTCATTTTAACTTACATTATTAAATCATTATTGATACACTCAGAGCTCATTTTCTAGCGCTTGGAATTTTTGATAAGAGATTGGAGTTATCCATATGAATATTCTTATGGTGATGGGAGTAATTTCCTGGATCGAAGGCTTAAGGTGCGTATTTTTTGATGATAATAAAAAGTTGTTTTCTGCGTGCTCTCTATTCCAGGAGTAAAATGAGTAAAAATCAAGCATTCTTGAAGATAAGTGGATTTTTAGTAAAAGCTTTGTTGGCTCTTTTACTAACGACTTGTGTAGATTATAAATATATATATAATTTCTCACCTCAATGTTTGCAGATGCAAAAAGTTAGGACAGCCTGTTTATCTTGTCCAAAACACGAATTATCATTTAAACTATATACAGAACTTTAATAAAACAGCTCAATAAATGAGATTAACTAGAACAAAGCGAATAGAAAAGCTAGGCTACAAAGCGAATGTAAATACAGTAGAAATAGTAGCTGCTGTGCGTAAGTGCAAATATATGGCTGAATATATGAATGATTAAGTGCGATTAAAATGTCATCATATAAGTTCACTATATATAGATTCATAATTTCACTCTACTTTTTTACTTTAAATTTGTGACGTTCCTAGTTTTTACGTGGTGTTTGTTTTGGTTTCTTCAAAAACTTGTGTAAATCATTATTTCAAGACGTAATTGTCGATGTGAAGATTTTTTCAAAAGAGTTTAGGGCTTCTCATTATCAGGGTAATTATTTAGAGATCTGGTATGGTATTAATCTCTGATTTTAGGTAGAGCCAGCACAACACGAAGAGCTGAAGCAAGTAAGATCACATATTAAGTCTTGCTTTCAAAAAATTGGTTGCTACCTTTTGCCACACCCAGGGAAAGTTGTTGCTACAAATCCAAGCTTTGATGGCAGGCTTTCAGGTCGGTGTTCTGATTGACAATTTTTGACATATGTTTTTTTATTGCTTATTTTTCCAAGAATTTGTTGTTCTTATTAGCTATAGGTCTAAGCTGATCGTTCATGACAGTTTTCTATTTCTTTGTATGGCGAGCGTACGACTTTGGAGAGGCATATTTGACGTGAATATCAGAAGAAAGAATACCTTTTCTATCTGAACAGCCTTTTTCTATTAGCCAGTTCTTTGTAGGGTTGCATTTTTTTCGCCATTTACTGACGTTACGCGGCTTCAAAAGAAGTACTGAAAAATAGAGAAACGGAGAACCGTCATAAACGTGGGTTTTGTCAGTAAAAATGAATACTGCAGCTCACTGCGATGAATGGTTATAAAAATACCCGTACGAAAACTTTAACGGACCTTAAAAATTGTCCGAAATAACTGCTAAGGTGGGGCTTTTACTTGAAAAGGTTTTTAAGAAGTTCTTAATTTCATTTAAGTCTTGGAAACAGGACATACAGTGATAACAACAATTTTAACAGATGAAATGTTTATCCTGTGTAGCTTTTCGTTTTATTGTTATTTTTATTTTATGTGAAATGAGAAAATCGAAGATTTTAGTTTCCTTGACAAAGATAACCTTCAACTGCACCTTTTATAAAAGCTGCCTTTTTATTCAAAGCTGCCTTTATTTGTTTTCTCTCTTTGCAGACATTGATGATGAGTTCAAGGAATGTCTCCAGGAGTTTATTCCGAGAGTTCTGGCACCAGAAAATCTTCTTATCAAAAATATAAATGGCAGCGATGTGACTTGCATGGGACTCCTAGAATACTTTAAATCTTACGTCAAAATCTATGAAGGAGGGCAGTTGCCAGAGCCAAAGTCAATGCTTCAGGTACCTAGCAATTCATTTGTTCCCAAAACTCCTAAACAATATCTGTAGCATCGTCGTCAATTTATTTGGAAGTTTATTCTCTTGAATCCTGTTAAATCCTACCCTGGAAAACTAAATCTTTCACAAAGTCGTACTGAGCTTACAACCCTTTTGATTTTCCTACCTTTTTCCAATGAAGTCGTACCCCGATTAATGGGACATTTGCTGGTGGTTGCACTTCAGTGGGGAAGGTCGCTGGAAACGAATGGATGGACCCAGGCCTTATTTTAAGGCTCAATGAGAACCAATTTGTGCAGTGATAAATCCAAAATGTGCCATGATAAATGGAAAATTGTGCAGTGATAAATTAGTTGAAACAGCAACATAAAAAATTCATACGACAAAAAGTAACAAAAAATAAACAAACAGAACATAACGGTAATGGTATGAAAATTGAAGCAAACAAAAAAACAGATTCTGGTGTATAATAGTTCACAGTTACTATGTTTTAAAAATGTTTTCTCAAATCCTTTTCTGCGTCTTTTCTCTCCCTTTCTTCGATCATTTCACTGCTACAAAATACTTAATATGGACTTGATTGAGGCAGTATTCCCTTCATGCGGAGGGGAAAAAAAGAGTCGTGGTGGTATTTAAAACATTTAATCAAATTTAGCGGCACGTGAGAGCACTTTGCTGAGTGTCATTTTCTGCTAGTGGGTTGGTTACTCAGGGATATTCTGCTAGTAGGTTGGCTATATGTGTATTTCTTGTGCTTTTATATCATCGTACAGAAAGAGAATTTTCAGGATCTTAAACCATTTTAGGGCCTCAGAGATGGCAAATTCTCAAGGGCTGAATCACTTTTCTCCTGTAAATATAATTTATTTCAGGCTCTATCTATGTATAGGGATACCGGGGTATCTGTACATTAAACTTAATAGCTTTTTTAAAGTGGAAAACGCTGTCTTTTTTGACTTTATGACCTGTTAAAGCGAATTTTCCACGCTTCGCGCTATCAACAGTCAAAGTTTCACTGATAGGAACATCAGTTTTTCGAATCAATATCAGTAGAGTGCTTCATCGATAGCAATGCTCTGTTAAGCGATTGTAAGCAGTTTCATATTACCGCGGTTCTTTAAAAAAATTTCCATTTTCATAGGCAACGGCTGAGGCAAACAATCTGGCCGCTCTTGCTACGGCCAAGGATCAGTACAGCAGAGATATGGAAAAGGTATTCTCTTTTTTTTTGCTTTTGAAAAATAGTTTTGACAACCTTAGTATTACAATAGAAGGTTACACGCTTTCTTAATTTCAATTTTATTGAAATATGAAAACTGGTTTTCTTTAAAAGTTTGCAGCAGAGCGCAAGGCCCTGGAATAAGTCACAATTGCGCAAAAAACTATTCACTCGGCGTTCCAACCCCAATCCTACGAAATCCATTGGGCTAGCATCTCGCCTACCAGTCTTTCAAGTGAGTGTGAAAATTTTGGGTTGGTTGTGAGAGGATGGGTTGGTAGAAGTCCCTACTGAAGTGGCAGTAACTCTAGCGTATTCGAGGTGCAAAAATTGTTTTACTCTCCTTCTATTTACTGTATTCATTAAAGCTGTTAAGCTGAGTATTAAAGCTGAGTGTCATATCACTCAGTCAATGCCTTATTTCTATTCAGATTTGTGGTGGCGATACGCCTTACCTATCACCCACCGAACTTGAGGCCAAACATGGGAATAACGAGGCAAAGGCACTCACCTTGTTCCGCGCAACAAGAAAAATGGGCGGAGAAATATTCAGTCATGAATTTGAGGAGAAGCTCCGAGCTGATATGATGGAAATGTACCAAAACTTCGTCAAGCTAAATGATAGTAAAAACATTTTCAACTCAGCCCGCACACCAGCAGTGTACCTCGCCTTGATGACCACTGCCTACTTCCTGTCTGGTTTCTTCACTATGCTAGGTGTCTATTCATTTGCAAACATGTTCAATATTTGTCTGGGTCTCTGCCTGATATGCATCATTTTGTGGGCTTACATAAGGTTCAGTGGTGAACTGGTAGAGATCGGGCAACAGCTTGACTCGGCGGCTGAATGGATTTGGGACGAGGTATGATTATTTTATATTCTTTAAATTTAATTTATTTTGAAAATTTTATCTCGTGACATTGGATTCTCGTCGTCGTATTTCTTTGTTCCTGTATATCTTTCATAACAATACTCATTGCAAGATTCACAGAATCCGGCGGACAGCCTATCCTGCGGTTCTTCCTTCTCATACATTATGATTATTTTGCTTATGAATTCAATCACCCTTCAAGATTTGCAAACGAAATATTTGTGCGAGACTTGAATCCAATCTATCACAGTCAATACCCACTTTCTTCTTCTTAATGCGAAACCACCCAGGCCATCTCTGTCGCTGAGACCAAATTTTTAAGGTTGATATTGCCTTTTCAATTGCCGGTGCATTGTATGGAAAATTAGATGAAGATATTTAGGCCAATTTCACGGAATGTTTTAAAAGATATCTAAGTTTATTGCATTATTTGTGAAGCACGGTAGTACTAAAATTGTTGATAAATCGATACTTTTTCAGGTATTCATGCGATTATATGCACTTGCAGTGGAGCAAGGGACAAAAGCCATTGTCAACAGACAAATATCGAGGAAAAAGACCCAATGACCTGCTTCTGTCTTTGCAGTTCGAATTTTATTTCATCGAAAGATATTCTAACACAACAGAATAAACTCCCCGCTAAAGAATTCACCAATCGTTGTCGCACAATGTCTTCAAAGTTGTAACAAAGTATGCTCGGACTGTGGTAACTGCTACGTTTAAATGTCTTATGTATAAACATCGTTAATGTGTATTAAGAATGTTAGGTATTAGTTAATGATTGAAAATTGAAACAGCAAAAAACCTCGTAAAGAAAAATATGATACCACTGTAATTATGATTGTTATTATTGTAGCTGTAATTACTGGCCACTTCTGTCGTTTTTCAGTTTTTTCTTCTATTTTCTTGCCCAGTCAATGTTAAGTTAAGCATTGTTTTAAGTCAGCTTCTATGTACTGCTTTCAAGAACCTGCTTCAACAAACTTATGCCACGTCTTTTTTTGAAATTGTCAGGCAATCTTTGTAAATAAGCAAAGGAAGGTAATATTAATAAAAGCATTTGCTCGTTTGCTTGTTCAAAAACAACATTTATGCACAGTACTGTGCATTTAGGTCCATTGAATTAGGCAAAGGAAGCTATGAAATTAGGGTTGCAGCAGCAAAGGGACTTAGGCTATCATCCACCAAATGGTTAGAAAATTACCTAATTGATAGTTTCTCAAGCAATTAAAAATGCTTTCTTGTAATTTCAAACCAAAAGTTTTAAATGTTAACATAAATACGCCAAAAATCTCAGTGGTCAATTTTATTCCATTTACTTCGTCTAACACGCAAAAAGCACGTGCAGCAATGAACTGGTGTTGCCATGAGCGAATGTAATCGGCAATAATTTTTGAAAGCTGAAAAAACTTATTGGTAGCATGGTAATGATATTGTTTTTCTTATTGAGTTGCCTTCTAAGCCTTAAATTGAAAGAATTCTATGAACTGGCCAATTAGGCCGAACATTTTTCCACCGTTCTTTTATTAACACAAGACACTTGCCTACCAGCAGTTTAAACCATTTACAAAAGCAACGTACCTGATTGTGTCTATGAACATCTTTTATGATTATAACCTTGCATGTTTTGACAAACTGTGTCTACTTCCGAGGTCTTAATCCAGCAATAATATATTGAGTAACGAAGACATGGTTTGAAGGTGGTCGTAAGAAGTAACCAGGTGCAGTTCATATTTTACAAGCGCTGAAACACGTGGATTGTTGGAAAGAACGCCCCACGAGAATCCAATGCTGCATGTTGGACAGCTTCAGGGAGTTCTTTAAAATGTAAGAGCAGTAGATCAAACAGTTTTTGATAAACGCTTGTTTTTTCTAGAGATCATATGCATGAAAGTTATTAGGATCTTAAAAGTCCGATCAATGAATCTTAATCTTAAATTTAAAAGTCCGAACCTGTGTTTAATCACGAAGTTTCTCAGTGGAAACTTAATTCTAATCTTCATTTTTCACTTCGACGATATCTGCCTAAACTGAACCACCTTCTAATGCTCAGAAAGAATAGCTTGCTTTGCGCAAAACATGGGTTCCAAATCTCTGATTGGTTAAAAGATTCCAAGTCTTCTGATTATACTCAAATTCTCTGAACCACATTGACAAATCAGAGTTCAAGAATGACAACAAACGTGCCTCGTGGCTAGATTTAGAAACATCTATTTTTGAGAAAATATTTACAAGGGTAGCTCTAAACGCTCCAAGACTTTCCATAGTCAGTATGTAGTAAATTTATTATACAAATAGACAAAGTTTTCTCTAATCTATGTTAAAGAAATAAAAAACAGTATATGCTAATATTTATGATTTCCTGCTGGATCAATGAAGTCCGTCTTCGTTCTTGACATTAGCGGGCCTACGTGAAAATAGTAGACAAAGTATTTCTTAGCATGAAGGTGGGTGTTAAGAAAGAGTAATACGAAATCGATCCAAATAAATAACGGTAAAGATGAGAAGATTGTATGAATTAGACAATAATGCTTTTTCAACTATGCACCAAAATGGAAGCAGCAATGTGAGAGACACATGTGTAATGAAGCTAAGCAAGAAAGAGGTTTCACAAAACGAGGTTTCACAAATGAAATCGAGACACATCATTATGCTCGCATTATTATGGATTATTTGGTCAGGTTCCATAATACGGGTTTCACTATCGAAGATTTGTTAGGGAAGATAATTATTGAATGATATCGCGTTCAAAGGTAAAAATTTGTGGCATTGGGAAAGTATGAGAAGTATAGTATAAATAAAGTATGAATAAACGAACCTTTAGTAGAGTTGTCTAAATGGAATAAGTGACTTCTCGCGATTCGAGGTGGATATTTTTCTAAATTGCTAATCAGCCGCTGTTGGTAATCTGTGAACCTGAGAGGATTTTTAATTAAAAAGATGGATTTAAAAAACCTTTTTTAATTAAAAAAAACCTGGACAAAGTGGGAATCAAGGGAGCTATTAATTATTTAGCAAGGTAGACTTACTATTTTATATATATATTTTATACAGCTAAATCTCTCATGCCTCAGAGCCATGTCTCAAGAAAAATAGAGTAGAAATCATGCATATAGAAACAAAGTCTTGTTCTTGAGACAATGCAAATTGTGATAAGTTCCTTGCGAGTCAAGAAAATAAGAAACAAAATTGTCAGATATGCTGTCAATAAGATGAGAAAATAAAACATCAAGACAAATATTACCGGCGGAAACCTTTACAGGTAATAAAGAAGAAAACGGTGTGTAAATAGAAAATTTAAAATCATTATTTTTGCAGTTACACAAGCAAAGCTCAAAATTATTTTCCAAATTTTGTAACAGGTGCAGTAGTTATGAAAAAGCAATTGGACTATTCATGAACCCAACTTCCTCTTGTTTATAGTTAAAGGCTGTCTTTCAGAGCCCATTAATTGGTTTGCTACTCTAATTTCGACGACCCTCAACAAACAAAAGCAAATGAACAGTGCAACACTGGCTTTAAGATTTCATTGAAAAGTCACATCACGTTACCACGAGCTATTTTCTTCCCTTCATGCAACCACCCTGTGAAAAAGACAACGAGTCCTGTCAACAATCCTATTAGTATTGATCCCAGTATAGTACTATTGGTTTTAACTAGCAAAATGGGTTCAACCCCACTAACCCTCGAATTTCTATTGGCTTATAATCCTCTTGCATCACTGTGTTCACTCTGACGTCACTAGAATGGCCAAGATTTTCGAGATGATCTTCTTTAACATTCCTGGAAACAAAGGCAGTGAATAATTTTGCCAAAGGAAGTGAATAATTTTGCCACTGGACTTCAAGAAACTCTCATATAAACTAAAAATCATATGGGTCAATGAAGGGCACTGAATCCTTACTCCGTCGGCAAACTGACCTCATCTTGTTAGAATGGTTCCACTTTCAAATCCAACCTATATTTTCTTAAACTTATTAAGAATAATAAGAATAGAAGAATATAAGTAAAAATAATAGGATTGGAAGAAAATTTTGAGGTCTGTAGTAACAATGAAGAAAATTTTTTAAATGGTATGCCTGTGGGTTTAAAGGTTTTCATCCTCTGTCCTCAACAAAAAATCTTAGATTAAAGGTGATACTGGCCATAAGCAGGATTTTCGCAAATTTTCGAAAAAAGGTCTCTCGGAATTGGAAAAAATTGCAAGAGTTATCCTGGACTTATCGGCATCCAATTGTAAGCTGATAATTAATCGGAGAAAAATCCTGTTGCCCCAATGCATGCTGGCGATCGTATCCTGAAAATGCCTTATCAATACACTCCGTGATAAACCGAAACTTTCTCTCTTGAAGAAAGATTAGTGGAGTTGATGTCAAATTATCAACTAATCTTAAAATCTAAAAAAACTAAACTTCTTACTTTGATTGAAATTTCTTATACTTTGCAGAACCTGAACTCCGTAACCCAGCAGCAGGATATTTTGTATCTAGGCCTAAAGGTTGGTTGAACTGAGAGGTCTAGAAACAAAAACAAAATAATTATTTAGAAGTACAACCAGTATTCAGGGAAAGTTAAATGCCAATCGTTGTCTTGTTGATGACCATTTTAGATCTTTTATTTAGCACGAAAGTGAAGGAGAACATGGGCTCCCTGAGCCCCCTTTTCCCCTTTACTCATTTTAAATTCATCAACATTTAATTTGCTAGTGTCTGGAACCCAGCGTTTCTTGGATTACGTGATATATGCGTATTAACAGAGAAACAGAAAGCAACAAAGCAGCAAGAACATCGATTTAAATAACTAACATGTTCCGTTTTGTATCTCAGTAGGTCTGTGCCAAGAGCAAAATGGGTTGCTTTGTCTTCAAGAAGTTGCTTCTCTGCATCAGTTACAGACGACCGTAGACATCTGGAAACTGGTTTAGCGGTGTGCTGTGACTATAAAAAGGATGGACTTAAAAAGCATTTTTCAGAAATTTCTATACCTATTGTTAAGTTATAAGAGACACATTAAACGGTTCATTCATCTTTAAAAGTCGTCTTTCATGCTTTGTACTTTTTAGTTTTTTAGAAGGAAATACTCAAGGTATCTGTGCAATAGATAGACTTTTGATGCTCATTAGTGAATTTTGGAATTATGAATTTAAGCACAAAGTAGAAACTTATATATGTGATTTTAGCAACATCTAAACTGCAAACAAATCCATATGATCCACATAACACAACTGTGTATTACTGAATTGAAGAAGTTCCCAAATGGCACATTCTTGATGACATGGCAGTCAGATCCAAAGGTAATTAGGCTAATGTAGAAAATGATACCAACTGGCTCCATCTTTACCTTTGCTTCTGAAATTAGGGGAGAATAGCGAGGCTTGAGAAGAGCAGCATCACTGTCTAAGTATCGGTATTTGGAAAGTGGTGCCGTTTCGTGTTTTGTAGTAAGTGAATCTTCAATTGGCTTTAGGTAGCTGTTCCTTGTGACTAAGGGACGAAAAGAGAGTTATGTGCTGCTTTCCTATGTACATTTGTTTTATACGTATACTATACATCAAACGAAATATTGCCTATGAGGAAGCACCAGAAAAATACGTCTACAGAAAGCAAACATCGAAGGGGATGGATGATTTAAACACAAAATTTTCATTTAACTTTATGACAAAACTTTCAATCCATGAAACTACAATCCGATATGGTATTGCTAATAGTGCCAAAAATCAGTGATTTTACTTTGCTAAAAGAATTTCTTTTAAGGAGGGGAAAGCTTAAGACGCTTAAAAGGGTGCCCCCAACTGATATGGACAGAGGCAGCGGCAGACTACTGCTCATTAAATGTATACCACTACCTACTACCAAAGAATAAGTTTCTTGTTTTTTTGAAAGTTTCTTCTTTAAAGTGACATTAAAATTCATGTCAAAACAACCAAATGTCAAAGTGATTATTTTGAAGTAGTTGCTTAAAAACTCCAATGAACAAAATTTGTGAAAAAACCTGAACAACTGTGAAATGTAACATATATACAAAACGTTATGTACAAACAAATGCCATTATTCCGGGCCGTCCATATAGAGAGTGCTCGGCGTGACACCTGACTTGGAAAAAATTCCGTCGCAAAAATGAGGAGTTTTTGCCATCTAGGAGTGTTTTGCATGTAAATTTTCAAAGTGTTGACAACCAGGGGCGTAGCAGGCGTGGGGGGGGGGGGTGTTGGGGATGTGAACTTTCAGAAAACTCGCCGGTAGATTTACATTTTCAACAAAAGAATTTCATGCCAAATGTAACAAAACACACCCCACCCCCCCTCAGTAAGAAAGGTCACATTACGTCACTGTCGACAACTGAAGGATGGCTCAACAACTATATCGGCAAATAGGACTTGGATACCTCCTTTGAGCAGAAAAGCTAGCGACGACTGCACCATTATCTTAGGAGAAGTTCATTATCCTACATTTGCCGATGTATATACCTGTATATTATCAAAGTAAAAACCATTGCAGCATACAATAGAAGAGAACTAAGCAAATAAATAAACTAATGAGAGTAAAAATAAAACCCTATCCAAACTTAATTGAAACTTGAACTTTTTGCAAATATATTTTAACTCGTTTAATCGTCGAAAGTTTGGATATTTGCTTGACGTCATAAGCAAATCAGAACAGGTTTGACGTCATAAAGACATCAATACTATGTGTGATATTGGGATTGATACAAGTTTATGATACTTATAAAAACATACTTGTTGTGAGTGAGCTTGAGCCCGATCTTTTGTTTGAAACTATGGTGGGCTTCAGATGATTTTCAGCATTTCGCATCTGTTTAGAAACATAAAATATTTATATGGCAGGTAAAGAATTAGAGCTGAAATCAAGTTAAATCATAATATATTTTGCATTTAATCAGGATGGTAAGAATAGGACATTTAAAAAAGAGAGTTTGATACGTACCTTATTTCTGGTTAAATCAATTGATCGGTCCTTGAAAAAGAATGGGGAAAAATTCAATTTTAATGTTATACAGAACGGTTAATTTGCTAATTGGTAGGGCTTCTAACTTTCTGAGAAAAACGTCGCAAATGAAAAATACCAAAAGTTGTGCTTGATACTAACGTATTTTATTTATATTGCTCTGATTGGTGCAAGTAGCTACTTTTTAAGGTAAAAATTAACACGTACCATTTTCTCAATTTCCTTACTGAAAGACAGAAAATCAGATTTATTTGTTGAAAACTTCACAGAGCTGCCATCACGTGGAAAAACCTGGGGAATAGTGAAACTATCAAGTTGTTTGTAAAGTTGTATAAAAAGGAAAAAAAGTAAGGAAGAGGCCTAAGGGGTAAGAGGATAGTAAGGAACAGCATTGGCGAAGGTGCAAAGGATTATGAAATATCGTCATTATCAAGAGATTCGATGAACTTTCATTGTCATCCTGTCTTTAATACCATCACAATCTGGTCATTTGATCAGCACTTTTAAGGCTCATAGAAATGATAATTGTCAGAAAAACATCGCAATTATTTATGTGTCATTCAAAATAAAGTTTTGCAAATTTTAGAGAGCAGATACTTTCCCAAGTGATACACTACAATAAAGGAGTTTCTTCAAATACATATATAAAAAATCAGCTTACTATTGAAGATGGTGGGGCATCTGCAACATATCTTTGTTTGATGGACTCATCTTTTTCTGTTAAGAAATCTATTGAGAGAACGAGAAATCAGATGTGTGTTTTCGCTGAAAATATTTTAATGTTATGTTATGTGAATACAAGCCACCTCTTTCTATATTTTTCTAGTTGTTGTTTCTAATGCTGATAAATAAAGAAACATTACCTTTTTTATAAAGTGATGTCCTTGTTCCAGTTACCATGTGACCACTTTTCTTAAATAAGGAATAAGTTGTGTTAAATTATATCACCAAAAAAGAGAGGGACTTAGAACTATTTATCATCTTTTGATGAACATTGGATTGGAGCAGCTTTTGAACATCGAGTAGATTGTAGCGCGTGTTCACTATAAACAAGGAGATTTTTGACAACGGTCCATATGTTGCCACCACTTCGACTGATAAAAATCCTAGTCATAGCGACTGACATCATAACACAAAGATGGCTATCGTTCAGATATTATAGCAATGAACCCATAATGTTTTTCTGTAGCAGATCTGGTTGTCATTGAGAATTTTGTATATTTTATAGATACGTCTGTTTCAATTTTAAAGAGTCTCCCTTACCTTAAAATTAGTTATCTGAAAATTCACTGCATTAAAATGAAGAGGCCCACTAGCATTTTTTAGAGAAAAAGCATTTTTAGATAACTCGTTTGATTGCTACGCTGATTATGATTGCCATCAAAACTAAGAAAAAGTCAGTATCCATAAGAACTCACTTCTATATGTGTTTTCACGTAATCTGGAAGATCTGGAGAGAAGCGAAAATTAAAAAAACACTTTTGGAGGAAACTAGACTTGAATTGACAGAAATATAAAATTAAAATTTTTTATGAATCTCGGAGAAAATAGATAGCAAAATTAACTTAAAATAGTGTTTGGGAGGTTGAAAAACTTGCCTAGGTTTTTGCTAAAGAAAAACCTTGTGCAAACATCAACTCGAAGGAAATTTTCCTTAAATTTACAAACAGGATTGCATCATTTATGAAGATCAAGGTATTAACGCTGGTATGAATCCATTTCATGCATAAGATATTTGTCTCATGTCAAATGACGGATATATAATGAATAAATGGGTAGTACTTTGATCCTAAAAATCTTCATCTTAAAAACCAGCTCATTAATCATACTTGACTGCAGTTTTAGTGTTTCAAACTTACATAAAAGTGCACCTTTTATGTCTAATCTGTGGCTCAACGAAACCGACGGTGAAATTAATATACTGCCAAGATGGGGATATTCTTTAACCTCTTTTAATGCAAAACCAGGTTTTGCGAATCAATTAAGATTTCAGAACAATCTTAACATACAAACCTGCAAGTGATTTCTTCACCGACTTTCCAAATGACCTAAAGTTTAATACAGCAGATGTCAAAGCATCCTAAACAAATCGATTGAAGAACAGCACACAAGTTAGAAATGAATTCTATTCTTAATGATCATTAGCATCAATATTTCAGAGAGTAATCTTACAAAACATTTTTATGTTGTCTTAAGACCAGTAGCCCTTATCAATTTTAATATGGATTAATCTTTAAATGTTGAGATTTGCTCCGGTCAGTGGCGGCGCCAGGGGGTGGTATGGGGGGGGGTCTGGTCTACCTACATGGTCTACCTATTTTTTCTTAAAACGGATAAAAACGAGCTGGATAGGGGTAGATAAAATTCCCAAAGGAAAGTTAACCTGGCACAAAGCACTGAAACGAGGCAAAGGGGCGTGGTTTCTCTGACAACGCCCATAACCCTCTCACTCTGTAATAGCTGGCACCGCCACTGGCTCGGGTGATGAATCAAACATTATAAATAACAAAATTCCTGTCTTGATATCATTTCTTGTAAACTACCTTGAAAACTGAAATATGTTCGCAGCTTCTGTGTTACATTTCCATCACTTTTATACGATTCTCGTTCAGTTGCTTTTATTGCTAAGAATACTATTGCGACAATCATTATCCCAGTTTGAGATTCTATAATAGGGTACATTGTAGGTTTGGGTACAAATTTTGTTGTTCATTAATCTTTCTTGTTGAATTGCCTTCCAATTATGTTTTCGTTGAAAATTCGAGTAAGCGCCCGTTTCTGAAGGTTGAAGGAATGGGCGCTTATTCGGGGATTGGGCGCTTATTCGAGGGGGATATCATTCAATAACTTCACCTCTAGGGTGGGCGCTTATTCGAGGGGGGCTCTTATTTGAGAGGGGCACTTGTTCGAGGCATTACGGTAAACAATTCTTCGAAATTGAAAATAAATAAAATTAAGTTGCTACTCTGTTACCTCGTGTGTCCTCCATTTTTATTGGATTGCTCAGCATTTATAAAGTCCCCAGCTGTTACTGAATTTTTGACGGTATTTCTCGTGATATCGTTCCAGTCACCGCTTTTAAATATGTTTGATTTCTGATTGGTTGGCTCTGGCAAGCTCTGAGAAGTTTCTTGAGAGCAAGAGTCTTGTTTGTATGAATCAGAAGTCTCTGTCGAAAGCCTTCAAAAAACATGTTTGAGAAATGATTTCTCTGATAATTTCAATGACAATTTTTTCTGTAAATCGTAGCATTAGACGTAAATACATAAAGCCACATTCACTTACAAAATACTAAATTTGTATTTTCAGATAACTTCAGCCTAATGTCTTTAGTACAAAAAAAACAGAATGGTGTTCCTCGTCAATTCAACTACTTGATGTTAATAATATCATCGTAGGCATGTCTAAAGGTCAAAACGGTCTAGCAGAAGTCTCCCTTCGACTGAAAATCTTGTGAGCCAACCATCCTCTCTTGAAGTAAAAAATTGTGTCTTTTCATCAGTCTATCACCAGCCCCCATTTCTTCACTTGCTGTTTATAACCATTTTGCCTTTTTTTCTTCAGTGTACCCATGGATAACATTAATACTCAAGTTGCCCAAGAGCCCCAAGAATTAAATCTTCATAAATATTTTTTGAAAATCGCTATCCATTATATAAAACACTTGTTGAACTTACTTCTCTTTGCAGGATCCCAGGTTGAAATGGGTCAAACGGACATCTTTTGTGCGTGCCTGGGTTTCAGCACGGTTCGCTTGATCAAAAGGCAACTGAATAAAGAGCAAAGCTAATCAAAATACAGCTCGATTCTAAACGAGGAAAATGTAACATAAATGAAATTTTAGCAAAATCTTATTTTGTATATGTTGAATAGTTGACTTACAGAATAAAGAACACATGTTATGTCCACTGCACTAGAAATTTGCTAGATCAGCTTAATTTTTTAGGACAATGCTGCATGTACGTATGTAGAATTTGTGTCTGTGCTTCTTTTTTAAAAATGTTACAAATGTGCAAACAAATTTTAAGGGAGATAGAAAAGTAAAAACACTAGGTTGCGGAATCTAATTGTTTTAACGTTCTTTATGGTAAGACTACACACCTTTCCGTTGTTGTTGTAGCTGTAATGATACATCGATGACGTGTCAAAGTTTCTTATGTTATAGTACTTTGGGCAAAAATCCTGGAAAGGATGAAAAAACATGGTAGCTACAAAATACATCAATGCCATATGTTTTGTGAAAATAAATTAAGTAAAAACAAATTTAATGAGAAAATCATTAGTTTCAATCAACAGGGATTGGACCTAAACGGCTTTTCACTCAATAAACTGTACTGTAGAGCGAACTTCATTGAAAATTGATTTAGGAAAAGAAAGGTATTAAAATTAATTTCTATTTAGATCTTTTTGAAAGCAATTGAAAAAGATAATGCGAAAATTTGTGCGAATATTTGATTTATAAAGCTTGCAAGGAAAAAAATATATTTCAAAATTGCTCTACATTCCATTGTCAAAATCAAGCTGTAAGGTTAGGCCCTAAAGATTTCTTGCAAGTACATTTCACTTAGCTCCGCATTCTAACTTTAGTCTGGCTGCTCTTGTTATCTTTTCTAGCAGCTAAAAAACCTCCTGGGTCATTAGAACAGAGTTGCGAAAGTTATATAGAGGCTCCAAACAAAACAACGTCGAGGAGGAGATACTATTGTGTTAACTGGCAATCACCATCGTTGCTAGATCATTGCATATTTTTTTTTTCATGGTTTTAAAGTCAAAACCAGCTTGACGATTGATTGGGTAGAACGCATTTTAAAATTCCGAAAACAATTCGGTAGGTTTAATTACTTCTAAAAAACATTGCTTGAGTTAACCTGCAATTTTCATCAAATGCTAAGAATATCAGTTTGCACGCTAAAGTTATAAGGATTAATTATCAATAATGTAAAAATAAATGATAAAACTTGCAATTCTTTTGAACAAATCTTTCACATAAAAGATTTAAAAGAAATCGAAGACAAAATCAATTGTAGCAAGGTAAGTTGATAACCATCTTGCACTGTCAAAGCTCTACAAAGAAGTTCTAATTTCTAAGCCCACATCATAACCACAAATCTTGGATTAACCCCTCATATGGAACTTTGGGTGTAACTCTCTCATCCTCGATTTCTAAGTCGCTTTCATTAGGAACAGCAAAATCATAAATATTCAAAAGATGGCTTTCTTGGTGTTCGAATCGTCTGACAAAGCAACAAGAAAACTTTGATTGCATTTGCTGTTAAGATGGACCTGAGATAAGAAGGTGATCTATGTTGCGAGAGATGAGTATCAGGGCTAGCACTGGACATGTGGGAGTCACGCAATTTAGCAAATCTTGTATGCAATTGTAATAAATCTGGACCTGATATGATCAGTAAAAGCTGTCGATAAAAACAATAGCCGGGAATCTTGTCCTTCCAAACTGTCAAAGAATCTTATTGAGAGAAAAGCATTTAAAGATATGGTACTGTGTTATCAGTTTAAATCTATCGGCTGAAAATTCTAGGACAGGTTTCTTTGCATTTTTCAGGCACAGGTTTGCCCTAGAAAGGTTGTCATGAAAATGATTTCCTGGACCGGCAAAAATTGTCATGAAAATAGATATATTCTCCTTATCCTTAAATTTTTATATCAAGAGAAAATTGAGTTTATCAATCAACGAAAAGAATTTTTGATTTTTGATAATAATTTTTTACGAAAACAATCAGTTTCTTCAATCTTCAATAACAGTACATGCATCACATTTTCATAATTTTGTTCAAGATCAGTTTATGAAATATTTCTGGTAGGCACATCCTCGACGCATTTCTTCAAAGTAGACCTATCTTGATGTTACGAATGGTTTTATGCAATCTTGGCATACGGGATTTATTTGAAGAAAACTAATACTGAGACAGAAAAACATATCCTTTTAGTAGTCACTAGATGAGTTCTAAGAAAGAGGTGGAAATGAAGAACAAGGGTTCGCATATTTTAATGCTAAAAGACGGTGCAAAGAAAGATGATCATGAATTCTGCTTCAAGACACAAGTGATATTTGAATAATCTATGATTTTATCATACACTTACAACAATGTGAATCTCTCTGTCTATATTCCCTTTTATGGGACTAACACGTCGATTTTGCATTCCATAGTCTCTGCTTGTTAGATCATACTTGTAAGAAAGATCTTGACCAAAGACATGTGAATTTTGATGCGCGCCAGGTCTTGTCTACCGAATCAAAGAACATGGAACTAATGTTAAAAAAGCAAAAAAAAAATTCTAGAGTAAAAATCAAAATAACTTTTCATGAATGCTTTTGAATTCAACAATCTGACAATACCAATAGACACAAAATCATACACAATAAATTCAAGACCGGAGAGAAAATAGTAGATTAATAGGCATGAAGGCGAACAGAGAATGACTAGGTCAATTAACAAGTTATCTGAAAAGACTGCACCAAGTTCATGAATGCATAAATGAACCATTCAGGAAAAATTGCCTGGCGAAATTCATAAACCTTATGTATTGAATTTGTGAATAACAGTAAGTGAAAATTTCAATTATTAAGCAACTAAATTCAACAAAATAGATTTGCAATAAAGTGAATAAATATAGATGATATGGCAGTTGAGAAAAAGGTTATGTAAATATCGAATTTCATCATGACACGAATAAGCTAATGATTTACCTTAACTGTCTTAGGAAGTTAGCTATTCACAGACAAAGGGGAAATCCCCAATTTGACAAATTTTAAAAGATACCTTAAAAGAGGAACCATCTTTTTTTCTCAAACTTTCTTCTCTCTGGAAATTAAGATAGACATGTGAAAAATTATTAAAAGATGTGAAAAAGCTCTATTGCAATCCGTACAGTGAATTAGTCCTGTCCACCTCCTATCAGCAACTTCCAGCAGTGTTCAGTTATCCCAAACAGAATGTTGGAATAGAAGGAGAGAAGAAAAGCTTTACAGAACATATGTACCCCGTATCACGTTTTGTCTCTTCTGGCATTGCTATTATTTGAGGCGAAAATCAAAGTCAATTTGAATGTCCAAGGTTTAAAGAAGATATTGCCTAGCTATTTGCTGATGATGTGATTGCAATGATTGCAGTGATTGCAGTGATTGCAGTGATTGCAGTGAAGAAATATAAACGGTCAGCGGCATAAGTTTACATTTGCAAAAATAGCATGCGACAAAAGCGTGGTCAGCTAAAGAACTTGAATGTAGCAGACGAAGAAGCAGCGAAATGTCTTTCAATTGATGACGATCCAGACTAAATGACAAAATTCATCGCAAGGAATAATTCAAATTAAGAATTCATTGGTTTTATCTGCTTTTTTGCTTCTATACAAGTGAGCAAATTCTTCTAGATTTTTGAACGAGGATGTAAATTTTTTAAGTTTCCTTTTTCATCGGAGATTAGCCGGGAACGTCTGGCGGGCCATTCAAACTAAATGAAAACCTAAATCAATTAAAAATTCATCGCAATCCACTGGTGAAAACAGCATATAGCTGGCAAAACCAAAATCAAAGGCAAAATACTCTTTGTCAGCTTGCATTCATTTTAAGCCTTAGGAGATTTGTGGGAAATACTACCGGTTAATGAGAAACCAAAAGTCTTGATAATATTATCCACATAGGCCGCTACCCTGAATTTCACAGCATCCGTCGTGTGAATTGTTTGAAATCATATTACTAAAGAAGAAGTGGAAATCAGGTGAAATTTGTGGCATTTTTAACCAAAATCCTTCGTGGAGACCAGAAGAGATTATAATGACATTTACTGTATCTCTCAGTTAAAGGGGAAATTAATTAAATACCAGGCTTCTACAATCTGCAGTAGTGGTGAGGGGCAAAAAACCTTCAGGTTTACTTTATTTTCATAGGTTACGAAAATTGAATGTCAGAGAACATGGAGAACAGCTCAGTAGCGGTGTCATGTAGGGGGACGAAGGGGACACGTCCCCCAAGTTTTCGGCAGGATCAGTTTTTTTAATTCGTCTAAATTCGATGAGAAAATGTTGGGGGAGGGGTCATATTTTGACAACGTACTTTTTGTGATGTAATTCTGTGATTTTCAAACTGCCTTTACGTACCCAAAAATTAGTCATCTGCGTTCCCTTTGGATAAAATTGGCGTTCCTTGTTGATAAAAGGGTGTTTTCTGGTGGTAAGAAAGACGTGGCTTAAAACTTTTTGCTTTGTCCCCCCTCGATCTTAGTGGCTGGCGCCATTATTGGAACAGCTGATACCAGATCGGTCTCTCAATGTCGCCAACATACAGAAAGGCGAAATTTTAAATGCTTCCCAAAATTATTTTTCAATATTTATTAAAATTTAAGGAACTTTCGGGCACTTTTAAATAACATTGGTTAACTGTAACGAAGGATTGTTGATCATAAAAAACATTTAGGAATATCATCTACCTTTTCCCTTTAAGAAATAAAGCTGTTTTATCTAATTATGAGAGCGTCAAAGTATTGCAACTCTCTGTATGTTAAAAAATCAGTCGCCCCTATGTAGTTTTCATATCTTCTATATTTTCAAGAACCTTAGTAAGTATGAGCTCAAAGACTGATATGAAATTGAGAATTGTGAACACGTGTTTGTAATGTATTATCACAGATAAAATGACACTCTTTTGTCTGACGGCAATAATTAAATCATTGCACATGTCTTGGCCAACCTTCAAACTGCTTTTTCCGTGAAATTTTCTTCAGGTTTGTTGGTCATCCAATGCATAGATTTTATTATTGCTACATTTGTCAAGTCGTTTCTATTTCAACGCAGGTTTGGAAAGCACAAATGTTGACAAGCTTCCATTTGAAATTTTCTAACACATGAATACAAGAATATAAAACAGCGACCATTTCTTTGGTTGTTTATCTTACAAAACTCTTTCAAAAGCGATCAGTGCACTTGCAGGATGTTCGCAGATGTTTAGCTGAGATTCGTTCCTGCGCGATAAAACACAGCAAAGTCAACCAAGTGTACGTGACACAAGGTTTTGGTTACTATTTTGCGAGTCCTTCACTCCAGGGAGTAAGCTTAGCTTCACCTGTCGCGTATATACAATAAATGCTATTTTCGGGTATTCTTTCGATTGTTTCATTAAATTGGCATGACTACCTTAATCGTCGCTTCGGTGAATTTGGAACAAAGACGAATTGTACTCATTTCACAAGAGTTAAAGTAGACCATAGTATGAGTAGACGCAAACCGCGAAAAATCGAAACAGACCAGTTACTTCAAAGGCTTTTCTATTTATTCCAGTGATATTTTCTCTCGCATTTGTGGACTTATCATTTATTCATCAAACTTCGTTTTCTACTAATTCTTCAACTTTATCAAACAAATGTACAACTTAAAGAATAAGTTTTGCTTTCCACATTGGCTAGAACAGCCCACAGTTAACTTCTTGCTGATATGTAAACGATATAATTTAGTTTTCTAATCCAAATAATTAGCTTTTAAAGTCAAGACTCTCTTGCATCCTTAGTACTACGAGTGATTTGAATTCAGAAGGGCTTGAAACGTGATGGTATACTTGATGTGATCATAGCAAGAAACAACTTCAGAAGAAGGAAGGATAATGCATCGCAGAGACTCGCTTCAACTGAGCAAACATTGCAAGAAAATCACATAGATGGCGACTGATCAAATAGCGATTGATCGTATAGTACAGAATTACAACACAAAATAGTTCCAATAAAACAAAATAATGATTAAATCAAAACAATCATACCGCAAACACGTCTTTGACGATCGAATTATAGTGAGTCTCCCAATTGTTTCCGCGTTGGTTGTAGTCACCTTTCTGAAGCACACTGTCCTTCAGATTTAAGCCCTTAATAAACTGGTACCTTGCCTGTCTTTCTGGCCCGTACAAATCGCTCCGGTAAGCATGCATTTTCGAATAAACTTGTAAAATCAGATGGTGGCGTGAAGGCCCTTCATCAGGTTAAGTGCGGTTATCAAAATTGGTAAACCATAGTGTACAGTTGCCTAGCAACATGATCGTGTCATTAGACGCATCAGAAGATGCGAGGCTCCTGTGCAGCACAAATTTGTAAAAAATATTGTTTTATAATTTCATCAGTATCATACATGAAATGGAATGAATATAATAAATTTGTTTAAATATCTTCAACATACATTAGATAAAGAAATTACTTAGAAATAAATTAAAGCCATCTAAATCAGCCTCAAGAGAAACTGCAACACATCAAAAGCAGGTTTTTCGAGATAAAACTTGGATTAGCCCTAAGTACTAAAAGTTTCTTAATTTGGCATCCAAATTTTGGCGTTTTAGACTAAAATCTTTTTAGTTGGTCTCTTATTTTGGGACCTAAAATTGCCTTATTGCTTTGAAGTTGAGCATTTTTCGAAGAAAAACAAATGCAGATCAACATCGTTTCTTCAAAGAAAACTGAACAAAATAAAAACTTTTGGACTCTCTCTTTAAACATAGAATTTTTTCAGTTTCTGAATGTTTCTTGAGCCTAGTACCTAGTACTGAAGTTTCGTAAATTTTTGGGCATCCTTGACGAGTTTCTTATAAACCAGTTTCTTTAACTAAAAGAACGTGTACTGCTGAAACTGTTTCTTTGATTTTTAATATGGCTTTTAATCTGAGTATCTTAAGGTTTACTGATTCGAAATAGCGATAAAATTCTTCATTGTAGAATCACTATTTGGCAAGAGACACAGAATTGAACCTAGGCTTTAGAACTGACAGCTTTTCTTTTAGCGCTTTTAAACGATCGAGAGAGAGAATGTGCAAAAAGAACAAATTTTCTGCCTGTAAACGACTGAAAAAAATAATTGAAAGAAGATGCAACAAAGGTATTAAGAAGTATATTTCCGGAAGAAAAATAACAGTACTTTAGCTCGAGCTCAGCTACCACAATTTGGGGTCTTCAAAAGCTTTCCTGTTCAGCTAATGTACTAAAATTTCAAGGCTACATTAGATCTGTCTTGGACACAGATATGTAAGTTTTTCATGGGTAACTTTTATAAGCCGAGAACGGTTCGGTTACCGCGTGGGTTGGAAAGTATAATACAAAAAGAACCTCTCATTTATTATAATCTACATTGAAACAACATATTTCTAACGGACTGTCACTTTCGAAGTCGTCACATCTTGTTAAAATGCGCTATTATCAAACAAGGACTGGGAAGAGTGCAGAGTGAAGCTGCGTCTACAAACCAGCTTTCCAAAATACCAGTCCAGTTCTTCTAGCCCATAGCTACAATCACTGCTAAAAGCCTTGGAACACTAACGTCAATTTCAAAGGCAAATTCAGCCATCCCCATCTCCCCTAGAAACAATGTTGTTGAGTACCTTTTTTCTTGTGGCCTGCATGATATTTCTCTATACTTTCAACATTGTTCCGGGAGGGGGAAGGGAGACGGAAGTAGTAGTATGCGGGAAAACAAATGAAAAAATAGAAAAACACAGCGTTAAGTATTGGGTGTTTCAAGTAATTTTGACAGTGACTGTATATCGATTTCGTCGTGGGCGTGACTAAGTCAATACCTTCTCACGTACAACGCAAGCTTCTACTGATGCACAATCGTATTGATGTCTTTTTGCCAAATAGAAAAATATAGAGCACCATGTAATGTTTTACTTCATGTGTACTGCTTTAAAAGTTCTGCATGACAAATTACAACTAGCATTTATCAGCAACAGTTTCGTCTTGGTTAAAGTTGTGCCAGTATTCAGCTCAATTATTAATGGCAAATATTCTTGATCCAGGGGTAAAGTATTTCAGCTCCGTCGCCAAAGTCTGATAAATCGTTGTCTCAAAGTCTTGTTAAGCAAACAATAGCAAATCGGATTCAATGTTGCATTTACCGACATGAGCGTGAAGAGCCAGTTTGCTGTTTTCCCGCTTACACTTTTATCCGTCAGTCTGATAAAAAACAAATTGAAAGCAAATGGCGTGTAGCAGATCAATGTTGCTACAACTACCGCTGCGATCATGTTAGCTGATGGCCTCTTTCTTGGCTGAGAACCATGTATGCTTGCAACCTGTTGCTGTATTGATCTCCTTATCTTATGGGCTTCGTAATATATTCTAAGGTAGGCAGTTGCAATCAGGATACATCCAGATAAAATGAAAAACCCAGCAATAAAAAGAACATAATGTCCTATGCCACCAACGTGATTAAGAACAGGATGACAAATGGAAAGAAACCAAATGCATGCTAGCAAGATTGACCATACGAGAGATTTGCAATGGCGCTCGTAGAAGAATGGGTATATGATGCAAAGATACCTCTCTCCGGTAGCTAGGACTAACGTCAAGAATGATGACAGGAAAAGAAGAAGTGCTGCGTCAGCTTGAAGATGTGCAATGAGACAGAATGTTCCTGTGGAAATCTGAAGAGCTTTGAATACTACATCGGCGAGCAGGACAATGAAGCCATAGAGAAGATCGGACACGCAAAGACTCAAGAGAATTTCCTTCGCTGTACCGAGCTGAGAGAACATTTTTCTAATAACAATTATCTCTGAGGCATTGAGAATCACAGCGGACAAAGCCAGAATTATCTCCAGGCATAAAATTGTAATAATATGACTTCTATTGTCCGCATCGGACGGATCTAATACCCAAGGAAGTTTGCATAACATTGAGGTTTTATTTGTAGACATTTTGAGAAATGATGCTGTAAAAAATAAGGGCAAGCTGAATGCGGGTATATTGCCGAGTGGTGTGTGTGTGATGTTGAAGCTTTTTGAAATACCTTTGCTTCAAGAAATTTCCTGTCCTTCGTTAAGTGCAAGCCCTTCTTCGTATTTCTGTTGCTTTAAAAAATCCTTGCTTTAGACGTAGATCAATCAATTTCTTTATCTTACGAATTTAATGATCAAACTATGCGTACTGTGGAGTATTCAGTGAACGGCTGTTGGGATTTGCAAATGGTGGGAAACTATCACCTTCTTGTGTTGCAAACATTGCCTTCAGGTCTTCAGCTCTCTAGGATTTTCTGATGACAAAAATCTTTCCCTAAGAAAAATCAAACATAAAAATTTTAGTAATTTTTTTGAAAAGTTTGAGTCTTTAAGTAGAAATTCTTACTGTAAATTAATACAATCTTAACTTTGGTGAACTTGAATTTTCTCAAAATAATGATGTTGAGGAGAATCTAAGAAGAGCCCTCTCCTCTTCGTCAACTTTCTGCAGGGGCTTTCAGTTAGACCCTTGATCAGAGCCTGTAGATCTGATTGTTCATTACTTATCAATGTTATCCTCTCCACCTTCCGTATTATTCCCATAAACTCAGCAGGCAAACGGTTATCGCTTTCTTCAAAGCGCTTTTGACCGTTAACGATGGCACGTAAGGCTCAGAAATTTCTCCTATCATCTAAATACTCTTAAAGCTTGGACAGATTACCAAAATATCTATCGTTTACATCACATGCGTTTCGCTTCATTTTAGATAGTAAATGCACCAAAATAAAATTGAAACTCACCAAGTCTTCAAATTAGTAAAAAATTCAAATCAAGTTGCTTTCCAAAACTAATGACATGAACTAAACTGATCAATTTTCTGAAGAAAAATAAAGACAATGTACCTCGAAGGCTACGGACGAATTTGTCAGGATGAATTCTTGACAGTGACCAACATCGTGTGCAATGTCATTAGGCTGGGTGTATTCCTTTACCAAAATCCTAAATCAATTATCTCCTCGCGCAGACAGGCCATCGATAAAAGTCAATATTTGACAATCAACTTTGACAAAAAGATCACCTGTTACTAGAATACTTTGTTGTACTGCAGCTATAAATACACACCTTCAAAATTAGTCTTTTCTTCTCTACATGCTTGAGTCACGTGAGATCAATTTCTGATCATCCAATCACCGTACTATAGTCTGGTCCTCCTATCTTATTTATGCACTGCAAGTGTTGAAAAGCATGATCCTCTCAAGATATCGGATTTTATCGGATTTTCGGGGTCAGCTTTTTAGGTGGTTAACTTAAAATTTGGAAAATTACAGAACCTAGAAATATTGATTTTAAATTTTTAATTTACACTTTTGTAATATTTTTGTTTATCTTTTCTTTCTCAACTCTTAGGTGGCAGATTCTTCAAATATAGCTGCAAATTGTTTGACTGGCCTAGTCGACCTGTAAAATACTTTATCATTGTTATTAACGATTATATTGATGATTTTATAGCACCTATTGCATTGTTTCAAAAGTACAAGTTACAATAGAAAATAAAGGGAATCTCAAAGATCATTTACTTGTAAGATTATTATCCGTAGTGAGGTTAAAGTTGCAAAACTTTTGTTAGGAGCAATTTCGTAAGCACGAGGATAAATACAAATTGATAACAAAATCAAAAGTCAAGATCGCAGAAAGAAATATCTCTGATCTAAATCTTCTGTTGATGCAAAAATGGAGCTGGGAAGCCTGTAATGGTTCTTTCAGGGAATGTGGACAAACTGATGTGCCAAATGTCCAGAATTAGACTGATTTAAAGTATTCGGCAATTCCAGGGCTATTGGTTTTTTTCTCCAGCAGTAAAAGTACTGTTCTGTAGGATCTTGATTAAACAGAGTATAGCCCTAGAATGGATTACACATGGTTGGTTAGTATTATCATATGGTTGCTATATTCTCAATAAAAACATCTGGAAGTTAGCTTGCTATGGCAGTTCTTTTAGCCACAGAAAAGCATGCGACAACAGAAGTTAATAATGTGCAAGAATCGACGGCAAAAAGTTTACATTTTGCTGTATAGAGAAGGAAATTGCAAATTAAATGTTTATTGATAAAATTTCCTTACCATCCCATTACATTAAACTTGGGAAGAAATCATGTTTATTCTAATGAACAATAAAGCAAGGATTTCTAGGTAAATATAAGGTGTTTTTCTCGAAGTTCTTATGTAAGCGGCATCAATTTTAATAACTTGAGAAAATTATTGCTTTGATTAAAAGTTTTGCGAAGCATTAAAAATTAATAGCTAAATAGTGCTTTTGAATTCTAATAGCTTTACTGTTGTTCATATTAAAACGCGTCCATAACTTATATAATTGCTATCTAATAGCATGCTCACTAGAATGCGATGGGATGATTTACAAAATAGAGATTTTAGACAACCTGAAGAAAAAATAAAAGAAAACAAACAGATTGCTTCACAGAAAGCAAGGTTATGCAACCATAAAACTCCCGAGTTTCACAGCCAAAATTGTTATTAAGCTTTTGCATCACGTGACTATTTCATAGTTTCTATCGCCACTTTATTACTTTGAGTAGATGTTTTAATAAAACTTTAAAAACTTATTATCAGAGTGGATTTAATGTTTTATTGATTGATGTAACAGTTATGTTTTATATATATGACAGAAAGTTCATGTAATTTTTGTTCTGTTGTGCAGAAAACATCAGATTTTTTCCACTGGTCCCAAACTGAATTGGGTGGCATGCGTGGCCTGAAATGATTATTTTGGAGGCAACCAAATAAGTGTTGGCCTGACGTTTCTGCGTCAGCTGTCTGATTGACAGTTTACAAAGCGAAATCACGTACGATGATTGGTTTACACTAACGAATCAGATTTGGGATAGAAAACCTATTGTGTGTCGCATTAAGGTGTTACTCAGAGCTATTAAGGAGAATCGTCCTGTTTTACACATCAAAAATTTGTATCAGTTGCTGGCTAAATCTACATATATCTTTATTGAACGGAAAGCAGTTCACATTTGGTTTAAGTCAAAGCCAGGAGCAAGATCTCTGCACATAATAAGCCTTAGTGAAGTAACTACTGGTGGATTGGAGTAGTAGCAACAATTTATCTCGAAACCATTACAAGTGAACACGCAAAAATTGAACAAATTTTTCTTAGATCTGTCATTTCAAGGTATTAACTAAACAAACTCAATGCTACTTTCATCACTTCCGATTTGTGGCAATTTGTATTAATGTAAATAAATAATCTATTAAATAGAGGATAAACAAAGTTATCTATGCAAGAAATTGATAAATCTTTCTACTTATTGAAACACCCCTTACGTCAAACATCACTCACAAGGCTCCTAAACAAGCAAATTCATGTGCAGTAACGTGTACTTTTAATCAATAGGGTTAGGTAGTTGGTAAAAACAAGTTATGAAGTTTAGAATTGCATGAGAAATCAGGGTTTAGCATATCATTGAATTATGAGCTCTGGCAAGGAAACTGAAGATGATGTGTCTCTAAACTTCAATTTGTTTCCCATACAGTATATCCTACGAAATGCAGTATATTGTAATTTGGGCAGTGACGTAATAATCGTTTATGATGCATAACCACTTTACGGAACGCAACATTTTCTATAGGGGTATTTAGGTTAACGGGGCTAAGACTCAAAATGGATTTTATGAAACACTTTGAATTTTTTACGAAACCATTAAAAATGTCAGTAGTCAAAATGGCTGTTTAAAGGTACACGATAAGGCAAATGAAGTCAAAATCACGTACTAAACAAAGTATCTTATTGATATGGATCAAATCATATGGCTAATTTAATGGCTAAATTACTCAACAGTAATGGATCCCCCTGAATATTATTCATCACAGTGTAGGGGGTAACGTCATAAAATGCATACTTTGGAGAGATATGAGGAGACTTTTAGGGCGCTAGGAAAACTGTAAAATGGTGGCAATTTCCTCTTAATGGCCAAGCAGAGACAGAAAAGGGTAGTTGTAATAAGACGCTAATAAAAATCAGTAACTTTACTATCAATTTTTAAGCCATTCTAAAATTTCATTCGAAATAAATTATCCAAGAGATATAACGATTTTTATTGTTTCAGTACTATCTAGAATTTACCGTACATTGATTATTGAAATATTTTTTCTTCGTTATTTACATGATTATCCACATTCGTTTGATACATGATTGCAAAGTGATGATGATATTGTTACGACGTATATCTCACAAGTAATCAATCTAAAAATGCTTTTGAAAAAAATGGGTTTTCAAAACATAGAAAAGTGAAAGGAAAAAGCACAATGAGTAGCCGAAGCAAATGGCTCATAAAGGTTATTTTCCTTATAGCGTAGAACGTGAATGAAATAAAGAACACGTAAATAAATGCTATCAAAATTGGTATTGGATTGGAAATGAATTCAAATTATCTTTACAAAAACGAAAAAATCTATAAATTTTCTCTGTAATCTTTGGGCTTGAAATTTCTTATACATCTCTTTTTTCTTTTAAAGTATAGGCACCCAAATTATTGAATTATACCAAAATGGTGACACTCACTGAGAGTGGACTAATAATTAAAAAACGTTGCTGTTGTGAAACCTCTGGATTGTTCGTGAACTGATTAAAGTTACTGGTAAAATTTTGGAGATCTAGAAATTGTTATCAATTTTGTATCTGGTACATGCAACCTTCTCACGCCGCACAGAATCAAATTAACACACACACGAAAAAACAAACTAACAGCAATGATACGAACAACACAAAAGTAATGAACAATAAACGGCAGGGACTCTCATTTTAAGGTTTTCACGTGCTAACATCCGAAAGGTATTGTACCATTCGTCACAATTTTTCATCATCATGTTAAAGAGTAGACGAACAGATTCAACACAACACTCAAAAGGACTGGGTCTTAATTGGCGTCATCTCTAAAGGCTACCAGTTGCTTCACTTCTAAAGATCAAAACTATTTCAGTACCGCAACAAAATATCAGAGGCAAAATTTTATGAAAGAAACAAAGACAGCCCCGGAAACATGCCTGAAAGTAATGAAAATTGGCTCTTTTCTTAAAACCTTGCTTGACAATACGTTAGCAAAATAATCTTCATTTTATATTAAACGATTGTAAACTATATGTAAGTAGGCAACCAGTACCATACTACAATACTGCATGCATTTAAACTAACACTATCTACGTTGTGACAATATATCTGTATTTCCCCCTAAACCAGATTCAATGACTAAAATAGTTTACTGGACACGATTAAATCTAGTTATGGATTTGAAGTCATCAGAAGAGCTCTGACGACTTCATTATACACTAAAATTGAAAGGAGTGAAAAACCCTTTGTCTAAATCAGATAAGGTCTAAAACTTCTTTCACTTGAGTACTCTGTCACTTGCTAAATCTATCCTGCAGTATAACTTCCAACATTCTACCGGTAACACAAAGTTAGGCATTTGTAAGGAGCAATCTATAAATTTTCTGTCATGAACAATTTTGACTTGAAAAATTTGCAGAAATCTCTTCGTCAAACTGTTTTTTGATAAAAGAATAACTGTGTCACATTGTTGGAAATTCACTTAGACATCATTAACATTTTTGCAACAAAGCCCTTAATACGCCGAAATTCGCTGTTTAAATTCAAAAAACTTGCCAACTGACTAATTCTATTAGAGAGAATGGCTATTCTTCGTCTGATTCAGTTCAAACAGGAACGTTTGGAAGATGGAATTTCAATTCATAAAATCCACAAAGTATAGCTGAATCCAGTCGATAAAGCAAGAATGATCGGCGTTTCCATTCAAAAGTCCATCTTCTACGGGCTGGCTCCAGTTTACAAGCTCTTTGATATCTTTATTTTTTGTGGCACAAAAGTAATCTATCAAACTTGCATTTCATCCCTGAACGGTTAAGAATTTTCTAATAAAAAAAGTATAATTTACATACCAAATTGAAAATATTTAAACGAGATACGTTCCCTCATTCATTGCATTCTAAAGTATGATACAATTTGCGTCATCGCCCTCTTTGCTCGCGAATTTCTCGCGTTTTTCTGCAAGACGCAGCTGCCTATCAAGATCCTGTAGTTTTTTCCTGTGATCTCGAATTTTCGCTAATTCTTCTTTCTTACCTTTTTCACTTAAGTCCTTTTCAAGCATTTCTACCATGGCAAAGAGCTCTTCAGCCGCTTTTTCGGCAGATGCCTGCTTCTTCATATCCAGTTTCGCAAGCTCTTTCTTATCGTTAACTACCTTTTCTTTCACCCGTTCTAGCATGCTTGCTCGAGCCTCTAACTCCGCCTCAATAAAAACAGTGGTTTCCCGGTGCACACTTATAAGTTCTTCTAATTTCTTCTTTTCAGTGTTCAATGCCATTGTGACTTGCATCTTTTTCCTGTCCAAGTTTTGGCACGCATCTCCTAAAACAATAAACAGATCTACATCCAACACAATTCTATCAAAAGTTCACTGTTATGCATTTGGAATTCTAGACTGGCCTAAAATTAAACAAACTAATTTATGTAAACAGAATTTGTCATTATGATTAAAAATCTACATGCTGTTATACAGAACCAATGGCTAAATTTTAACAAAGGTGAGAAGATATTTTATGGTGTTCTTTTTTCAATCCATTTCAAATTGTGTTAAACCAGCAGCAGCCTTAAAAAAACTTAAGTGAACACATACTGATTATCTCAGAGTCACAAACAAAGATGAAATGCAATGCAACAACGGGAAAAATATTAAGTTATCATTGAAAGATATAAGAAACGACCATATAAAGCAAAGCTATATAAAAAATGACAGGAAAATAAAGTCATTTGTGGGATCTCAAGACGAGAGTAGAGATTGGCAACAACAAAAGGTGTGAGGTAAAGCATTGTGTCTTTCTTTGACATGAAATGAATTTCGGATATCCAGTTCAGGCTGATCGCAGAGTTTTATTTGCATTTAATGTGTGCCGCTGGCGTGCTATATACAACCGACCCAAAATCGAATCATGCATCACAGTTAAACACAACAGGTTCTTTGAACACAAAGTGATACTACCCCTGAACCCCCAGCAATACTCCATGATACCACAATTACAAGGTATGGAGCTTACCGATTTGTATCTCTGCCTGTTCTTGTGCTTGCCGGAACTTTTCTTCCATATCAGCGAGCAACTTCTTCTCCCGGCGAACCAAATCCCACTCAGCTTGCCTGTCGTTTTCATAATCTTCCAGCTCCTCATCATTCAGCCCTTGTTTCTGCTCAGGCCCTGAAGACTGGGCTAGCTGCTTTTCCAACAGGTTGATTCTCTTTCGTTGTTTATAAAGAACCTTTTTTCTTTCTTTCATCTCTTTGTCTATATTATCGCATCTACGAAAAACATATTTGTAACGACAAATAGTTTGTAACGACATATTATTTCAATGATATGAAGCTATGGAAGTGAAAGGAAACCAACTCTCCTGTTAGATTGTAAATTTTATGATGACGTAAAGACAATGCAGCTTGAAAACAAACGAAGGAGGTCGACATTAAGGAGGCACAAAACTGCGTGAGGCATATCAAAGTTTTTGAACCTGTTTATGGATAAAATATTTAGTTACAATTTGAGAATAAAATAAAATTAAGACAACATGAATTGCCTGAAATTTGAAGATAAGAGCTAACCAATTTGTAGAGTACAATGTGTTAAACATACTTTCGATTAACCTGCTCCTCTAATGCAAGCACAGGCTCAAGTTCTTGCTCGTACTTAGCAATATTCTGTTTGATTGGGTCGACAAGTATCTTTTCACTTTGCAAATGACTTTCTAGCTTTGTTTTCGTCTCAGTCACCATTTGCGATGCTTTTAGCAAGGCAACTTGATGTTTGCTTAGTAATTCCATCAAGATTTTTCTCTGTTCTGTCAGCTCTCTGACTTCTTCGCGATGTTGCCATTCAATCAAATCCTTACTCTCAACTAGTTGTGCATCAATTTTACTAAACTGCGATTCCATCTCTAAAAGTTTTTGAGTAGCCTCTTCGACTTTCCTTCTTTTCTTCTTTCTCTCCATTATACTTTTTCCTTGCTCCACTAGCTCTTCTTCCTCGGCTTCTTCAGCTTTACTGAGCTCTTCTCTCACCTAAAAGAGTTTCAAATGAAGATGATTAATGTCGAAAAAGGCAAGCTAATTTCCAAAAGTGTGCCAGGAAAACCTAAAATCCGATAAATTGAGACGGGCAAATTGTCATAAGAAATAGGCTGCAGATACATATGAAGGATACAAAGGATCATTAGAACTAAGAGAAAATTTTATAATCTTAATATGGAAGGAGCCCGTGCTCATCTAGCGATAATTCAACAAATTCCGAAGACTGACATGTTCTTTAACAAACAGGATCACTTCATAAAAGTTGAATCCAAAATTTTCTTAGAAAAAATGTTAATGGTGTCACAATTCAGCCCCTCAGTCCCATATATTCTTGTTCGAACCAAATAAAGATTGAGTGAAAAAGACATGCCCGCACCTCTTTGATTCTTTTTTGAAGCTCTGCTTGTTTATTCCGATGCAATAACTGAACATTCTCCAGCTTCTTCCACTGCGTCTGTAGTTCAGTCTTTCCTTCACTGAGACCTCTTTTGCCCTGAAGAGTATCCATTTCGGCTGATTTAACTGCCTCTTTAGCTTGCATTATCTGAATATGGGCATTCTTCACCTCGTCTTCAAATTCCCTTTCAAGAACATCCAATAAGTTTCGTAATTCATCAGTCCTTAATTTCTCTGTACCACAGATACCAACCGGCTGTTCTGGTGCCTGCACAGTGTCTTCCTTCTTTCCACCATTCTTTCTAAGCTCCTCCCGATAGCTGTCAAATTCATCCTGCAGCCTCAATACTTCTTTACGCTGTTCATCAATCTGAACCTTTTCGTTTTCCCATTTCTTGGATAATTCTTCCTTCTCTTTCATTAGTTCCATCTCCTTATCTAGCACAGACTTCTGATGCATCTCTTTAAGTTCTAGCAATTTCCTCATTTCATGTTCCAATTTCTCTTTTTCTTCTTCCTGCTCCTGTTTTATTCTCTTTTTCAACTCCTCAAGTTCCCTTAATGCATTTTCTCTTGTTTTTTCTTGTTCTTCTTTGATCTTCTGTAAGTTGCATTTTTGCTCCTCGAGATGCTTTTGTGTTTCCTGAACTTCATTCTGTATTCTCTCTTCTTCAGCAATTTTCTCCGTCTTTAATTTTTCTATTTCTTTCCTATGAAAGACGATTCTTGGCATACACAAACTCAAAGGTTAAAATTTACAAATAAGCAAGCCTAAATTGAGATCTATATTCATAGAAAAACTATTGAGGGCAGATACAGAAAATGACATACTGAAAACTGGATAAAACAATTATTTTTTGGCTAAAGGGCCGTTGAGAGGGGAACAAGGGATGCAAATTGCCCCAGGGCCTCTTGGTGTAGGAGGCTTCATAAAGTATTGAATTTTGTTTTGAAATAAAATTAATTTAAAGTAACAAATATTGTTCTGCTCGCTTCGCTTGCAGGGACCTCATTCTCCGCTTTTGTCCCCGGACCTCCAAATTTTCTCGGAGGCCCTGTTTGGCTGATCTTGCTCAAAGCATAGTAAATTTTCATATTATATGTGTGAGATAAATTTAGCAGGCTGAAGCCTTTGTATAAAACCAGGAGGTCTAAATAATCAAACGCAAAGATAAGTGCTTCATTTCAACACACTGACAAATTTGCTGTACCTTTGTTACGCTCAGCATTACGATACATCAAGAAACAGTAACATTCAATACAATGTATATTCTATTAAAAAACGACTTGTACGACTAACCTTGCTTCCTCCAGCTTTAGGACGTCTTCTTCGTTCTTCTTCTCCAATTCTTTCCTAGAGACAAACATGAATTAATCATTATCACGACATCAATTTAAAAATTACACGAAGCTGACCTCTAAAAATAAGAAGCAAAATAAGACGATTAAAATTGCAAGAAAAGGCCTGACAAATCATAAATAAACTGAAAATACCTCTTCTCCTCTAAAATTTTTGCTTCTTCTCTGTGCCTCCTTTCCATTTCTAGCCTACAAGCGAAAAGGCATTTAAATAGTAGCAGTGTGTGGCTTTTTCTCTGAAATTGCTAGCCTAAATATTGCTTTTGCAGTGAACACTTTGCTCGACCTGCTAATATTTACGCCAATTCATTATTTTGCCTATATGGAATATTTGCAGAGGAAAACATGACTTGCGGATAGCATCACACCACTGTGGTAGAACGTTGCCATGGAGATTTCTTATATAAGACCAACGCAGACTTTGTTTTTCAACAGATTACAGCTTATTTTGCTACATGGAAAGTATGAGCACATAAACAGATCGGCAAAATAGTTTAATCCTTTACAAGAAGAAAACTCAGAAAAGCAATATCAAACAGTCCTGCTCTAGCTCTGGCTATACGACAACTAGCAATCTTTTACAGGCGGGTCAACAGTGATCTTCAATACAGTAAGAAAGTGCCAGCATTTCTGGGTTTAATTGCACGTAGAGATAAAGTGGAAAATAGAAGTTGATTATATGAATAAGCTGAACAGCGAACCCAGTCAATTTTCACAGACAAATAGGTCTTCTGGTCGCTAGAATCGCCATATTCAATGGTATGGGTTGGTACTTACGTCTTGCAGGACAGTAAAGTATAATGGACCACAAAGTATAAAAGATAAAAGAACGTACAACATTCCAAATACTTTGTCATCAATCCCTTACGTAAGCTTGGGGCCATAGATGCGTAGCTGGCAAATAACTATTCAAAATTTTATGCTTGTAGTTTAATTAAAATTTTATCACTTCGACAGACAGTTGAAAATCACTAAATTCATACCTGGAAGTTTAGCAAAAAATAAATAGCCTACCCTGCATTGTAAAAAAGATATGATCGAGCCTCCAGTTCCTTTGAAGGTACAATCGAAGCGAGGTTCTCTACAGATGCATATTTTTGCCGTAGCTTCGCAGCCTCTGCTGGATGGTTGAATCTGAACATGTTTGTTTTACCAAGGAGGACCACAGCTCCTACAAAATCATTTCAGCGCATCAAAACTTTTACTAACACTTATCAATACTAAGGAGCAGTGGCGTAACGGAACAGTTTGGGGCCCATAGGAATATTTTGCTTGGGTGCCCTTTCACAATGAAATTTTTTCAAGACAATCAATTTGAGATTCGAAAAAGATTTCTCAGTGGCGGCCAAAGTGACAGGAATTGTGACAAAAAGAAAAAAGAGCTTTGTAGACTTGTGGAAATGAGTCGACTTTCCAACGTCAAATCAACCAAGTCTACTGCTGTCCATTTCTCTTTTATTTCCACACGAAACTCGTTAGCAAATGCCCGTAGCTCTGATTCCAAGTCCTCTGAAAAAATATTTGGGATACAGGCTCAGCAAGTTGTTTGATGGTTTGGAGATGTCTTCGTTGGTGGCTCTTGCTAGACAGTTTGGAAAAAGTATCGAGCGTTGGAGTAACGAGATCTTGGCCAGAAAACCTTTCTTAAAGCTGCATCAAAGCAGTAACGAGAGTTTTCAGAAACACATTGATTTTGAGTGTTTGCTTTGGGGTATTGAAAATATTGTCCTCAAATGCTCCAATAACGAACCTTCTACTTCTAGTTTTTGGCTTGAAACCAGCTACTGTGTGCCAAGCACTAGCTAAAGCAGACGCAGTTTGCTTAACAGAGTCCCAGGACTCGCGTTGCACAACAAGCTCTGACTTAGGCTGTTAATTGCATTCGATGTTCTCAATTTCGAGGAGGCTCCCTAGCAGTGGCATCACCGACAAAGGTTGGGCTTAGAGCAACTCCTAAGGGCCCCCTAAGATTCTCATTAGACAGGCTTTTTTGCACTATTTGATGTGAGAAGGGATTAAGGGAATAGGGATACAATATTCCCCCGTTAACAGGTTGGAGATGCTTCTTTTCTTCTAACTTGTTAAAAACTACCGCTGTATCTTAAATCCTGATGTTTTCCTTTTGATGAAGTGGGAGAAATCCAAACTGGTAGAAGAACAGGATTTTGGAAACAGTTTGAGAGAAAATGTGCGCGGGTGACCCGGCCAGGGAAGGACTCGCGCCTGCGATCAGCGGCTTTGTAACTCGTTAGCTATACCAACTGAGCTACCCAACCACCTTTTAAGATCCAAGCCCGAAGCCGTGCCACTCACGCACATCATCCCCTCTTTCAATCCACATACAGTATGTAGTCTGTTAAGTCTTAGTTATATGATCTACTGTATGACTATTCCAGTATATGACTCATAGGTCTCTCTCTGTTTCTCTCTATTTGACGTCAAAGTAAAGATAATGACTTGCAAATAAATTAAATTTAAAACGAGAAATTTAAAATAATAGAATTAAGAGCTACTGGCAAAAGAAGGCATGAATAAGTAGAAGTAGTAAAACAATTCCAAAAACGTAAGATTGAATATACCTTGGCTAAGCCTGGTTTGCTTTTTGACTTTGGATCCGTTTATGAAGCATTGGTCAGCAATAGGCTGTAGCGTGACGTTCCCCTCAATACTTTCCAGTATGCAATGTTGTGGTTCTATCCCAGGCCCATGCAAGACTAAAACAGCATTTTTTTAATTTTACTAGATATTACATACAGAAAGAGTGTTTAAAGCATCTTAGAGTGTCACTAAAGGAGCATTATCTGTTAGATACTGGAGGGCGTGAATCTCGCTTGTGTTACGTAGCTGTATGAGATGAATGTCAGGAGTATTATTGGTCAAATACAGCAAATAACCAATTTGATTCCAACAATATTTCCTGCAGCTGTCAGGTCCTACATGAATTCATACCACTAAAACAAATCGTTTCAGTCAATTCCGAATACTAGCTTTTGTTAAGCAAGCGAGTGAAATATGATGATGGTTGAGAAAAAACCAAGTTATCGCTCAAAACTGGGAAAAACAGAGTCAAGTAACTTATTCTTCTCTATGAAAGGCATCTTCAGAAAAATAAGAAAAATAAGGCCGGGTTTAGGCATAGCAGTTTGATTTCCTTTTTTTCATTTACCATGCAAACGGATATCAACCGCGTGACCGCCATGCTTTCTCGGCTTTGAGACCATTAAAGACCTAACTTTAGCTTACAAAATTTACTTTATTGAACCTTGATAATTCAACAATAGTTTTACCTATATCTTGTTTTACTGTTGCATTTTCTCCACCAACGTGTGTTCTACCATCCTAAAACAATGATATTTACAATACTTATTTTGGATAACTTATATTAACGAGTTATTGAAGAAACTTTACAAAAAAGAATGACGAAAGGTGGGGCTAGACAAAAAGTGCCAGCAGCTGCAGAATGGCAGGACCAACGAACAATGCATAAAACAATGCAAAGACATTATATTGATAGCTAGGTCTGCCAAATACGATGTCGAGTTCAATAAGTTGTTTTCACCACTTAGATGGAGACTTGCAAAGCGTACAGACATTCAGAGTTGATTGGTTTCATGTGGTTGAAAACATAGTAAAAGGATAAATGCTACCTAAGGTTAAAGGATAAATGCTACCTAAGTCGGACTTTCTCGGAATTATATCAATAAACGTCAGTTTCCTTCAGCATCTTATAATATGTAAAGCTACCGTATAACTGATTTATAGGCTAATGAAGATAGGTTACATGTATTATGTTTATGTTCTATAGGATATGAAGAACAAAGCTTATATTGATTATAGGAGCAGAATGCAACAGGAATACGAGCTGAGAAACCAACATGAAAACATTTTCTTTAAATTTCAACACTTGTTTGAATAAGAATTCAACTGCTTCGCAAGCCTTTCCTATGCCGATTTGTAGGAAGGGACACTAATAAACGCACAGGTAAACTCAAAGCGGATAATAATGCCGATATATTCAAAAAGCAATTACGATAAAGACCCAACAACTTGCAACACATTATTCTTATACTTTATAAAACCATATTTTTGCTGCTGCTGTTGTTGTTATTGTTGCTGTTGTTGCAATGTGCTTTTATGCTACGAATCTATTACAAGTGACCCTAGAGCTGATGCAGTAATTATATTTAGGTACTCGCGCATATACTATCTGTATAGTAAACGTTCTCAAATTTTAAAACTTAAATACGCATTCGAGAAACAAAGGGGAAAATCATGTGGAAATAAAAATGCAGCTTGGACTTACCCTCAAGTGATAAAGCGTCACACCTGTGCTAAGAATGTCATCATCAACGCAAACTAAATGTGGCAGCTCAGACTCCATTTTCACACCAAGACCTTCTCTCCTAAAAGCCAGTGCTCGTTCCTGTGGAAACAATAGTAAAATTCATGAGCTTCTGGTCTGGTCTCATCTGGTAACACAGTCAGTCGCACTTCAAGCAGCGTGTGACCAATAAAAAACTATTTGGACCACTGTAGAGAAGTTGGTACGGTCTGAAAAACACAGCACTTGCGTTCCAGCTTGAGAGGCAGTGCTACAGATTTGGTGGAAAGGGGGTGGAGTTGTGACACCTCCAACAGTCATCAATTGGCCTTTGGCAGACTCGGCATTATCTGTTACTTACTTGGCAAACTAGGTGGTTATTATAGATAGATTAATCAACCTGGCACCGGAAAACCGACCTCCAAAGACTATACCGCCCCCCTTCGAAAAACTTTATCTAGCGCCACTCCTGCCAGCATGGTTCAACTTGGGAATAATCACAGATTTTAGATAAGAATCCATAAATTTTGAACTTGTTGGTTCTTCATGTTAGACGTTATTAATAATGGGTTGATCATCGTCACTTGATCCTCCTCTCCATTTTCTATTCACAGGTCGTTGTTAATTTAGATTTCTACATCGATTATAATCATATGATTATTTAGAAAATTCAATACTTTGAAGGCGGGCCTACCTCCATGATTTTCTGTGTTTCTTTCCATTTGTTGTTCCAGTCCCTTGTCAACTGTTCAACTTTTGCCTGATTTTCGTGTATCCTTTCAGCAACCTTCGTCTCCTCCACACTTACACGGGTTGCTCCTGGCTGGCCCTTACGTACAAAAGAATCAATGAAATTATAAGAATATCTTTATTTGAATTTTAAGAGCATAATTGATGACACAATAATGAATGAATGCTAATCATAGATCAGTCCTTAAGGCTGAATTTCAATTGAAAATTTGACGGAAAGATTGTGGGTCAATTGTAAGAGAACAAACATGACAAATCGCTTTCTATTCTATTAAATATGTAACGCGATAATAGAGAGGTACGACATTTTGAGAAGTATGGTATAATTGGGAAGGATGGCATCGCGAGCAAGATTAAGTTAGAGAGTATGGCAAATCATCTAAAAAATATCAAATAGTGAAAAATTAAATATAGGGAGAGGGGGGAATAAAGAAAAAAAAATCATGACATCGTATCTAGAAAAGTATGATACTTGATGTTCGAGAAAAACTTAATGAATATAACAAAATCAAAAATAAAATTAATCATATCAAGTTGAGCTAAATTTGGTTTATATTGATGAACTGCTAGACATTGCATTGAGTACTGAGAAGTTGTTAGAGACTAATAAAAAACACATTTGCTAGAGCGTATGGTAAAAATATTGAGTATTTCCTATGAAAGAGGTAAATAACACAAGGGTAAGCCAGCGTCGTGCTGGAAACTCTTGGGTCGGAATGAATCAGATTTAGTCATCAGACAAAAACAAAACATATTGCATGCTAAGAAAGGTATTATTGATCTAAATGAATCAAATTACAAAATATTAACCTGGTTTGTTGATGACAACATCGTTCTAAGTTTTTCAATTTCTTCTCTCAGCTCTCTGATTAATCTTACATTTGGATCCTTTGAAAGAAAATGGAAATAATATCATATAAAAGATTATAAAGGATGTTATTCTAATATTTTTGCTACTATAGCATTTAAAGTCTTCAATCAAAGATTACCAAATAAGGACTGGGAGCGTTTCAAACAAAAAATTTCTACTGCAGTCTTTTATTGTTTGTGCAGCGGTGATAAAAACTGCATCAATTCTAACTAAAGAATATTCAAACAGAAATGAAACAGTAGGTTTTTCTGAAAAATTGCTTGATGTTGCTTGAAACAGAGATTTCATCGTTTTATCTATACACCACAACAACTGTTGGTATGGCAGTGTTAGAAAATTGTCTTCAACTGTGATAGAAAAAATTCTGCATTTGTAGACTGCGATTGGCAAGCCAAATGGGTGTGACAGTAACTTAACATTTTCAAAAACAGATAGGATCTATCATCCCTTAAAAAGAGAATTTTAGAGGGCTGTTGAACAGAAAACTTATCATGACAGTTGTGTTTCTATCATTTTTTTTCTATCATAACAGTAATTAACTGCTTAAAATGCGATTTGCAAGGACCAGTGGTAATCATACTCATAAAAAAGGGCCTAGCAATATACAGAAAAAGATTCGATCGCTGAAGAGCAGGCTCTCCGGCTTGACACCACAATACAAATTCCAAATTCTGCAACGTACATATGTCTAACATCAAAGTAGGATTGCTTATCAATTTAATCTGAAAAAATTCAGCATAGTTGAGGGATAAAGGCACCTCGTTAACCGTAGGCTTGTTGACGATGTTCTTTGCCCTGTTTGCATATCGAAGCGTGCTCAAGGTTTCTGAGTAGTTAACATCAGCGGGTGAGATGGCTGCAAAGAGATAACTATCGGTCAGTTGGGTTTTTCTACGCGTAGCGCAGATGAAAACTTATCGCCTCGCAATCAGATATCAAAGTGTAAATGCGGTGAAAAGAATCAAAGTAAATGTTTAAAACTCCAGATACTGCAGGTTTAAGATGACAAACTGTATCAAAGAGAGCCATTTGACCCATCGAAAGTAATTTGAAATCCAGCAGGATTCTTATGATGTGCTCAACGTATGTCGGCAGAAGTAAATGTTCTAGGCCTTAAGCCAAGGGAAGCAAATGTTCCATGCCAGGGGCGGACACTTGGTCAAATATTGGGGGGCAAGCCTATTGTTTGTATAAGATGACGTCATTTTTTCCTTTGTTTTGGAACAAAAGACCATTGTCCTCTAAAGTATTGGGGGCGGTCGCCCCCTCTCGCCCCCCAGGTGTACGCCACTGTTCTAGACCATGAGCTAATGGAAGCAAACGTTATTTGACCATGGATGGCATGAAAGTAGAAGCATATACAGTCTCTAAAATAGCAAGCTATCTCGCATACACAAGGTAAGCAGTCTTTACGACAAATTAGAGAGTAATATTTCAGCTATTTTCAACTAAGCTGCTATTTTTAAAATAATGACTAAAGTGACTTCTGTATTCAAATCTGTATTCTTTAATAAAACATCCAAAACATCTCAAGGAGCCTGCAACTTATTGTTTGACCATGGAATGTTTCTCGCCTAACGTTACTTCTTACTGCACATGCAAAGGTTATTAAAAATTAGCAAAATTTGTTAGCCACCCTCTTTTTCCTTAGAGGAAAGAAGGTAAAAATTTAATCACAGCGAACAACTTTCCATATTGCAATCAAACACAATGAAACACTTAAAATCAAACTGACAATTGACCATTCTTGTATCCTTATATGTTTTTCTAACGTCCTCATACATTATTCAAAGAGAATCTGTTTCCCGCTCTGAATATAAGTTGACAGAGAAAATAACCTGTTAGTTTCTCATGACATTGAAACTAAGTGACTGCTGAAATTCACTTTTGATAAAAAGGTCATTGAGAGCGACAACTTCACTTTAATTTGCTGCTTCACTCATAGAGTGGCTTAAAAATTATAGTTTCTTCTGCAATATTTTCATGCATTGGAAAAGACTATACTATAAACATCCAACTCCATCAATTGCGAAACTTGAATCTCCATCAATAAGGCAGGGAGCATGAAAATTATATGCAACGATAGCATATGGTTGACAAATGACATTTTATGTTGCTGGAATCGATACTGCATGCTCTTAGTAAAACATCACGAGAAATTTCTAAGTTCGAATATGGCACAACATATGCAAGCTAAATCTGATGAACCATTGCTGCATGTTAGGCTTTTAAGAATGCGAAAAAACGTTAAGGAAATGATTAAAAATCTGGTTTCAGCTTCAATCGAATTGGTCAGATTGAAATATGATTCAAGACGTCGGTTCCCCACAGTTGTTTGTTTAAATGGCATCAGTGGCTTATATTCCTGGATACGCTTTGTTTTCAGTCGATTAAAATGTCCAAACATGAAGCCAAAATTCATATGAACCTCACGTATGAATTAAGATGCATTTGCTACAGAACTATTTGATTCACGAATTGACTGAGTTCGCAAAAATATCAACGAATAACTTGAATTTAAGGTCTCAAACCTGCTATCATGATAGTCTTTGAATTTCCTCCTAAGCTGTCCTTGAGCAGCCAAGTCAGAACTGAATCTCTGTAGGGTATGAATGGCTTTTTCTTTTGATCACCAGATGCTTCAGCTATATTAAGAAATCCGAAGGAAAAGTTTAGTAATTTACCACAGATTACTTGCGTTTGCTCATACCAAGATCTAACAACTTTTATATACATAGGTCTTTGCCTGTGGCACTACGAGACGCTTACACAGTCGTCTACCACTGCCCGTGCACATGAAAGAGATATAACCCTCTCAAGGTCCACATTAATATTTAATCTAAAAGCCCGCAAAAGCGCATAATCGAAAATACAATTTTATACGTCCTCGCTTCCGCTGAATATATACATGAACACGGAGAATTTTCCCTAGTACCAGCAGAAACGGCTTAATGTAAGTAAAGATATCCTTCATGAAAAGACTCTTGATCAAGATTTAAAGAAGAAGACAAAACATTTTCAAAGCTGATGTAGTACTTTTCGACGTTTCTTACCTTAATGAAATACATGTACCAAAACAATGCCATTAAATATAAATAGTTCATTACCTCAACTCCATTTTACATTTACATGTCGTCCAGCAAAGTCGAAATCTACCCTTAAAGATACCGTATTTCCTCCAATGAAGGCCGCCCATGATAAACGCCGCCCCCTATTGAACGCCTCAGCCTCACCTTCAGCTAACCATTTGGAAAAAACGCCGCCCTCTAATAAATGCCGCCCTCTATTGAACGCCTCAGCCTCACCTTCAGCAAACCATTTGGAAAAAACGCCGCCCTCTGATAAACGCCGCCCTCTATTGAACACCACATCCAAAATTTGGAGTTTGTAATAAACGCTGCGGCGTTATAGAGGAAATACGGTAATACAATAATTAAATTCAGTTTCTTATTTGGCAATGTATTGGTTCCCGCACAAGAAAAAAGTACGTCATCTGCGACGTAATTGATTTCCCACGCGCTGAAATACTTTTCAATCAACTTTGCGCGCCTGCGAGGCTGGCTTTGGCTTCTAGTTATTTCCGTTACTTGTTTTTAACTTCTCATTTGTTTGCTAGAAGTTATTATGTCTTGAAAACATGATTTTCAGTTGAGTGAATTCAAGGCAAAATGATTAGAAATAGAGATGGTGGACGTTAACCATCAATGTTTGTATTTGTTATCATTATAAAAGACACACAGAAAAGATACAGCTGCGGTATGGGAATACAATGCATTCCATGTTGACATATTACGGTGATTAGAATAAAAATATTTGTATCTCTCGCTCTCCCAAGATCAGCTATCGAAAGATGCATGAAGCATCGTTTTCAAAACATATGGTGTACTTTTATCCAAAATCATTAAATAAGTGATCACACAAACTGTTCCACAATCAAAACAAGGACTTTGATACTTGTCGACTACATGTAGTTTGAATCTGGCTTCAATAAATAATCAAAATGTTAGGGCTCAAAACTTTTTCGGAAGGGAATGATGTAGTACGCAGGCCTAAAAAACAGGGAACGTACGGACATGTATCACGAAGAAATCTTTAATGATATGGTCTTTGTAGTCAAAAATTTCGTTAAAAATATACTAATTTTGGTACTCCACATCCGAAGTTTGCAGATTCACAAAGAATTTCAGTCAGTCACTTCTGAAAGGGTAAGTTTCAGTATAAATTCTCCAAGCAAAATAGATATATCATACATAAATCTGTGTCAACATACCCAGGTTCGAGATGACAGTTCCAAGGGTCACAAGGGATTTATTGATGTTGGCACCCTCTTTCAGGCGCTGCCCAGTTGCACCAGTAGAATTCGCTCGCTCACTGTAAACATTCCAGAAAATAATTAGAAACATAAATACGATCAAGATGCGGGACTAGAATATCAAGCAAAGAATGCTACAATTTGAAAAGAATGAAAGAATAAATGAAATGTTATGCACATTTTGATATCTTCCTATTCTCCATGTCAATCTTGTTTTCTTCTATTTCTTATCATTCTTTCAATATTTCATATGGTCTTTTAGTTACAAGCATGGGGAGTGAGTTATGGAGAGCGGAATTTTTGGTTTGGTGAGAATGTGATGTTTGACGTCATGCTGTATTTTGTGTGTGAAGCCGCGAATTTTTACTTTGGCAACTTAGAAGATAAATGATAGCAGAGGAGGGCACCTCTCTAAAAAGAGGGTGGGGTCGTGCTACAGTGGTTGGTGGTTATCAGTGCCAGTATGGTAGCTTGATATGGACTTATCGTGATCAGCAATCGAAAAGTTGCTTCTGTTAAAAACTTTGCAGGTTCAATCATGCTTAGCTGGTAAAAACTCATAGCAGTATATCAAGGTGGAACATTTCGGAAATGATTACTGACAAATAATAGAGACATCTTTAAACTAGGAATGGATTCCATAACTCTCTCAAATAAGGCTGATGGGTAAAAAGAGACTGCCATAGCTGAAAAAGAAGTAGTCCATTTAATGACTAAACACTTATAACGATAGTCTTTACAGCAAAAGTATGAAATAGTATGATAGCAAAAAATACCTTCCAGCCAAGTCGACGAGATGTATTTTACTCACAGTCTCAATTGGCATATCGGTGCAGAACTTTGCCTGAACATTGAGAACAAAAGCAAACATGTATGCTTTAAAATATAAATCAGCAATATTGATAATATATCAGTTTGATTGGTTAATTCAAAATAAAAAGGTTGTCAACCATGAAAAGGTGAGCTCAAATCTTTCCGCTTGCAAATGGACAGCTTACGCGCAACAGTTAGCAAAAATCGCTCACAGCTGCATTCCGTTAATAATAGATAAGCAATCTAGAATTTAGACAAACAACTCAAGGTGAATGGCCAGAGCATGGGCAAAAGAAAACTCACATCACTTACAAAAAAAGCAAAGCGGACCAACAGTGATTATCTGATATTTCATAACTTCATAATATGGTGAGTTTATTAAAACAACTAGTTGAATCATTAACTTACTCTATTATAGTTAACTGTATGAAAAACATTATAGCTAACGGCTATATGCAAACGAAACTACGATATACAACACGGGTATAAGCGTGATAGAAGCTGTTGTAACTTTCGTGCAAAGCAAACTCTGCACAGAGTTTAGTGGTAGCTCTCTTCGTTGCAAAATGATTACCCAACTAGACTGTGAAATGACTGTATCAATTCCGATAAAATCCGAAGACGTAATGGACAGTGTCGGCAAATAGTCATTAGCAGTATACGAACAAAAATAACAATTTAGACCATTATCTTTATATGAACTTAGAACTGAACTGATTTGCAGTTTCTTGTTTAAGGCTTAGCAGGCTTTTCATAAGAAAATTCTGAGATGCTTGCCGACCAATAAAAAAATACTTAAGGTACTCACCTGAGTAAAATTTAGTGTAAATATGGCATGCGACCTACTGCTCGTGTCGTTCATATTTGTAGACGCAGTTGTCCTGCAAATAGGTACAAAGCATGACAATTTGAAGCAACACTTTAAATCTATACCTCTAGTAAATTCTCCACTGATATATTGCTAATATCTAAAAGGCTTCCAACCAATGCTGTGATCAAACGATTGCAGAATAAATTTCCCTATAAAAAAATGTTTGTTTTATACTACATAATGACAATTACTGTTTAACGGTCTGTCATACCCAATGCCGTATAGGCCAAGCTGTGAATCCTTCTGGCGTATAGAACAGGTCGATTTTAAGTTGCTACTTCGAATTTCACGCTAAATGCGATCAGCATGTGCTAATAATTAATGTTAAGCGTGGAACTCGGAGTAGCAACTTAGAAACGGCCTGTTCTAGCCTGTGTCCCAGACCCCTCTACTTTAAAGTTAGGGGTCTGGGACACAGGCTAGCCTGTTCTAGTCACCAAAAACGTTATATATTATGTATATTGAGCTAGCTTGAAAAGCCTTCTTCATAGATACAACGAAACTCTACTCACTATGAATTAGATGTCTGTTCCCGTATATATATATATACAAAAAGTTGAACAATTGACTAATTATCTCATTAAGCGGGGGTAGTAAACTGGGAGTAGCAACTTAGAAGCATCCTGTTCTTGACATCAAAGTGTAATATATACATACATTTATATACATACATATAAATGAAAATGACTGCTTTACTACTCTGTCGTGCAGAGCTTGATGATGTTTAAGTAGAGCTACATGTCATGATAATATAAAAGTTTCTTCTTTAACTTTTGTTTGTTTGTGAGCTTAACCATGATATAGATTGCACTTGCTACGCTCAAAAGCAAGGACTGTGTTGAACATAAATAGAGAAAATGAAACTCGTTAAAAATATAGGTCAAAAACATGTACTTCGTGGGTTGTATATTGATCATTATGATAAATATAAACAGGGCAACACACACTTTTCAGCGAAACACCATATTTTAGATTCGATCTTACTTTTTTCGTTGTGAATAAATGATGTTTTAAAAATCCCCGTTGAATTCGAGCAGCTGCATGCTAACAACACATTTTAAACATCAATTGTGCTCTCTCCTTTTGTAACAGAGTCTCTCAAACTTGGGTCAAATTATTAAAACAGTATTGCTGACAGATTTAACTTTAAAAATAGCATGATTGATTGAGCACATTTGCTAAAACGTATTGACACATGTTTCCAGCTTTCTTTCTTCTTCATGAATAATAAGTTTAGACAAGAAATTCAAAACTGAGCATAGTTATTTTTGATAAAAGGACCGAAAATAGTTTGCTGATTCAGAAATAATTTCTGGCTTTCTGAACTTTAAAGAACATCTGGTATACAAAATCTCTTAATCAATTTGAATACTAGTCGAAAGATAAAAGTTTCAATACTAGTCGGTAGAAAAATGTATTCGACAAAACATATAAAGCATTTTTCTCAGAAAAATTTTTAGACAACCAAAGAAAAGAGTAGAACACTCGAACATTTATGTGAAAAATTATCTCAAAACCCGTAGTTCTCTACAAAAGGCAAAAGCAGTAGAGTTATGACGTCATAAAAATATATTTTTACAATTTTGGAATTTAAACCAAATAACCTGAACGAGAATTATCTAATACCTCTAAATGTGCAAATTTGGATCTATATATGTTAAAAATTGGTTGAGATATAGTAGCTACTTGAGCACATGTTCTTGCCTGATCAAGCAGCTGTTGTTTTACCCTGGGTTCCCCTTTTTTCATCCTTTGACTCTCTTAGGCTCTGGCACCAAGGGTACCGTCATTTAGTCTTGGTTAAAAAATCTATAAGCAAGGCTAAAATAACACTAATCCTTTAGCAAACTCGGTTCTCCAATTTGTTAAACTTTAGTCAATTTGCAACAGGCTAAACCGGTTTTGAACGTTTGGAGGTATTTTATGGTCTCCTTCCAAAGTTAAGTGGTCCAAAGTTAAAAATCATAAAAAAGATCTTTAATGAACCAAATTTTGGTACTAGTCTACTTTTGGACGGTCTATACTAAATACGATGAGAAAAGTCCATCTTACCGGTTATCATTTCCAATATCCATTAGCTTCTCTATATCACTGTACTTTGTAACAATGTGTTTCGTCAGATCTTGAACATACGGCCCTTCCTTTGGATGTTCCCTTACCTTCAAATTGTACACGTCACCCTTCTTGGGTGACGCCCGTAGAAGGTCTCTCACTCTTTCGTTGTATATTTCGATGAAACTTAAAAACAATGTTAAATGAATTAAAACATTTTAAATAATGGCGGTGAGTAGTAAACTATAAAAGTGCTACGTCGAAACAAAGCTAGATTCACAATATATTCAAGATGGCTTGTAAATTATCCCAAACAATGAACGGATAAAGCAAAAACACGTATGCATAAAAGAGCGAAAAAAATTCGACAAAGCTTTTCGTGTTTTCGTTTCATATATATATAGCTTTCACTTGAATACTAAATAAATTCTTAACGTCATATCCATTAAACATCTCTCGGTAAACAATTTTATTAACTCACCTCACTTCACTCTTGAATTCAATTTTGTTTTCAGCTTGATCTTTGGACATTCTCTCGTACATACCCTGCATATGAATGAAAATAATAATAACAACGCCATCTTTTAACATTGTTGGACATAAATTTTGGACGTGAATGTTTGATAAGAACTTGGGACGTGATTATTAGACATGAGTATTGGACCTGAATATTGGTAGTGAATATTGAACTAAATATTGTTTCCAACTCGTTTTACAAATAGGATTGCAATTATATATATTAAGGCTGTGGTGAAGGTACATAAAAGGTGTCTATTGACAGCTAACATCTGCTAATTGAAATCTCATTGGATACTGAATTTGTTCGAATCAGGGATTGTTCAAAATCATGGATGCCCTATCAAAATACAAAAACTGATATGCTTTTACTGAAATACAAGGTAATTAATGCCCAATTTAATTAAAAACTGAATAATATACAAAATATGATTCCAGGGTCATATGTTTTCGTTTCGGGATTACTCCCAATTTAACAATATCGTTGAGCATAAGATAATGCCGATGCAGCAATGTCTTTGCTTTAAAAACAGGCAGTTTTGAGAAACCACCTTGCCAATGGCATTTCAAAATCGTATCCTGAGAAATTGAAGAAAATCGTACGAGACTGAAAATGCAAGAAATAACGGGCAGTCAAAATAGAGAATGGTTTTCAAATAAGCCCATATAGCAAAACGAAGGGAAATGAAGCAAAATGTTAGCAGGCAGTCGAGAAAGGAGATGTCAACTGTATGGCTGTAACATTAGAAATGGAACAGTTTCTTTGAATTGCGCTCTTCGGACTGGAATAAATGAAACAATAGAGCAATAACTTTGTTGGATGCCCTTTAATTCTGACCTTTATGATTTTGGTTGCTTTCACATTAATCTTTTCAGGCCAAAGTCTATCTGACAATAGACATGTTTTGCCTTGTCTTGCTTTGCCCAAAGAGAAATGAAATTGACAACGAGATTGAGGCAAAGTACTAAAAAAACTTCCAAATCGTGTCAGAATCAAACCCATTTAGCCTTAATGAAACAAACTCAGGGCAAAATAATGTTTCAAACCTCACATATCCTTGGAATTAGGCCAAGACTCTCCTGAAACAGAAAAAGTTTTTGTTGATCCTTTAAAGAAATATGTCAAATAGTATAAGATAACAGAAATACAACACAAACAATTGTACTAACGAGTACCCTGATTTTCTAGATTATGCTTTTCATAAGAAGCTCAGAAGAGTTTCATTATCAAACCATCATATAACTAAATGCCATAATAATGTGCCAAAATTTTTGTCTTAAAGTTATCTGCAATGTAGACAATTGATTAAGATATTCCAATGATTTTCAGCACACATAAGCACAATATAATCAAGAAAGTTTTCTTGTACTTCCTATGACTTTTCAAAGAAAATATTTTTGCTTCAGAGAAATTAGTATTTTTTTCATTACTACGATAAGAATTTGAAGCAATTAGCACAAATCAGAATTAAACACTGAAATTGAAATCTGTACAAAAATATTTTTATCATACATAGACCATGACTGTTTAACATTCAATACAATGATTTCATGGTAGTCTCTTCTGTGAGTCAATCTCTAGTTATATTATACTGTTTTTTATTGGCTTAAACTATCCCATCAACTGGTTATCATTATTTTCACTAAATGATTCTGGGAATTTGGTGGACATTCTGTCAATTTTTTTGGCATATGCTTCTTTAAGTCTGTTCTTTTTCCTTGAAGTTATACAGGCTTTAAAATTTACCTGAGCTCCCATCATCGTATAACTCTTTCCTGCTCCAGTCTGGCCATAGGCAAATATGCAAGCATTATAGCCTTCAAATGCAGCACCAATCACATCCTTCCCCAAATCAGAAAATACCTAAAACCATAAAAACATAACTCTTAAATACCAATACAAGGTTGGATTAAAAAATAAATTTTGAAGAATGTTCAGCATTTTTAACGCAAAATTTCAACATGAGAGTGTTACAATGGTTCTTTTTGCAAAGAGAGAAGAGTATGGAAGAGACAAAATTTCCAACAGGATATTTCCATAAAACAAATATATTTAATAGACATTAGTAATAAAACAATAATTGATTTCACCTCAATCTACTAAATTTGTGAATACATGGTTGCACAATCAATCTTAAAACAAAGGAAGGACCTACTAGGAGCTATAACAAATGATTGTAAACACCATTTAGCTTACATCACAAAGAACACACATAGCAAAAGAATGAGAGATGATGCAATAAAATCAAAGGAATTACACAGACAGAAAAATTGTTTAGACTATTTATGGCAGCCTTGCAAAATTGATATAATCAACAAACAAGACAATTAATTGCTGTTCCTACATTGGTTTAAAACTTCAATGCCTTAAATAGCTTAACTGACATAGATGGGAGTGCATTAATAATGGATGATGTAAAGATCAATTTCTTTTGTGAAATTGCTTTGAGCATACTCAATATCATTTCTTTAGGAAGCAGGAAACAAGATTGTAAATGAAAATAGCAATTTCACCTGCTCCTGTGTTGCAAAATGCCTATCACGACTATCTGACGACCAGTATGAATGGTCATAGCTGAAATCCTTTACATCATTCGGAACCTACAAGATACAAAGAAAAAGCAATGAATGACCAATTCACTGTGTCTTATATCAAGTAGCAATGAGCATGGCAATAGAGAAACTTTGGCTTTCAGCCATTTTGTTACAAGATAAGAAATCATTTTAGCATTGAAGTTAATATATACACACACCACACACACATATATAGATAAATATATATATATATATATATATATATATACTAACAAAAAGAGGAAATTGATACAGCAAGTACTATTTTTAATAAATCCATTCTTATAACATACAAAAGGAGATAAATCATTCTCTATATTTACAAGGGTCATGCATAATATTTTTTTTCACTATCTCTTCAATGGCAAAACTACCAAAGCAAGAATCAATTACAAAAACACACTTTTTCAATTTTTTACAGAAAAGATCTTGTTATTAAACACAATATATTTTCATGGCTACTACCATAGATCAAATTATCAAATTTCTCAATATCACAATTTTTTCCAACCAATGAAATCACAAACCCAAATGAAAGACACAGCCAAGGACATTTACAAATTGAAGACAGGAAGAGAGTTATAGACATTTAACATACAGTCTGTTTGAGAGCAAAGTGATCTTTTTACTTCTATACATATTGAAAAAGTTCAGATCAGCCTCAAATGTCACTGGTGTAATTTGTACCCGGTGTTTTTTTGTCACTGGTGTTTTTTGTAATGTTTACTGTACTCTTTAAGGCTGATTCCCATTGAGTGCATTTTGCTGCACATGTGACTTTTTGTGATCGCTTACATAGTTGGGCATGTGTACTATGATATTTTTTGCACTCAGTTGATGCGCACGATCACACAAAAAAGAAGAAGTCCATCCTACGTTTTGTGATCAAAATTCTCAAAACCCACACCAAGACGATCCAACACAAAAACCAAATTAAGTTATCAGATGACAATCAACATGACAATGCAAATTACAACTTTTTCTTACAGCCAATCCTGCAGTTCTTAGCACAGAGATGTGGCAAATGATGCTTTATTCACTCAAGAAGAAACCAATGTTATTTGTGAATCTCCGGTGCATAGATATCAGAGGATCATGGAAAGATTTTCTGCTTGGGAAGCCATGCTTCTTGTGAAGGATTTTTTGCGGATATATGGAGCCACCCAAGACAGCAACATTTCAAATGTCCTTGGACTCATATGAAAGAGTTTTAAAAAGTATTCCTGGTCAATAATTTTCCTGTCTTTTACAAAGCAACTGAAATTCACTCTTTTCCTATATTTCAGTAAAGCTTCTAACAAAAAACCTTTTTCTATATTTTGCATTCATTTGATTCCATCTTAAATGCAGACATAACGGCCTGTTAAAATCAATCAAGAGCCTGTTTTTTATTGCAGCCATCTTTGACTTTGGTAAATCAAGCGCATATGCATGCATGATTGAAGTTATGTGAGTACATGACTAAAAGCACTGAGTGGAAATCAGCATTTACTTTGATCAGAACCCTATGGCTCTATCTGCAACCAGATATAACATTCAGATCATCTTTAAAGCGAAAAATGCTTTTCGATTTCACTTATATTTAAGAGTTCAAGCATGTCCCATGGCAGCTGATCTATGGAAATTTTCAAGAAAATAAAACATAGACCTATACATTGCTAAAAAATTATCACAGGGAAGATTTATTAAAGGAATTTAAGTATGAATGGTGCAAGGTAGCTTCCCTTAGGAAATTTTGCAAAATAATAGGACAATATCTCCACAAAACTTATGTCGATATTAAAAAAGAAACAAAAGGATATATTTTTAATCTCAGGGTGATAATAGAATCTCCACAGATAATAAATCTAGGAATATAAGAGAATCTTTATTGCTTACAAAAGGTTAACAATTTTTAATGACTTCTGTGCATGATCAACTAACAGTTAACACCTCAAAAACTTTGATTAGGGACTGATGAGCCTTGATAGCATTTTACTGTAAATTATGTGACAAATCTATATGATTTCTAAAAATCTATATGATTTTACTTTCTCAGAATTAGCTAAATGTTTGAATACTGAGCAAAGACTATATTTGGGTGAAGTTATATATTCCTGTGGTTTGGAAACAGAAAAACAAATTTCAAAATGGAAGAAAAGAGGAACATAAATAGGTATTTGTTGCATAATATGTTGAAGAAAAAAAATAATGTATTTCTGATGTAACTCTTTGTAAAATTCAGTTTTTTGGATGGCAAGTTCCCATTAATAACATTTTTATCAGTTTACTGGTATCTTATGACAACAGATGACACTATGACTCACATTGGGGTTGATTATTGAGGTTTTCTTTCCATTGCTGTCCATCTGGATTATGACATCAGATTCCAAGTCAATTTCCCTAAAAAGGATGTGCTTAAATTTCATAGCAACATGTTTGTTATGATCACAAGAGGGCTTTAAGCTCTAGATAAAGTAGAGGAAGGATAAAATCCATAAATTTCCTGTCAGGTGGGTATATTATGGACTACCCTATTATGAGCACTTCTAGCCATGAGCAGGTAGCAGCCAAAAGGATTTTCATACTTGGTATGCATATATTTCCCAAGAAAATTATTAACACTGCTCGTAACTCGAAAAAACCTCCGTAGACAACTTAACCTAAAGCCTAACAGAATAATTAGAGCAACATTCTACTCATTTCACCACCAAAATTGATGATACGATTCATTACGAACGACAAGCCTTCACTTAGTATTTCATTTTAAAATCATTAAATGAGCAGAACTGGTGATAGGCCGACTAAGATTTGCCAAGGAAACGTTACTTCCCTTTCCGTACCACAGTGTATACATTAAAAACAGCTAGGCCCCTTACCTCTTATTTAATGGCCGAACCCTTACAGCAACTTTAACTGATGCCATTCTTAGCAGAATTTCTCCTCTTAACGTCAGTTGAGCTAGGAGTTCGTCTAATTTGAAATCAAATGCGTCAAAGTGAGATTTTGAAACCTCAAAAATTAAGTTTTCCTCGCCCACATCGCATCGCCAGCAAAATTTACTACACGTAAATATGCAAATGACCTTCGCCTCCAACTCTTGGGAGTCTGGGAAGAGGCATCTAGGGCAGCTGTGTTGAAACGTCATTGCAGACTGAAACCAACAATGCAGGGCATACAATCAGCTATGCGTGCCTCGAAGTTTCTTTCTAAACGTTCTTTTTTCTCGGCAAGTTGGTAATTGTTAAAAGGGAGCTTAATATAGCCGAAGTTGATGTTAAGAAAATATTTTGTAGAATGTTATATTGACGAATTTGGAGTTCAAAACAACAATGGTCCAACTTGAGAGTGGTTATGTGCTGCCAATATGTGCAAAACTTTATAGGGTATACTTTTTGCTAGCGACTGTCTCGTATTTAGGCTGACACAATCATTTTGATGATTCCACTATTGGCATAGCTTCCACCGTTGGCATCAAGAACTCTATTATCATAGAAAATGAAGTCTATCAGGATATTATTTACAAAGAATTGCAACAAGCATTTAATGATTAAAGCATTGAGACAACACAAAGCCTTGAAGATCTGTACACCCCTCGGACTGCCGCGGCTTTTGTTCTGTGGTGCACAGGCGCGGATCCAGCCTGGATTCTGACTGCTGATATGCAAATGCTGTCAGAAAGAGAGGCCACGCCCTTTTGTTCTGGAAACGCCCAAATTTCTCTAAATAAAATCAGTATCACTGATATTGAATATGGGGTTCCAAAAAAGAATTTTAAGGAAACGACTCAGAAAGAGAAGACTAAATTTACCTAAGAAAGCAGTAATGTAGATCGACCCTGGTAGGATTCGAACCAAGGCGACCCACCTTCCGAACGCAGCAGTCTTACCACAATACTACAGAGCAGTCACTCCAATATTGACTGATTCAGCTTGAAGTTCCTTTGCAGGGGTGAAGCAGTCCATTCTCATTGGTTGGTTGCAACAAACAATTGCATAGGCCCACTGTAATCAATTTCATAGGTCAACCCTGATTCCTATTGGTTGGCTGTACCGCTGCAGAGGCAATCTCGACTTCTGATTTGATAAATAAAATCTGACCTATGCTCGCGCCAAAGATTGCAGAGGTGAAGTACACTAAGATTGGCTTACAAGACGTTTGCATAGGTCGAACAAGTGATGATTAGCTCTCGAGGGACAAACAAGTTTCTGGATTCAGAAAATACGGACCAGAAAAATGTCTAGAATCGCAACTCGACTAATCTGTGCATGAGCCGAAAGATAGTCAGCAAAATATATGCCCTACCTAAATATATGTACCGCACGTATTTTAGCAAAATATATGCCCTGTCTCCTGCATGTTGTTTGTATCAACGAGGACAGATCTAAGGAGGAGGTTGCCAAAGAAACTATTCATTAATGATTTTGATAGTGTCCATTTTAGATTGATGTTGTAAAAATCTGACTTATGCTTCTGCATAGGTTGCTGTAGTCTAGATTTGCCTGTAGGCAGGCGGGCAAAGCTACAATTCCGACAAGCATCTTTTGCATTAGCAGGGCTCATCAGGCTGTAAAAAACGACATTATATAGCTGAAAAAAGGTTTGCTAATTTGCAACATTTTGCAAAGCTGAAATGTACGAAATTTGAGTTCTTTCTTTTACCAGTTAGAATATAAGGATTCACAATAGTAACAAAATAGTCTAAGCTCAACCCACAGATAACAAGGGGAAGGAAGCACTTACCTCCTCTGCCCCCTAACAAGTGGCTCCTACGAGAATGCCAGTTTTTAGACCTGCTCTTTCACTCATATCCTTTCAGCAAGAGTTATTCTGTTCTAATGTTTATGTTTGTTTTTTTTGCTATATGGGCTTGCTTTGTTGCTTCTCATATGGTTTACAAAAACAAAGTATTCAAATTATGTTACAAGGAACTTTATGTCTCTATAACTTTTCAATTACTACTGTTACCTAAAATCCTTTTCGACAGCTAACCTAATTCAAGATACAAGTTTTGCGGATTCTGCTTATGAAATTGGGATTTTTTAATTTAAAAATCCGCTTTTGAAAATATATCAACGCTTGATTAAATGACTAGGAAAACGCAAATAGGACGGGTTTAATGGGCCTAAGATGTTTAGGACATGGTTGATAAAGTGGGCCTATCTAAGCCAGTTAGCTAATCCTTTTAACAAATTGAAATGGCTATCAGCTGCTTTTTCTCTAAGACTTTCATTGATAATCTCTACAAACACATCATACTGAGGCAAAATGAAAGAGAAAAATGGTACTCTGCGCAGATAACGCCGACCATCTTTAGATAACTCAGCCCAAAAGGTAACATAAACAAAAAGGTTCTCAGTGAACCTAGAAACTTAAGACGATGTGGCTTATCCTTAAAATTTGTATGCGAATACATGGAAGAACAATCGGCCTATTTACAGATCATGATTTTATCTATAATTCCCCAAGTTTCCATGAAGTATAGTGAACCTATGACTTTAACTTGGATAAGCAGACAAATCCACAAAACCAAAGAAGAAAATAGCATGACATCTGCATGACTACTTCTGACATTTAATTTGAGCGTTTAGTTCCAATTTCTTCGCAGTTGTGTTTTGCTCATATAATTGAAGACGATTTAAAGCAGAACAATGAAATTGATATTATGCAGTATGCAGGTAAAATTGAAGAAAAAATCGTATAGGGAATGTATGTAGATTATTTGAATCAAAATTCATGTTAAAGTTATAAGACTTTTAGCTAATACATTTTCTATTCCAATCTGTGAAAAACTTGATAGCCTTATTATATTAACTACTTTGTTTCAACTATGCTCGTGTGTCAACCTTGCAAAAAGATGATTTATATGGGCTGTCCTTTCCACCAGTGGTGTACCCGAAAACTTTTAGGGAGGATAACGCAAAATGAAAAACAAAAACAGCGCTTCATTACATTTTTTAGAAATATGAAATGTTTTATGCTTTTTAATGTATCTTTGCACTGAAAATTTATGCATTTAAAAATTGTTACAGTATAAGCAAGTTTATAAGGCAACATCATCACCAAAAGCTGTTAGGCTACTATAGGCCCATTAAGTCAACAAACTCCTTGCTTTTTTTCTGCTTTGTACAACTCTCATCCTAGCGATCTATGCAATGTTTTACAGATCATCCTTTTGTCCCTCTTTAGCTTTTCGCATTCTCTTTTCATAGAAATTGGTATCCTGTCAGTGATCTTCTTAGTCCACATTCTTGCTTCCATTTGGCCCACATGGCCTGCCAACCGCCACCTTTATTTTTATGTTTTTTTATAATATTAACAGCTTTAGTGTGTGATCTTAAACTTTCAGGATTCTTTAGACTGTGTTTAAAATATTTGACCTTTCAAGTCATACACTGTAGTACTAAGATGTAGCAAATTTAATTTTTTTATCTTTTTAGCCATGTTTTGGATTATCTTACACTAATTATTAATGTTTTTTCATTTTTCAATGATAATTACTAAACAAAAATTTATTGAATTTCAATGGGGGCTGCCCCCGCTGCCCCCGTGCTTCCGGCGCCCCTGGTTCAACCCATATCGAAGTAACAGTATATTGAGGTATATGGGGTAGCATACTTTATCTAAAGGGTAGAGAAAAAGACTGCACAGTCAATACTAATGCATCATCTTTCGTACTTGCTTTTGACGCCACGAGATGGTTCATATATCCAATTCGTATAATACAAAGTAATTTATTCAGCCTTGGGTTTAAGCATCAATAGCACTGTCAAGGTCATATGATTCAAGTAGTCATTTTACAAGGATGGGATTTTTAGGCAGACAGTGGAGCCTCCATATAACGGTAACGGATACGGTTCTGACCAGTGTAATTGTCCGTTGCAAAGAGGTTTCCTTTGGATAGAGGTTCATTTTATTCTTGTCCATAGCCCTAAAGAACCATTATATATTTAAAGACAATAGTTGTACCATCAACAGGGATATTTTTTTCATATTCTTGTTGAAACACGAGCCTTGCCTCCTCGAACCTTGGCACAATCACGGATTTCCTTGAAACATTTGTATCTCAGATGACCATCGATTTGTATCTAACACTGAAATGATATCTTCAATGGCAAGAAGTTCATGATATCACGTAAGTAATTTTATGAACAGAATAACAAGAAATCTGTTTCATTTCCAGGGTGTATTGATGTTTATGAGCCTCAAATATTTAGTGTGATAAACACATTATATCTCAAGTATGGGTGCCATGTGTGTATAGTGTGGCGGAATTACGATTTTACCCGGACAAAAATAATAAAAAGCTGTACGATACTGGGAATAACCAGAAAAAAAGCCCCATCAATTGGACATTGTGAATTCCTTATTTGGGCAAATCCCATATGGCGCACTGATCAGCAGGGGTTCAAATTTTGATGTCGCTAAAACCACATTATATGTACATATTCTGAAAGACAGTTTCATGCTGAACAACTTTTATTCAACATACACGCCTTAACAATGTGGAAATAAGTACTTACTGGTCAACAATAGCAGATAGGGGACAACTGGGCAATAGAATGTATACAGTGGTGGCGCCAGGGGAGGGCTAGGGCGCTACAGTCCCTCCATCGGTAGCATCTAGCCCCCTAATCGGAAGAAAATTTTAGGTTATTGTCGGAGCAAATTTGACAAAATAACGTACGAAAACTACATATTATAGTCAATTTAGCCCCCCCCCCCCTGTTGGAAACTCCAGTCCCTCTGTCGAAAGATTTCTGGCGCCACCTCTGAATGTATATAAGTTTATTTATGAACAACTTATATATTAACAAGATCAAAACATGCGATGATGAAATCTTATCCAACAAGGAGCAGGTCAAGAATCCCGCTAAACATTTTGAAATTTCTGCAATCTGTGTATTATTTTGAGAAAATCTGCGTCCGGCAAGTGTGTAGAATTCCCTCGTTCCGTTGAGAAATTGCCAGATTTCCGCAATCTACGAAAAATTTCCCTTAAAATTCTGTTCTTTCGCAAACACTGATGACATCTTCATTTGGAGAAAAAAGGCAAGGATCTATCCTGTGCCTTGCAGACAAATGTAACGACACAGGGTTCCCTTACGGACAGTATCACGTGACAATTGCACCATTGCGCTGTGATTGCATCAGCGTCTGTAA